AATCAAAGAAGGGCTTATAGGCAAGACATAAGAGTTACTCAACTGAGATTATTTGATCACTTATTTTTCAAGATGTTGAGGGTGTTCACATTCTGACATTACCTTTGGATACATAAAGGATTCCCAATGCACCTACATCTGTATTCTTTATCTCAGAAGTATCTGAGCTCAGAAATATCTGAGCAAAGTGGTTGAGCTTCCAAGCTGTTTCATTTCTGAAGCAAGCACTATTAATAACTAACATAAAGACATTCTAGATTATGACAAAGGCAAGGAAACAGATTGTTGGAAAAAAAGCAAGTTCAAAATATTCTTATATTCTCATACATCTACATTAGGCAGTAAGAGTTCAGAGACATTAATATCAAATAAAATTTTCTGCTTAGAAGGCCTTTGAGATATGTAGAAATTCAGTATATAGTCATCATCATCAGAAGTTCCATGCATACCAGTTGTGGTGACCCACAACTTAAATAAAGTCTGTCTGAAGATTCTGTTTCTTCTAGGCAGGATAGAAGAGGCATCGTGTCTTCAACTATAAGAAGGGAAAATGCACCTTTCCTCAGTCATTTTCAGTGGTCTAAAGCTTACTGACTATTTCCAGTTTCTAACTAATTGAAGCCTGAAGGTGTATGTATAGCACAATGTACTGCTTCAAGTATATCTTCCACTCAAAACGAGATGTTTTAAGAACAAGCAAAACCACCAAATTACAGGAAGGGAACTACTAAGTCACAGAAAGTCACTTTTTTGAAACCAGCTCAATTACAACAATAGAACACTTTCATGAGCAAAAAATATGACTTTCAAAATACAAAGTTCAGAAGAGACTATTGTCTTGTTCTCTGGTGCTTTAGCCATTGCAGAAATCTAGGGTTTTTTTCAATGTAGCCCCCCCTTTTGTCAGGTGCTTTACTGCCTGCTTTCTTCTCTAGAGCTGAAGGTAACAAGAGGCCTCTGTGAGGAAGGCAGGCAGGGTTCACTTCTTTCATGTGTCAGAAGTAAGGAGATAAATATAAGAACAAGGAGGTGGAGAACAGGACATGGATGAGCTTCTTGGCATTGTAAGAGTAGCACCCTTTACTAGAAAACAGCTGTATTTCCATTGTTTTTCTAACTGCCCTCTGATGTCTGAGTCTGTCTAACAGAGAGTCCAAGATGTCCATACTGCGGATGAAAAGTGGAAAAGGACCAAGCAGCAATCGTGAAGAAAACAACTGATAGGGAAAATATTTGGATGAGAGAAGAAAGTAGTGGGTGAAAAGAGTGAAACACATTTGAAGAAAGTGGAAAAAACTGACCATTTATTTTCAGAAGGATAAAAGGAATTACACACTTACTGAGAAAACAAATTTATATAAACCTTAAACAAGTTAAATTGTCTCATTTTTGAGATCAGATATCTTTTTGTGACAACTAATAGGTAATATTATAAAGATGCTCTGTATCTCTATGCTTGAGATAATCCTGAAAGACTGAAGGAAGCAAGATTTGAGGTTGAGGAATATAAAGCTAAATTTTTGAAGGGGCAAAATTAGGTTTTCAATATATACTTGAATCATGAGATTTCCTTCAAGAAACTAATTAAAACATTAGTAAAAAAAAGCTGAAGGAAAATGTATCCAAGATTTTTAGGTCAGCTATTTTGACACTTCTTTTTCAGGGTTTGGTGCTGAATTTAAGTGGTAGTGTTATCTATACTGTTAGACTACCAGAAGACTGAAATGTACGATGCATCTTCTCCTTATCAGTAGGTAGCAAAAGTTTGAAAATTTTAATATCAGTCTTCATGTCAGCAGCCATTTCTGAACAGAGACACTGATGCTTTATGTCCACAGTTTTCTTCTCAGAAACTGTTATACTTTGCAAGGTGGAGTACTGAAATAATTTTAGGTCTTTTTATGCAAATTTTACAGGGAATTGAAAGAAGGGGGTTCTGTTTAAAAACTGATGCTAAAATATAACTTCAAGCACATTATAACAAAAACTCTGACAACCCTTATTTGGCAGTTACAGGGAACTCAATTTGTTATACTAGATTAAAAAATACTCTGTAAGAATAGAAGAAACCACTTGACCACCTATCCACAGACATCAAATTCTACTCTGCTACCCATGTGCAGAAATCAACAACACACTTTACTGTAGCATATTTTCTGCAAAGGCCCTGGGAGACGCAACACACTTCCCTGGGTAGACTAACTCTAATTATTAATTAACCTCTAGGAGAAGTACCTGCCTTGAGATTCCAGTTATTTGTTTACTTACTTCTTCCTTTACCCCATTTATGACCTCTGCCTGTATAAAAGTTAGATCTATACCTTAACAGGCAGCATTCTACATGCATTAAAAAAAAATTAGGCTTTTTAAACAAACCACTTCTCTATCTTCTTTTTGATAAACTATTCTAACTGAGCCCTGATGGTGTCTTTATAAGGACTTCACTGCCAACCTACAATATTAATTCTTCTCTGCTCACTTTCCAAGTTCTCAGTTTCTCCTTAAAGACATTCGAACTTAAAAATGTGTCCAAAAAATTGTAGAGAGTAGTGTATCATTGGTCTCATCAATTTTGAAATGATAGTCAAAATGACCTCTGTGTCCTTTTGTACATTAAACTCAAATATAAATCGTCTTAGCTGTCTTAAAATGCTTCTCCACCAAGATTAGTAGATAACTCAGAGTCAGTGTTTTCCAGGATATTACTACCCATTACACAGATTTGCCCATGATTTGGCTTCATTAAAACAGACTTTATTTAGAATGGATTCAACTTTTCAAGGGATCTAACTGTCTTTAGGACTGGTCTTATCACCTTTTCGCAGTTGCCTTTTTTTTTCATCAGCAAGGTTATGTTTACTGCTGCTATGAAGGAATTTAATTAATTCCAGTCAGACACAATACATAAAGACACTGTAAAATATAACTAGAAATTATTAAAGCTCTGACTTCAGTGAGATACTGTCATATTTTGCTGAAATGATGTCTCTTGCCAGTTTCTGCGGTTTCATTAAGAAGAACACACATGCCTCTCGACTACATCTCCTAGTCTGGGAGACAAGACATAATGTTTTGGTTTTTACACAATGCTGAAATCTCAAGGGCTCAGCAACAGTAAAGGATAGCTAACACCCCCACTTGTGCTCAGATCTGTGCTTTGTCAAAGCATCTCTCAGGTCCAAATTCCTTTACAAATAAAATAGCAGCATCCTCTGATCTCAATAATCCCAGCTGTTTGCTCTAGGGGGTTTTGAAAATTCATTTGACTACTTTGACAACAGAAAGTTTGACTGCCTTTGAATCTGCTTTCAAAGACAAAGTTATACAGGTCAAGCTATTGCCCATGGAGTATTCTGGTTAGTTTGACAATGACGGATACTCTTCATGACCATTTCCCAGATCCCTTATGCCTATACTTCACAACTGTCCTTAATGATGAATGACACTCATCTGCAATGAATGACAATTTTTCAGTATTCTCATCCCCAAAGAAATGGTATTATCATCACATTTTCTTGCTATAATTTATCAGACTGAAAAAATACAGTCTCTGATTACTGGGTTCTTTATTAATGTAATAACTTAAACAAATACCATTTTATGTGTTTTGAAATACAGACTGGAAGTATATCAAGTTCTTAGGTAGAATATACTCTGTCTTCATTACTTTAGGAACTGTAAATCTTACTCTTTAATGAAAATTCAATGAGGAAAAGACAGACTGTTTTAATTTGAAATTAGTTCAGATGTCCTAGCTGTGCCTAGAAGAAATAAACAAGCAACTGTTATAAAAGAAAGGAATATTCAAAATTATTTTGAATGTAAGTCTCATTCTCGCCACTGACAGGAGTGGCAATTTTATTTGCTTAGTGAGGTTTTGTTTTAGTTTGATGCAGTTATATCTTCACTGATTCAACAGGGACTAAAGTAGCCCAGCAAAAAGACCCTCCAAAAAAGTCATCCAGTCAAATTTGCACTTTGTGAGAAAAGGTGCCATGATTCTTGCCACCTTAGGCCATGATTCTTGGCAATGATTACTTATTACTGGCAGATCCAATTGAATTTATCTTAACAAATAATGCAAGCTTGGCTCAAAATTGTTATTTCTGTTACTGCAACATTGAAGGTCCACAGAACAGGATTTCTCTATGCCTGTGCCTGTGTTCTCTAGAAAGAAAACAAAAAGGACTGCATATAGAACAGAATGTGTGACATCTAACAAAAGAAAACTATAATCTAGACATTGATCTTCAAGTGGAAAGAAATATGATGAGTATAGAAGCACGAAAACCCCACGAACGATAAGAAAATATTCAGCAGCTTGATGGGTACTGACATAAGAGAACATGAGTCTTGTGCTGAGCAATGGCATCACGTTAGTGACTTATAGAAGAGTTTTTAAAGGAGAACAAACTTCCTGAGTTTTCAGAAATGTTAGCAAGGACCTCCTCCCAGGCTTGCAGGGCAGGAAAATAGAATGAAGGAATTTGTTTTAAAACAAACACATATGGGAACCTAAAATAGCACATCACTGGAGAGGACAAATGATCTTCTGCTATACGGGAACCAGCTCTTTTTTTTTTTTCATTTGCATGCAGATGAACACAAATGCACCTTTCTAGTAGCTTATAGATTTTATATCTGTGGTATATCTCAGCAATGTTTATCCATTGTCAGTATGAAACAAAGAGAGTAATTAATTGCCAGGGACTGGTATGAAGCCGTAAGTTAATGCTGATGTAGTGAAGAAATACTAGTGTTCATGTGTACACAGAAGGGTAGGAAGATGACTGTGAAGTGATAGAGGTAAATCACAGCAGATGTATAAAAACCTACTACCCAAGGCAGGTCACACACACAAAAATGGAACTACCATATGGTAGTAGGTAGTATTCTCCACTTGCTTGTGCATTCCTCAACTTTAGGAAAGTCGTGCATGTTTATATTTGCATTTGTGATCTTTTTAAATGCAGTTGCTTCAGAAGTAATTTTTTACTTACAGACTGATTCAATACCATTTTTATGGTCCTGGTGTGCTGCCTGTGGAATGCAGGGCATCTTCTCTGAGTCTTGCAGAAGCTTCAGAAACACCTTTCATGAAACAAGAAAAAAGTAATTTAGAATCCATTTTCTAAAAACTATTTTCCCTATATACATATATATATCCCAAACCATCCAGACTGTCAGAAATTCGTAGTGACTCCTCTAGCCACCCTGATGGAATACGACTATAAAATTAGTCAAGCTGGAGATCCTGGGGATAAGGGGAATGAAATAAATGCCAATAGATACAAAAGCACCTATGCAAAGAATTGCTGACCCATACGCACCATTATCTGCAAAGATTTTTCAATAGGCTGTCTGCCCTTGATTGACTTTTTATGTTCCTAATCTGTGGTATGTGTTAGAACTCAGTTACTGCAGTTTTTACCAAGGACATATCAACAGCTTCAACTCTCTTCTGATGCTCCAGCTAGAAATGTGTGGGCACAACCAGAACTCCTACCGTAGAGTTCTAATTATGATAGTACAACTAAATCTAATGTACAAAATCCTACAGAAGTGAGAATCTACAGAACCTGGGGAAGACGTAGTGTCTAGGGACACTCAGGACGTGTCCCTAGATTTTGGGCAAGCACATGGGCAATAATGTTATTGAAAGACATTTAAAGGACAATACAATCATCGGGCACAGTTAACATGAACAAAGTCCTGCAAAACTAATACTATGGAGAGGATTGGTCAACAATGTGTGTTTTGTAGCAAAACAATAAGCATGCATACCCCAAACTGGGTGAAGATGATACAATCCTGTTACCTAAACTCATCATGGAAAAAACTGAAATTGTTTTTTTTATCAAAGCAACAATCTAAAAATCTGCACTATATTAAAATTCAATGGATTGAATCTTCCTAAGCAGGGGGACACACATCAGAAGGCAGTCATAGTTGACGTTATAAAAACCCAGCAGAATTCACCAACTTTATAATCATGAGATCTATTTAAATGGTATATATACTTTGCCAAACAGATTTGTGTTCTAGCTACTATTTCTTGCCTAATCCTGTTTCACAGTTCTGTCCACTTAAAACCCTTTGAATTGCATAGACAGACATTTCATTTTCAGTCCCTTAGCCTTGCAGAAACTTAGAACAGCTTTCAGAGTGAGCCTTATTCACACACCCCCACTTCTTTTAAGCTCAAATGAAAAACAAAATTAAACTTTTCTCATCTTAACCTGAACTGCAATTTAAATAGTGAACTAAAAATTTCAAATAAAAAGAAAGAAAAGAAAAATTAACAGAAAGTACAGGTACCGTGAGCATCTCCAATTGAACAGCAAAAGCACAACCAAGTTTTTCTTTGTCTTGATGAAAGTCTTGCTTTTTCTCTCTGTTTGAGTTGAGCTGCAAGACTTAGATTATACCCACAGTGCAACTTTCAGAAATCATTAAGAAACCATTTATTTCTTCCCACAAAAGAACCTGATATCAGCTATAACAAAATACTCCTTGTTTCCAAGGAGCTCACACAATAGACAATAAAAACCAGTCAATGTGAAGTACTTTATAGCTGTTGAAAGATATTTCTTGGCTTGCTAAGGTCTGACTGTTACATAAACCATATTTTGCTTAGTCAATATAATTGCCATTTAACAGTGGTTATCGATTGTGTCTGTTACTTGCAAACTTTCAGGGCACACTTTTGGCCATTAACAACTGCAAGACCAGAAATTTCTGGACTGACATTTCTGTATTAGACCCTGGAGGCAGATCCTGACAACCTAAAGCCACATTCTAATTTGTTGCCTTGGAGCCATTTGCTGATGGCTCTGCAGACCAATTCTGTCAAGCAAACCAAACTAAACTGAACCAACCGTATCACAGAATATGAATCACTGAATAGCCTGGGCTGGAAGGGACCTTAAAGACCATATAATTTCAACACCACTACCATGGACAAGTATAGCTTTCACTAGACCAGGCTGCTCAGAGCTCCATCCAGCCTAGCCTTGAACATTTCCTAGGATAGGGCATCCACAACTTTTCTAGGCAACCCATTCCAGTGCCTCACCACCCGCACAGAATAGAATTTCTTCCTAATATCCAATCTAAACCTACTCTCTTTCAGTTAGAAGACATTCCCCCTTGTTCTGTCACTATATGCTCTTGTAAAAAGTCCCTCTCCCTCTTTCTTGTAGGCTCCCTTCAGGCAGTGGAAGGCCACAGTTCGGTCACCTCAAACTCCTCTCTGCAGGCTGAACAAATCCAACTCTCTCAGCCTTTCCTCGCAGGAGAGGTGCTCCATCCCCCTAATCATCTTGGTGTGCCTCCTCTGGACTCGCTCCAACACACTGATGTCCTTCCTGTGCTGAGGACCCCAGAGCTGGATACAGTACCCTAGGTGGGGTCTGACCAGAGAAGAGTAGAGCGGCAGAATCCCCTCCCTCGACCTCCTGCCTATGCTGCTTTTGATGCAGCCCAAGGTTACAATTGGCTTTCTGGGCTGCAGGCACACATTGATGGATCATGTCCAGCCTCTCATCCACCAGCACGCCAAAGTCCTTCTCAGCAGGGCAGAAATATTTCAAGGAGGTATATGCTTTTCCCTGGAAAGTTTTGAGGCAAACTCTAAAGTCATTTCAAGGAAAAGAAATTAAAGTAGTACTCAGTTAACAAATTTTAACGCATCTTATTTTGTGAAGATATTCAATCATTCTGTTCTCTCCTCAAAGAAAAGCAAGAAAGCAATAACCTTTGAAATCTCCAGAGCTGCCAGAAAGTGAAACAGCATCCTCCAGACAGCTCTTAATGTGCACTTAATTTAATTATCCACCCCTCTATCCTTCTTTTGGTTCTGTTAACATTTTGGATTACAAACATTATAAAATACACAGATACAAATTGTTGGAAAAGATATCTAAAGCCTAAAATGAAGCAAATATAATACTAGTGAGATTTGAAAGTGTCAGAACTGATTCCTTTGAAATATGAATGGAAGTCCAGTTTCCCTTGGAGAGTATGATTTTTAGAGAGTGCGAGTGTCCCTTAGACTGAAAAAGAATAATGGTGAGTGCATAAAAGAACAAAAAGAAAGGATAAAATAAAATTTATAACATATTTCTTCCTTTGAAGTCAGGGTTCTTTTTTTCCAGATTGAATTCCTTGAATAGAATGAATAGTGCTATTATATGCCATCCATTTAGTTCCCAATGCAAAGAGGCTTTTGATAAGGGAATGGAGAATTGAGGTTGTAACAACAACTAATGATGAGATGCAAAGATGACAGAAATCAACTCAAACTCATTCATTAAATCTTCAAGCTGAAGAGTGATACATTAATATCTAATACAACATTTAAAGCAGTTTTTAAATGTCCCCTTCACAAGACAGCTGAAAGCAAGCTCTTAACTGAGCAATAGATTGAGCACACTTGGAAGCTTCCTCATATCAATGACAATTTCATATTTACTTTATACATGTCAGTTCTGGAAAGTCCTATGTTATTGCATGGAGATGTAATCCAAAAGTATTCTCAGTATCTACATTGTCTCCAAATCTATAAAGTTTGGTAGTGAACAGCATTCTTTCTTACTGCATGTTAATCACCCTATATAAGAAAATAACAACTTTTCGATAAACTTTTGACTTTCCCCGTAGAATTGTATAGCAGGAATGTATTTTACTTCATATCATTATGTAAAATGTTTATTAAACTTGTAAACTATGAAAACTGACATTAGTCTCCTATCATCACATGAATAAGTGATTTTTTTTCTACAGATCTATAATAGAGTACTTAAACAGTGGTTGTTTAGGGAATCTTGATATTTAGAAGTTACAGATGATGGGATAAATACAGTCCAAGGGAAATAACCTCACACTGATGTGGTAATTTACACAGGGGTAAATTCAGAAGTGATAAAGATGTATAACAGAGTCTCTCCCTCTGCATTTGGTACACATACACACACATACATGTGTATAATATGTAAGTATGTATACATGTTCATGTATACATATATGAAAGTCTCTATCTCTCAGTATACACAGAAAGTATTCTTTGGATATTTCACCACAGTTTGGCTAAGTCCTAAGCTTTAAAACTTGTAAACCAGAAACTATTTTCAGCAATGTTTTTTCTGCCCAAAGAGCCACCCGAACTGAACTGATGCTACAGGCTTAGGACAAGAGTTTTTCCATTAAATCAATGACACTTGAAATTTCCTTTAGGTTAATGCAGAAACAAACATTTAAGAGTTACACAGGTTACATCAGTCTTCAAATCAGATTCTTGAAATAAGAAATATGTCATAGTAGAGTCAGTGCTGAAATTAATAGCAAAGCAAAACTATGAAGTATAGATTTTGCTTTATTTGGGTTTTTTGTTTTTGTGTTTACTTGCTTGCTTTTTTTTTTTAGAAAACATGCTTCTCACAAGAAATTGTTGTGGGATATGAAAGATACAATCAAGAGTAGCTGGAAGCTATCACAAAATTCTCTAAGCAAGAAAATATGATTACACAGAAAAACTACAAGTACCTCTTCCAAAGTTGTGTCAGAAATGCCATAGCCAGTCACATGTAGATGCTGAAGGCTTTGATCTAAAGCTTGAAAAAGACCTTTAAAAGAGGCCTTATCTGCCCTTTCTGGAATCACATAGGTCAGTTCAGTCCCACTGTTCTCTTTCAAGAAGGCTTCTGGAATATGGGTCTGTACCAGAGATGTGACCCGAACAATATGCTTAGGATCCTGGATTTCAAACATAGAGGGCTATGAGGGAAAAAAAAGATAATTGTGCATAAAAAATATTACCAGAATTATTGGACTTGATAGTAGAATTCATGCAGGAAAATTTCCACTGAGGAAACTGTGTCACACCTGGGATGCAGAGACTATTTCCCATGAATGAAGAACAGTGAGACAAACCCTTTTCAGCTAATTACTGATATTCATCATTTTCAAAGATGTTATTATGTTCATCTAAATAACAATAATAATAATAACACCCACCCAAAACAACCAAGAAAGCCAATAAAAACAGGTTTTGCTGGCTCTCTAATAATCTATATCATGTATTACTTCCTGGCAGAGACATACACCTCCCTTAGAATATGCACAGCTGTTACTTGGCAGGCACGGTTAAATTCTGTATACTACATTTTTAATATACCTTTTTTATGAGCGTTAGACTGTGTCCCTGACCGTATGTTTCTCTCAGATAAGAGGGAGAACCACAGCACCTCAGCTGGCCACGCTGCAGAATGGCAATGTGATCACTGAGCACCTCTGCCTCATCGAGGTGGTGAGTGGTAAAGATCAGTGTGCAACCTGCATCAGAAAGATTGGTACGTGTTTACAAAACCTGGTTTCTAGAGAAACACCTCTTGCTTTCACAAGGGTCTTTAACGTTAAGGGAACGTGTTTTAGGAGTTTTCAAAACAAACAAAACCTGCAGTCAGATTTACAATTTGAGTTAGATTCAGCTCTAAACATCCTTTGCCCTGTATTATACATAGCAAGCAGTATCAAGCCATTAAAAGCTCCAGTTGTTTTAAGAGCATAACAAATTCCTTAAAACGACATAACATCAGTGTCTGTTTCAATGGATCATTCACTGTTAATTATTACAGCCAATTGAGTGCTCACAAGCTGAAGAGTTTGCTTCCCACAATCAATTTTTGACTTTTTGGCACCTAAAAAATTAATGTGGCAGACTTACTGATGAGTCTATTTTCATTAGAAGTATATATGCACTATATACCGATATATGCAAAATGGAAGTGCATCTTTATACAGATATATGCAAGATGGGAAATGGAAACCAGAAAGTAATTTTGAGAAGTTGGAGAGAGGGGAAAAACTTCAGGACAGGTCTTAGAACTAGGTTAAATCTTCTTTTAGATTGGGAATCTTTCTGTGTGATAACAAATAATTCTTGTAATCTCATTTGGCTGCCTTAAAGTTTTCAAATTCAATTAAGTGTTTCCTCAGAAATTAATGTATTTAATTTCTGATAATATTTCGGCTATATTTTGACTATCCAGTTTAAATTGAGACAAAATTCCAGAAAGAAAAATAGGAAGCAAATTATGTGCATAAACTTTGTACCAGCTTTGTACTTCAGAAGAACATCCCAGATACCACGGCGAGAACATGGATCTACTCCACTGGTGGGCTCATCTAGAACAACTGTCTTTGAGTTTCCAATAAAGGAGATGGCAATTGACAGTCTCCTTTTCATTCCCCCAGAAAGAGCTCCAACAGGTTTGTACTGATGTTGGGATAAATTCACATCTTCCAGAGCTCTGAAATAGAAGCACAGAAACGAGACTAATTTTGAGAAAGTTTTTTCTGGTCACATCATGTCCAATTAGAGAAGAATTCCTGAAAAGTCACTGCAAGTGGAAAGCGATAAAATCACTATGTCTGACTGATTATACACTTGTTTTTGTGTCAAAAACAAATAGGAAAACAAATATCTCTTTACCTACAAAGCATAAATGCTCATCATCATCTGATGCAAAAATTCTGGAAAAGTATTTTGTAAGATAAGAACCAACAATTTTTAAATTAAGGCCAATAAAATAACCACCAATTTGTCCAAAAACTTTAGCAAACTCCAGATTATAGCCCCTTTAAATGACAGTAAAGACTGTTAGTTTCATAACTCAAGCAGCACTTCAGATTTTGCAACTACATGAAGAAGCATAGAGAATGCCTGAGTTTTTAGGAAATGTGTAGTTATTTGAGGTAAATAAGGTAACGCTGCAGCTTTTTTTCTTTTTCTCTTAGAAGATACGTTTCTGTGAAATAAACAGATTAGTGATCCCTAGGTAGATAAAACTACCTAATCTAACCTAATCTGATTCCTCTGTTAGGGACTGGGAGATACCTTACAAGACGTTGTCAATTCAGCCCTTGCCCTCTGATGATGATCCAGCATCTGTGTGGAAATATTCTAAATAGAGGCAGCACTATAACACCATTAATTTATCGTTCATCACTCTGAACATCTAGTCACTGACCTAAGAGCTTTCAGCTGCTATCAGCCTGGCAAATAAGACATAAAAGGCTCAACAGTGCTAAACTAATCTCCTGAATCATTTGAGTGAATATGTAGTCTGTAAGCCATGCCATTTACCCTTAGAGATTTTCTCATCTTTAAGACAACAGGTTTCTATAATCGTTCTACAGATATATATCGAGGAAAATTAATCTCTTTAGAAGCCTGCTTCTTTTGCTAATAAAAGGAGAATTTTGTTTCATTCTTTTGTCGCTTTTCTAGTTTCTCTGAAGTCTTTTAAAGCACTTGTTGCCTTTAAAAATAATGCAATTTTTCTTAGTAGCAAGGCCTGCAGAGTCCTGAGTGTTCTTATGTGCCGTTAGTATGATAGACTGCTGCTGAAATTACAATTCAGCAGTCTAAGTACCATAAAATACAGAATATTATTTTGCATAAATTTTAAACCAAGTACTGGCTTTGGTTTGTCTCCGTTATTCTAAAGAATTGTTTCTATTTTTTTTAGAGAGAATGTAGTGTCCCACATCAGAGTTTGTCCAGATAAAAATTTTAAAATAACAGGTTTTTATGATAGCTACCAAAAAGGAAAGCTACTTTGCCACAAATGCCTCTGCACATGCCTAATTGTACACTTAAGGAGTCCCATCAACTTGGCGTTTGTTTGCGTTGAAGCATGGAAGCTTCACAGCACTTCACAGAGTCTATCATGAATCAGAAGGTAAAAAAGAAAGTATCTGCACTGCCACACTGTTAGAAAAGCTCCATTTCATTCCTGAGGTAGAGAAAATGCAGTTTGCTACTAGTGAACAAGATCTCAGCTTGTACAGTTTACAAGTAGTTTAATATACATGATGCAAAAATAAGATTTAGTCCTATATCAAAGAAGTATTAGCACAAAAACACTAGCAAACATTTTCAACCTGAGAAGTGACAAATCCTTTGAGGTAATGTAAGAGCTCTGATTTGGTTTTTCTATTGGATTGTTTGTTTTTAAAACTCTTGATTTACTAAAAACATTTCAAGGCTGGATTTGGCAACGGAAAACATGGCCTATTTAGAAAGATTGTAACGAAGACTGCCTTTGCCTACCTTTTCTTATTTTCTAACCTTCCTTCCATTGCAGGTGAGGGAATACAGGATAATAAATATATAAAGCCAGTGTTGATTTATGTAAAAATTTGGGGCAAGCACAGCAGTTTACTTTCTACCCTCCTCTCCAGCAAGGGGGAGGCAAGGCAGACAGTATGAGGCAGGAACCACTGCAGCTGCTACAATCCTAACCATTCACTCCAGTCAAAACATCATTATTTGATGGTCCTGTATACCAAATTTTTAAACATTGACAGTTCCACTACAAATATATTCAAGTAAGGGTTAGACACTAGGAAATATACTTTCAAGGCATGACTTCAGAACACGAAATGTGATTAAAAGTTCACAAATCCCTGAGGTTTCCATTAGCTTTTGCTCATAATTTTTGCATTTGCACTTTTTTATTTGAGTGGTTTGCAATAGCCATTACTGATTTACTTGGCAGATTTCAACAAATGAAAGGAAAACTTACCCACTGACTTGCTCATTCAACTGTTCTTTCGTCCATCTGGGTGCCTTCACTGATCCATAAAGCAGTAGATGCTCTCGCACCGTAAGTGTGTTAAACAGCACATCATACTGTGGGCAAACACCCAGCTCTGTCCTGATGGCAGCCAAATCAGTACGTATGTCCTTTCCATCAATAATAATGGTACCAGAGCTCGGTGGATACAGACCGGTTAACAGTGATCTAAGAAAAAAAAATTATTCCTCAAGATAATACGCAATGACTGTATTACATAGGTCATTACTTGGATTTCCTGAGGCATGTCCTAGCATCCTTAGAGCAACACCAACTCAGTTGAGTACAGTTATAGATACATCACTAATGTTTTGGGTTTCAATTTTATTGGTTTGGTTTTGGGGGTTTTTGGGAAGGGAGGTTTTTTGGGGTTTTTTTTGGGGGGGTTTTTTGGTTGTTGGTTGTTTTTTTCTTCATTTTGTTTTTTATGGTCTAAACAGTCCTTCATTTCCCTTCTTCCAGAACAAAATCCATTTTTTTCCCAAACAAAAATAACAGGTGATTGTTTCTCTTTTCACAAGGGTATTCTGTGAAGAGTATTTCTCAATTAGGTCCCACGCTGCGTGGCTAGTTTGACGAAAGCTGATCATAGCTAACATAAATGTAGAAATATAGACTTCTTACTTGAGACATTTTTAAAGGTCATTTTCATTTCATTATTTTCATTTCTGGTCAACTGCCAAGAAAAAAAGAAGTCCCTTACAGCCTCTAGGAGCAAAGCACAAAACCCCATAAAACTCCGCACTCTCTATGTGATGAGTAAATATAGAATGCCAGAAAAGAATAATCCCCCAAGGTGTGCTCAACTCCACAGCTAGACATTCCCAGCTCCTATTTAAGCTGCTCCTGAACTATTACATTATGGTTTAAGTGACACAGAAGACCCAGTTCTCTACTCATTACATTGCCTGTGTCATAGATATACAGCCTTCACTTTCCATGTGCTTTGGGGAGCTTATCAAATATTTATTTGGGGTGGGGGAAAGGCATAGCAAAGAATTCACAACATTTTGAAGTGCAAAAGTATAGCAGAGATCAGAGGGAAGAGTAATACCATTAAATGTCAGACTTACATAACTGTTGTCTTGCCAGCTCCATTAGGTCCTAAGAGCGCTGTTATCTGCCCTCTGTGGAAAGTGAGGCTGAGATCTTTAACAGCCACGTTCTGGCCATCCATGTGCTCTTTGGTGAGAGACAGCAGCACAACACCAATGGTGGCTCCTTCAGTGCAAGGGCCTTTCCAATTTTGAGGTGCTGGTTCTGTGTGGGAAAGGGCAGCAAAACAAGCAGGGCTGCTGAATCGAAACATATGTGTGTGTGTACAAAGGGAATAACAAACTAATCCCTGCTGCCATTTACCAAAGCCTGGAACAGATGTTCAGATGGTCTGAACTGCCACGAGCTCCACTGAAATCAAAGATACAAGGCCAGTTAACATTTGCTAAGAATTTGGCCTATTTGTAGTTATGCCAAGTTATGTCTCCATAAGGTCATAAAACAGTGGCTATATTTTATTTCTAGTAGAAAAAACTATTATTTGAATAATTGTTTTATGCCCCTAAGTATGAGAAAATTTCAACTGTGTGAGCTACTTCATATATGCTGTTCAGTTTCAGGCAAACAACATTGACATACATTTCACAGGCATAGCCAGTTAATCTTCTCAATTCTCCTCAGTCGACAAAGCAAAGCAGATCTCTGGGAAGTGATTCAGAGCAGCAGCCTAGTCTAGACATGATTCAAGGTGCTCAAAGCAAGTAGATATCCAGCAGTTTTCTGGCTGTGTTAACCAATTGAGGAAACTGAGATGACCATATGACTCTAATAAAGTTACTTTCCCTTCTATGTCAGGAGGAAGGGTTTCCAAACTGAGGCACAGTCAATCAGCAGCCCCAGAAATACATTATTAGCATGTATTATCAACTCGTTACAACTGAGAAATCTGTTAGTGGAATTTAATTTTTTTCTTTTTAAAAAGGGCAAGCCAAAATAGAATGCCCAAAAAAAGAAACTGCTATGGATGAGAATTATGAGAAGAGAGAATTATCCTTTTCAATATATATGAAATATACATTTACATAAAATATTTATTGTTTATATTTACATTGTATGTAATACTTTTAAATAAATAAAATGTAAACATTGCAATAACAGAGAATTATGCTTTATATAAGAACCAAATTACATAAATCAAATTATAAATAAAAATTATATAATTTTTTCAACGATAGGTTTGTTTATGTTGTGAATGAAAAAGCTGTTTTGCTCTTTTCACAATCAATTTTAAGCTTCTGGCAAAAGTTCTTTCTAAATTTGAGGTCACCTTCAAGAAAGGCACTACCAGCTGTTGTGATATTTCTGAGGTCTTCCTACCCACAAACCTCTCCCAGTTACCTTCTCTGTCTTTCGGTCTGCAGACTAAAACCACCAACAAACATTCTTTATGCTCTTTCCACTGTTTCCTAAATTTGCATCCTGGATCTTAACAAAAAAACATTGAAGTGCAGAGTGAGCCTCAGACAACGTATCTTAGGTAAGACTCAGAGGAAGAGCTTCAAGTTACTTGCAACCACTAAACTGATCACCTTAGGACTTCTCCGAAGAAGAGTCCCAAGCAGATACTCAGCACCCAGGTCTCTGCCAGCCCTGCTCTAGTTGTAATTCCAACTGGTAGGACTTACATGCCAGCCTTTCCCTGACACACCTCTGATTTCCTAAGTGCTCTCCACCCCCATGGAACCACCCCTTACCTGGGTTGTACAGAACAAGTGCAGAAATCACTTGTTCCAAGTTCCAAGAAAATTCTCCATGAATGCATTTACCTCATATTCGGTACAGTGACACCCAATTCTTATGGAAGACAGCAAGCTCCTTTGCTGCATGGCAGCTTTAGCATTCACACAAAGGGGATTTGCTATCAGCCTGTCCTAGTTAGCACAGCTGAGATCAGTTCATCATGGTATGGGTATAACCCAAAACTGGGTATTCTATAGCCTTCCATGCCATTACGCAGAAACTGTTGTCAATAGACTATTCACACCCTCCGCCCATAGAGCCTGACTCCTCAGGCTATAAACTAGGTGTTAAGAGGCCTGTGAGATAGGAGGATGCTCTTGTCCTCACACCCTTTATGGAAGTCCCCACTCTGAGCCTTTTATGGAACTCCCCGCTCTGAGGGAAGGATTGACCATTTCTGCCTGAATTGGAGAATATATAAACCTGGAGTTTCAGAACTTTTGCAACCACTCGTGGGATCCAGAGGAAGACTGCAGCTCATCGCTCTCAACCTTAGCTGCACTTCAATCACCGCTTCTGACCAGACTGCAACAGCTCTCCCACCAGCAGGTTTTTCCCCTCTCCCTTTACTTTGGACTCAAGCGGGGCCCAGGGAACACCACTTTGTTCATGCCCCAGGGTACCGGGTTGTACATGTGGGTTTTGTGGGTTAGGACCAATTGTTTGTTTGTGTGATTGTGCTTGCTGTGTTGTTTTAATAAATTGTTATTCTGACTTGTGGTCTCTCCTTTGAGTTGAGTTCATTTCCCCTGCTGGTTGACTCTTAAACCAGCACACAGCCACATGACATGAATCAGTCAAACAGAGGAGAAGCAATACACCAAGTGTAGGCAATGTGGTGAAATCAGAGGGAAATACTGGAAATCTTTGTTTCAGGTAAGGACCAAAGGCAATCATCTCAACAAAATGGAGTTGTTCCAAATTGCAGAAATTCCAACAAAATTCCTACAAATAGTTTTCCCACAAGTGTTTAAATGAACCTCAAGACATTCTGAAGTCTGCCCTTCTCCAGGAGATACCAGTATGTAAAACTGCTGAGTTGTTAAGCTTCTTCACCTGTGCTACAGACAAATGGATCATTTCCAAGCTATTTTAACTTTCAAAAAAGCACAACCCACAATGTTATTCTAAGGCGCAAGATGGAATATAGGTGAGAGTGACTTATTCCTTCATTCCAAAAATCTAAATTAAATGTCCTCACAGAGAACTCAGAGGCAGAGGGGGAAAAAAAAAACAAACAATAAAACAAACAAACAAACAAACCAAAACAAAAAACACAAACAAACAAAAAAACTGCCTAAATTAATTGTAAGCAAGTAAACACACAGAAGAGAAGTGACAGTATCTGGAAGCAGATAAATTTAGTTATAACAGTTGCTTTTCAAACAAAAGGCTAAGAAGCAGAGACAGAAAGAACAGTGATTACAGAAGAGAAAAATAAGAAATAGAAGGGAAAAAATGAACAAATTAATTTTTTCACTGAAATAAGAAGCCAATTTTTAAAAAAAAGTCAATAAAACCCAACACTCTTCAGATTCAGTAAGAGTACAAAAGGCTTCACTGAACTCCAAAAGATCCTAACCAAGCAGAGAGGCAATACACTGGAACACAATGAACCAAAGAGATACTTATTTTACAAGTTTAAAGAGTTTTCTTAAATATTTGTGTACAATAGTTTTCACTGAATGAATCAAGCATTACAGGTGACAGCACAATATAAGTTAGTATATAACGTTCATAGTTATATATTTCATTATATACTATATAATGAAAGAGAGAAAGTGACAAGATCAAAACACGTAATATAGGGCCAAGCAATGATAAAAGCAGATTGATCACAATCAGCCCACCTTTCAGAAAAAAAAAATTATTAAAATTCTATTACTACAGACCTTTTTCTTGGAAGTTTTCATTGAAGAAAAACATATTAGAATTCAGATAATGTCTCTTGCTCCTCTCTGCACCACACAGGTTCTTCCAGTAGGAAACAGTAAAGGGAAAGTACCATCGGTGTTTTGAACCAAATTTTCCTAGATCAGAATTATGATATAAACTTGAAAAATTTATAGTCATTTTGTATCTGTTTATAGACTACTAATGTCCTATCACTACTTACAAAGACCTGGTTAGACCATTTACTTAGCTCAAATCCTTGGCTGCACTCAACAAACTTTATAATAAAGTGCAAAAAAAGTCATTTGTTCATAACACCAGGTACTGCCCTAGAATAATCAAACTTCAGTGATACTGTGCTTTACCCTGTCTCCAAATCAGCTTCAAAGTGTAACAGGATCATAGACTTAACAGTATGTTGGCACAGCCTAACATAATCTAACCTACAGGAAAGAAAATGTACCAAATGGCCTGCCAAGGTAAAGAATCTTATTTTTTGTTATAAACATAATCCATAGCATCAGTCAATAAATATTATTCTGAAATTACTATCCACACAATGTAAACAAATCAGCTGCCATAAGAAACATTTATAGTGGCACACAAACAGAAAGGGCAAAACATGCTCCTATACACAACCTAAACTTTGGCATCGCCCAATCTTTCCAGGCATCACTTGCCCATCACACAGTACACACTCTGTGTGTTTAGAGTTACATTTCATTGACACCAAAGGGCAGGTGTCAATTTAAGATAAAGTTTTTTTAAATTCAGTTGTATATTCCACCCAGCCCTATCTTTCAAGGCAAAATTTATTTATTTTTTTTAAACAAATACAAAGTGACTGGAAGAAAAGGTGACATATCCAAATCAGAGGAAAGGTAAATTTAAACAGCTAGTGAGGCATGAGGCTATGATTGAAAATACATCGACCAATTCAATAATACTCATAAAACTTGGTTAAGGAAAAAAAAATTAAAAACCCAAACCACTACCTTCTGAAAATATACTTGAAAGTTAGTTTTCTTTATGCATTGGACTGTGGACTGACTGGGAGCAAGATACAGTTACCAGGCTGTCTGAAGCCTTTATGATCTGAAAACTTGCTGTTATTCATGTTTCAGCCTAAGTACTGACTCAGAAAACTTGTCATTTTCACAGGAAGTTTTGCTATTAGACTGAGCTCTGTTACTGTGAATTTCCAATAAATTTCTAATTCTATCAGATATTAGTCATCCCTATGAGCAAATAAAACATATTTCATGCCTTGCTACAAATTATATTCCATGTATTAGCATTACTCAATATTTGTGTATGTTGGAAAACTTTATTTCCCAGTCCCTAAAGGCAGTCAGACAGTTTGTCACATCAAAACCCTAACTCAGAAAATGACATACTTTTGTTTTAGTTGCATAAAATGAGGAAAGCCTATTCTATCTATTTTATTCAATAACTTCTTCAAAAACACAAAATAAGAACAAGTCCAAGATCTTACCAGGAATAATATTGCTGAAATACCAGCCACCTATAGAATACAAAATGGAGTCAAAGAACATCATCCAGCACATCCATCCGAAGGTCATGCATCCTCCTTGTGCCATTGACTGGTGCATATTATTCCACTGAATTCCTGGGAGTAATAATAACAATTTTTTAAAGGTCAAAGCTAAATCAGTACAGCATTAAAGATCACAAATACATCAACACCACACACTTCTGGGTATTTAAGCACTAGTACAAAACAAATCATAGCTAATAACAGTAATCCTAATGAATAGAAATGAATTGCTAGGCCTCTACATGCCTCTGTTTAGAACAGCAGGTGAAACTGCTGTTGGGAAAATGCAGGGAAGTTGTTCTAGAAAGAGCTGTTTATTTGGCAAAAGAAAAAGAACTACAACGTTGACAAAATGGGGCACTGACAAATGAATCAGGCTTTAAGTCATTCTGCTGATATAAAGAAAACGATTACACAAAGTTTAATGTCATTTCTATAATGCTAAATCTGAAAATTTAAATCTGTGAATTCTAACTTAGAAGCATTTGTGTGCATCGACTGCATTCAGAGATAACCATGAGCAAACTCACTGAATAATTGCATCATAAATTTATTATATTGCAGAAGACATGAAAGGAAGAAAGAAGGTGCAAAACACTAGTACTACAGAAAGCTACCATATTGCTAAATGGAAAACAAAAGTAACCAAGTTGTAGATTTATTGAAAGCATTGTATTTTTTTATTGAAAATGCTACTTTTTTTTGCAGTAAAGTTGGTCATGATATTGCTTCTACATTTCTTTTTCTATGATTGTTAAAAAAGTATTTTTTCCCAAAACACATTTTGCCATTCCTTCAGTAAAGATGAGTCCTTTTGACGAAGTGTCTGGTTACACTTTTAAGTAATGCTTTCTGAAACTATTTCTTCCACTCTTACCAACTTTTGTACCACTATGATACTTTTTCAATACCTAGTAGTTTAAAACATCCACTGTTATCAATACTGATCTTGCCATATTAGTAAAAAAAAAAGGATTACATCCATTTACATACCTGGACTTGATTTATCCTATTAACTCATTAGAGATTTTTTTCAAAACAAAGTGAGGAACATTTCCAATGTTAGTTTTTGAAATAATTACAATGCTTCTTCTTCTGGAGAGCTTACCTATTTCTTGGCCCTCAAAGTGTGTAATGAAAAATATTCCTTGCCCAAAGGCAGTTGTAGAAAGAAGACACTACAATACCAGAGGAGAAAGAGGATGTGAACATCAAATAAAAACATGTTATCAACAAGTTCCATGAAATAAAATAAATCGCGATAATGAAAGCAAGCATAAAATAAACAAACTTTTTTTCTTTTCACTTAGGCTAATGATAGCTATTTCTTTTTATGTTTTAACAACACTCCCCCACAAACTTCCGTAGTATTTGCTCCACCTTAAAGGGCTGCACTGACCCAGTTATTAATATTGAGAAGTGTTATTTAATTTTATAACAGGACATAGACTATCATAAATCTACCACGTACTGAAAACTTATGATGTAAAAGTATGCAAAGGAATTTACTTTTTGTGATAAGAGCAGTGGTCCTACTCAATTTTGCAAGACCAGAACTCAAGAAAAGACAAAAGCAGAAAGAACATGCACATTAGGTACTATATGCTGAGACAGCATTTTTGTGCAAGGAAATAACATTTGAATTTCAAGAAGAAACGCAGTTGTGCTGGATCATGAAAGTATGGAATGGAAAATAGCAAGTTAGTGATGTAGTATAGCAAGAAAGTGTGACGGAACCCATCCTGACAGCTTTCTAAAGAAAGAAGTATGATATAGGCTGTTTCTTAGAAAAAAAAAATCAAAATCATCACTGGTATGGTTTATGTATTTGTACAGAGAATTTCATGCTAATTCCCATCACCTGAGTTCCTGTCTCTTACGTTTCCAGGGTCTCACCACATGATGGGCCCTCTCTTCTGTTAATAATTACTGCTTTTTTCACATGCTGCTGTCTCTGATTTTCAGCAAAGGCAAGTGTCAGAGGCTGAAATGGTTAATGGCTTAAACGTTGTAAAATCACCAAAACACTTTTGGTCACTGTAGCAAACTGAAAAGAAGCAGCTGTTCACCCAGCAAAGCCTGCCCCTCCCTGAACATGCCCACTGTGAAAGGACCTTCAGGTTAGATAAGTTAGATAACTACCCCAGGTGCAGAAGGGCATGCACACCTGAAGCTACAACCTGGATTTCCTGCAAATCCTGCAAAGTGGGATAATCCTTCTTATCATGCCAATGTCCTCCCTTATATGATGACTCTGCTGTGAAGACCCCTCTGGGGAGCATCAAAGGCTTGAAGACTCATGACATGTCCCGTGACATTATCCATTAAAAAACCACTGCCCCAGGAGAGGTACAAAGAGTTCCCACCTTCCCACGAGGAGTTTCTGAGTTTGAAGTGTATAATCTTTGGGTTTTGGGGGGGATTTCCCCCAGTCCCAACAGATCAAGACCATAACTTAGACAGAACTATAATCATCACTTCAACCAACAGACATGGAAGCCGCAACTACAAAGTTTCATTGCTGGATCCAGCAGGTGGTGACTATATATATATCTTAGGACTCTTATCCTTTCTTTCCCTTTCTCTCCCTTATAGATTTCCTTCAGTATTATTTTTATGCTTTAAAATTGCTATGCTTTAATATTGCTGTATAACTATAGATGATAACACCCAAAATGGCAACATTTTGTTTACCTGTTTACCTTTGAAACAAAATTGTTCTAAAATAAACCCTATATATATTTATTTATAAACACTGATTATTCAATGTTGTTTGACTCTGATCCACCCCAAGGGATTTATTAACAAGAACAAGGGTTACCCTGTCCTTCTGGGGCCAGTCGTAACAGCAGGATATCTGAAACATTGTTTTGAAATAACTGATTTTAAGGTGTGCAAGTCCTCTGATGCACACAAAAAAAGCAACAGAAAACAAAAAATCCACTTTGCCTATTTATGCCTGAATTCTGCAGCCTTACATCCATGTTTACTTGTATGCAAAGAACTGGTATATTTTATCTGACTGGTTGACACTGAAAAAGTGAGCTTTTTTTTTAATAGTGTATGAATTATTCCACTAGTTTAATTTGATACATGAGTTATTCTGAAAGACTCAAGCCATAATGTGTGAAATATGGTTTGCAATGTATGATGATGATATTTGATGTCACATTTGGGCATATAGTATGTTAAGACAGTACAAAGACATGAAACAGCCTGTGGCATACACAAAACAGGAAAGGACCCTGAAGCACCTACGTCAAAGAATCATATACCTCAGACTGTATAGCAAGACAAATTTCTGATCTAATCTCCAATTTTACTCAACAGAGAATCAATCACTAGTTTTCCTCCAAACAAATAATGACTTTCAGAATTGGCATGTCATCAGCTGATCTAACGTTACAAGTATTTTGAGGTCAAAATATTAAGAGAACTCATGGGCATGAGGAATGCAACTTCCTGATACTTTCTGTAGGTTTACAAAATTTCCCTGACAATTTATTTTTGGTTCCTTTCTACATTCTAAATATTTTCCCAATTGGATAGTTATTAATGTGATTTATTTCTAGTGAACACAAAAGCAAACAGAAACCTAGGAAAAAATAAGTGAATTATAATCTAAAGTTTCTAAACTACGGAAATCCACAGCAAGGTTGGAGGAGAAAAATTAGAAAAGGAAAACAAATATTTACCATTATAATCTTGCTGATGAAACTCAGCTGGTTCTGCAAGACCAACAAAACTATGTAGGGTAAAAAACTGATCATATAGACAAGGCTGGCACACAGAGCTGCTGTATCGGCACTGGTAAAAAACACTCCCAAGAAATAGCTTAGCATAATAACTGTGACTCCAAATTCCAGGAGAAAAAGGAAGATGAGGAAGCCATTGCTATAAGCAAAGATACCACTTGCTTTTAAAATGATGGCCAGAGTAGAGCTGCTTATTGTGAGTACAATGACATTCTCAAGAAACCAAGCAAAGAAATGAATGGCTGGATGTACACCCATTGTCTTCATATACTGCAAGACAACACAGCAAAGAGAGTTAAAGTTAGGAAAAAAATTTTCTTTTTTTTTCTTTTTTAAACAAAACATTGCCACCAAGACACTAGCACCTCCCCAAAGGAAGTCATCTTCTCCTGAAATCACTTGTTTCTTTTCCCTTTTCCTGTGCTATCTCCAGGATCAAACACGGTATTGAGCAGGGCATTCTCTGGGATTACATACAAAACACAAGGGATTATAATGCTCAGCACAACTCTCTTTTGCAAAGGGTTGCAGGACCAGATGTCAGATTACTGGCTCCTCCAGTGACTTTGCCATTTTATACACTAAAAATTTGGAGGATATGCACAGCATTGTATAAACAAATGTGGTTTTTTGCAGCCTCTTGCTCTACTAAAAGTACCATACAGCTATGTCTGTAAACCTTTACATATTGACATAATAACGATACCCGGCAAATAATAATTTAGTATCACCCGTCTTTTTTTAAAAAATGCTCTTGGATACAATATAATACAACCTCTGAAACATTTTTCCTAAGAGGATCAAAATTAACTTTATGATATGATATGAAAATAATTTAATATTTTGAAGCATTAAAAAAAATATCTTACAATACAAAGAGTAGAGAAATTAGATAAGTTTCCTGTAATTCCCCAAATTAAAAAGCTTACTCAAGCAGTGATTCTGCTGATCACTGAGACCAGCATAATTCTTAAATTCTATGTAAAATTATATTTTACATAGAAAATGTACCACAAAACCCCCTGTCCTTCCATATGATTAGCACCTGTAAAGATTAGCTGCTGATATAAGCAAATAATTATCTCTTTTCTTATGTGTTGTCTTTCCTAATATTTCTGATAATTACGCAATGCATGACAAATTTTTAAATTGGTTAAGTTAGTGTTATCATTACAGACCATAGAGCAAAACATGAAAAAGAATCCAAAAAAACCCCATTCTATTCACAAGGACCCTTTCCAAATAACAATTTCCAGCTTCAACTTTTATGGTTCTTTTGCTTTTTGCTTTTTTGTCTCAGGGATAATATTTGCATGCTAGTGCTCAAACAATGTTGTGAATCTGAGTTAGAAGCTAGAATTAGAACCTACTGCCCAGAGGAAACAAATGAAAACAAATGAAAACAAACCATCTGAGTGCAACATTATGAGTACTTAAAAGGTCCTCATAACTTTTGCATTTTCATGCACCATAACGAATAAACTTTCTTTTCAGAGATTAATCTGCCTCTTACCTCTTCAAGATGAATTTCTCTTTCATAAACCAACTTGCGAACCATACCAGCAACTGAAACCATCCATGTTAACATCATCATAAGTGGGAAGAAAAACCCTATATTGTTCAAGAATCTATGAGAAAACATAGATGCAGAGTTGTCAGCCCCCAAAGGTAAAATATTTTCTAGTGGAATGTTACTAGGTTAATATTGGGACTATTCTCAATGTATGCACAAAATAAGATCTGACATGAACTCTAAAACTTATTCCTGTTCTGGTTAGAACTACTTATTTTTTATGTAACGGGCTAAATATACGTATCGGTACTACATTATTATATTAGCATTTCCAACAATACAACTATATAATTACTCTTTAGGATTCCATTTGAAGTCCGACAGAATTCAGATTTGTGTCTATGGCAAATTAACATATTTGGACAGTAAGGAATAACATGACTCAGTCAACTTTTACTCCACTTTAATAGATTTATTACCACTGACTAATTTTAAAATCTAATAGTCAGGATGTTTTCATGCTTTTACAAACAACAACCCTACGCTTTTTCTTTTCCTTCATCAACTTCACACTGTATTTCAACACACATGAGGGACCAATTTACAGTTTGTGTACAGGACAAATAAGGATAGAAAAGGGATCTCTTAGAATACTCTAAGTTAGTTGCACAGTATATTGACACAGCCTCTGTCCAGCAGACTACTCCACAGTATACCTGGAAACAGCTTGTGAGGGGTCATTTACCAGGCAGATGTTAGATAACATGTTACGTTAAACACAGCTGTTGGACAATATTTGCTATGCTGTAATATTGGAGTAGTATTAGATATATTGGTTCAACCCTGTGCCAAGATATACATTCACCCACTAAAAAGTGGGAAGCTAGTAAGTTCTGCAGTTCTCTAGCACTGGTCTAATAAGGATAATGCATTGAATTAAAAAGACGACAGTTTACTTACAGATCACTGGTATGACAAGGGTAAGGCATGGCTTGCACCTGAATGGCTGTCTCTGAGGTATCTATCCCAGTCTGTGCTGAAATAATTGCCCTTTCAATCATGTCTTGAAGAGGAATAAAGACATGGTTGTATTTAAACCCATCAGCTGGTAACTTCTGGGGATGGGACTTCCATGTTGGGTTTTTAATCAAATCTGTTCTCATGCTATAGAGAACACTGGTTCTAATTGTATATGAAATGTGTCTAGGAAGGCCATTACTAGAATCTTGCCTCTTGTTCTTCGGTGTATCGAAGATGATACCTGGCACAGGAAGAAAGGAAGCTTCATAACCAAGCTTATATGATCTATGCTATTTCTATAGCTAACTCATGGCTAATTACCATACAATATGAGATAGATTCCCCTGTCAGGGCAGGTCTCTAAACTTTCTTGACATCCAACACAATAATGGTAGTTTTCATTTTTTGTATTCATGAATTTGAAATGTAAAAAATTATTCACATGATACATGAGTTTGAACCAATCATTTTTATCTGAGAAAATTTATTCTGTTATTTTCCTTATTAAACTGCAATTTCTTTTTGCATCCAGACTTAACTCTTTTTTGGGAATTGTTCTCAATTCCACAGTGAAAGTAGCAGCCATAAAATTTGTCCATCAAAAGATAGCAACCTCTGGAAGTGGGTGAAAAATTAAACAGTATCAACTCACTAAAATTTACCCTGATATTAATTTTCAACTCAATTACAAAACTTCTACTTTAGTGCAGCAGAATTTTTATGTTTATTTTCTCTAGCTCTGTATAAAGAAAAAAAAAGGCAGATGAAAGCTTAATATGAGATGTAAAGATGAAGCCACATATATGGAAATTATTGTATTTTCAGTCTGGATGACCCAGACTTTTTAGGACTTTTTGATGAATGTGAAATGTTGCTCTTTTTTTCCTTAGGAAAGGGGAAAGGTGTCTTACCTACCATCTGATTTTCTGAAAGAGACTAAGATATAAAATAGTCTGCTGCAAAGCTTATTTCTTTCAACTGGTCAATCTCATTTTCCCATTTATGCAAACAGTTGGTTTCCTAAGACATTCCATGAGGCAATGAAGGCTCTGAAGACTACAAATGGAGCAAGGAAAATTCCAGTCTAGTTTAATATCTTGCTTTGGAAAGGAATGTATGCCTACGTCTAAGCATGTAACATTGACATGTTGGACACATTAGGTCCCTTAAAACACCATTTTCTCTCTCTAATAGTTTGAAGTGATTATAAGGCCAGAGTACCGAAAAAAAAAAACTCTCAAGAAATGTCTTGGCTTATGTTACCATATGACCTTTCCCCAGGTAAGTGGAAGAAAAAAATTGATCTAGAACTTGACAATTCAATTTTCTGAGCGCCAAGATTTATCTGCGCGTTTCACCCCTTGAAGGGACAGACAATTTTGCTCATATAAAGTACTCTTTAGCAATTCTCCTTATCTCATGGTATGACCTGTTAGTCTCACATTGATGGATTGTAGCCACTGACATTCTGTAAATGGGGGGGTACTGTGCAGGTTACAGAACAAGCATAGGATTCCAGATTGAGTAGTTTCAGTCTCTACAACTTCTTTCTTATGCCTTCTGTTGTATACTTACAGGAGCCCAAGGAGACAATAAAAACCAAAACAACAGTGGGAAAATGTCGTGGCACACTTCATGTGGACTTAAATGGGTCTCTTTTTTGGAAAGGCTACATGCAACTTACAGCATTTTCTGAGAGATGAGAAAGTGTGTGTATTAAGAAAAACACACTTGCCTTTTAAACTTTTTTGTACAATTAATTGATTCTCTAAGCATATAACGTGGGGAAAGGATAGAGAGCGTAATCCCAAGGAAAACAAAAAATATACCCATTTCTTAAGAATTTATTTACTCTGAATAAACAAGAGAATTTCTCTGAGATGTTACTTTAAGAATAAACCTTACCAAAACCCATTTCTTTCCTCCTTTTTGCAAAGTCAATAATATAATAATTAAATTTTGAAAGGATGTAAACTAGATTAACTAGATGATTTTGTCATAACAAGTAGTCAGTTTCCTCAGCATTCTACATTTTTTCAGCTTTTTCTACTTTAAACATTTATGACCATTCTTTTAAATATTTTGTTATAAATAACAGGCTACAAGTATTCATTTGGCTATTCGACAGTTAAAACAATTTAGTTTTTATTTACAGCATATATTACTTTATTTTGCCTGTATTATATGTGTTTTAATACACATTTTGTAACTGCATAAGCTTAACCTATCTTATCGATAAACATAGACAACAACTACAAACTCTGAACTATTCTGTCAATATGCCTTTTACATAACGGACTTACTAGCCAAAAGATTATTTTGCTGCATGAGTTCATGAGCCTTCTCCTGCAATTTTTCCACAGAGTCAAAAGGCTGGAAACGGTCCAGTAACACACAGGAAGAGATATTTACTACAAGCTGTGACAACAGGTCAATCTGTTTACTTGCTGAGCTGTTAAGCATCCTGTTCATCATGGTTTCTAAAATGAGGAAACAAATTGGACTCCTTAGTTTTAATGATTGGAACAGAAGGTGTGTCGTCACTTGCACATCCTGTAAGAGTAAATACCCTTTGTTTTAAAAAGCATAGGAATTTTAGTGTGAGCTTGTGGAAGTGCCATTCATGTTTCAGTGGCTTTTACAAGCCTGAGCTACATTTTCCTTCGATTTCAAAGGAACAAAAATGTAACTAACTAGAGCAAAGTTTTAGAAAGACATCATGTCTGAAGCTGTAGGACTTCTAACATTTTCTTGTCTCCATAACTCCTCCCACAAATATAAAGGGAATTGCTGTACTTCAAACATCACAGTAGAGACTAATCTGCCGTTTAATAATGTATTGGCCAATTTGTTTCTACCTGACACTGTGAATATTTCAAGAACTTTAAATATAGAGCATAAGTATTTTAACTGGAGCCCCACATTTAAAAACATCTGAAAAAAAGCCTACAACCTCTGTATTTTTACTTTGATTTTATCTATGGATCCAGGATGAATGTATACGTCCAGTAAAGCCTCATTTCCAAAAAAACTGAACCTTTGGAGAAATTAAAATCTTCATCCATTGGTATAGAATGTAGGGATAGTGCTATATCCTTATATTTGAGAAAATAAATAGAAGGATAGCAGGATCTAGAAACAATCTTAACTCATCTCGATTTAATGAAAACATTTGAATTTCTCAGGGAAAAAATAATGTTGTAAAACATCCAACACAGTTTTCCATCTTAAAATTTTCAAGGTTCACTTGAGGATATAGGCTTTAAAAAGGATAGGTGATGACATCATTTGATAACAGTGGTGACAGACAAATTCTGGAGCATAGATATTATTTAGCATCAGCACAGGAAATATTACAATAGGAAGGCAGATAAGTAAAAAAATGTATGAAGCAATCTGAAGAAGAGACATGATTAACAGTGAGAAAGGATAAGGAGCACACAGAGAAAAAGTAGAGGAACTGACAGTCTAGAATTCATAAGATAGGCAAACAATGACAGGGTGAATTCATAGGTTGAGAGAAAACAGTCCAAATATAGATCCTATATATCTTATTTATGACTATCCTTGAGGAGGACAATAAAGGAAACACTTTTGATGCTACTTTTTTATGACATTAGAAAGAACAGAATATTCCTAACATTAAGCCCTAGTGGTAGGGTTAAGCTTTCATATATATCTTTATATATGTTTATGTTATCATATATAGCCCTATATATATTCTCCCCTATAAAGACAAGCTAAGAGTATTGGGGTTGTTCAGCCTGGAGAAGAGAAGGCTCCAGGGAGACCTTATAGAAGCCTTCCAGACCTTTTTGTGGCCTTCCAGTACCTGAAAGGGGCCTACATAAATACTGGAAAGAGACTTTTTAAAACGGCACAGGACAAGAAGAAATGGCTTTAAAGTGAAAGAGGATAGGTTTAGATGGGATATTAGGAGGAAATTCTTTACTGTGAGGGTGGTGAGACACTGGAACAGGTTGCCCAGAGAAGCTGTATTAGCAGCTTCATCCCTAAAGTGAGCAACCCGGCCTAGTGGAAGGTGGCCCCATGGCAGAAGAGTTGGAACTAGATGATCTTTAAAGCCCCTTCCTACCCAAACCATTCTATCATTCTGTGAAATATACACACACAAGACCTTAATTAGAAATCAATAATTAACTAAAAAAAGCTTCTCTCATTAATTAAGTTATTGAATATTTGAGCATAAGAAACATCTTCTAGCTTGCTGTTTCCTTGGAGTGTGGCATACTTTAAGTTTTCTGGAAGAATATATTTTCTTTCGCAACGTGCATTAATTTCTGTATTCCATCACAGAAATAAGACATATATATGAACAGATACAATCCACAGGAAAGGTTTAGAATTGAGATCTACAGAGTTGCCTATCTTGTATTTTTTCCATTTATAAATGTAGCAATTATGAATAAAAAGCTTGGTGAATCTGTGTTTGCTGTTATCTTCATCCTTTGTTACAAACCAAGTCAGCCTTCATCTTCCACTCAGCTTGTTTAACCTGTCCTTAACTGATTTTTGTAAATCCACTCATACAAGTGCTATTTAAGATTAAAAAATGATAGAAGAATAAATTGGAATAAATCAGGCATAAATAAATTGAGGTCAGAAATTGGAAGAAAGTTTCTAGTTATCAGGAACTTTGGGTGGTGGTACATTTTTCAGTGATGACATCAGAGCTGTTTGTTTCCAGCTTTCTAAATACACATAAAACCTCATTACAATGAAGACAGCAGAGGGGTAGCATGAAGGAAAGCTGGCTGTTTTGTTTTTTGGGTTTTTTTTATCACCCAGGCTGTTACATTATGAGTCACATGTAACCCTGTGTAAGGGAGATTCCTTAATAGCAAAAAAACACATCTGGGAGAAATAACAGAAGATGGACAAGAGAGAGACTCAACAAGCAAGAATTTATAAGAGGAGCCTGCAACACAACTGCCTCCCAATGCCTCCTGAGAGGTTTGTAAGGACTGTGCCCAGCAAGGAACTCACAAGCTCTAATGGGACAGGGTTTATATATAATTGGTAGGAAATTATTGCAACTTGCTGGGCTGGAAAGCAAGTATAGAGGAAAACAGTCGCCTTGCCCACACACACCTAGCTTAGAAAGTAACGAAGGGTTTATAAAGAAAACCATAATCTTTTCAGCACTCAGCTTAATACTTACTTTGATCCAGGTGAGTAAATCTGACTCGACGACTGCGTAAAACAGCTTTAGAAATTGATAACTTTGTAGGGTCTTACAGCATGATGATTTTATAGAGAGGTTGGAAGAGTTCTATGTCTATCCACTCTGTACACAACACTTTCCAGCAGGAATAGCAAGGTGAATAACTTGTCACTAAGTCTGTTAACAATTTTTATAGCATTGTAGAGAAGTAAGAAAAGATACAAACACAAGCAAAGCAAATCTCTTGGATTTGAGAATAACTAGAAGTCATCTGAATGTGAGAGTAGGTGTGACAAAACAAGGGAATATTTGCTTTAGTTAGAAGACAAAATACATAATCGCACAGATCAGGTGATTTTAGAAAACTTGAGCTTTGGATGGAAAAAGAACAGATTGTGAGTGGTACAACCAGTAACATATATGGATACATTTAAGGCTTTAGTTGGATGAAGTAAGGTAATTAAAGGTCTAAACAGCTGATACAATGTAAGATTAATGAAATTTTAAAAAACAAACATAAGAATAGAGATTTACAGTAACAGCTACACAGGATTTTGGACTAATAAAATAAACAAAAAATACACAAGCTAACATAAAAATCAGAGTGCATAGTCATTTTTCAAGAAGTAAAATGACAAAGTGAATCTGTAAAAAGAAGTGTAATCAAAGTGTAAATGCAGAAGTGTGCTCTGGCACTTTGGAGAGAGGAGTTTCACAAAGGCATAAATTCTCTTGTGATCTATAGCCCATATTTATTTTCACTTTTTATATGATGTCAATTTTATCAACTATATTCCCTTAAAATAAAGAAATTCTACTTTCATAAACTACTTTACTTAAATCATATTCTGTATTGAGCATCCAAGACTATTAACCATTTATCAAATGTCCTTAGTTCTGTTAAAAAGCTACATCTTGAGAAACACAGGCAGAGATTTCCATGATGTTGTCTACAGTGGTGAAGGTGGATCTGATGACTACAGAGATCATAATATCTATTTAATGAAGTATTGTTTGTCCATAACCTATCATGTAGTTCCCAGAGTTGCACCCAAACAAACAAAATCCATCTGTTACTCAACAAATATATTGAGACGGCTAAATTTCCAGCAGGCCCTGAGCTTAAGAGACTTATTCTTTCCTCCCTTCTATCTTTCCAATAGTTGAAATGATTCTGTGGCTTGTATTATGATCCATCTTCACCATGGGGGTGAGGTGTGCACAGACTAGGCAGTAGTTCACTGGTTAAGAAAATCATTCTGAGAGGGAGCAGATTCAAATTTGAGTCTCTCACTTAAGGGGACACAGAGCCCACATTCTTTCTGGATTGAATTCTGGACACTGTTTGCCATTTTTCTTAGTAAAAGTGTGTGCAGCCAGTCCTAGTCCTCAAACACAGCCTTCAAACCAAGGCCAATTTCCATTAAACCTCACATCCTGTGTGCAAAGGAAAAGCCACACCAGCTCACACAAACTATGACTGTACCAGATCAGAGCAGTAGTACAATTTAAGACTGAGAACACACTTAATTTATGAGCTTTCAGGAGCCTCTGTGGATTTTGTCCATCTCCTGCCTAGAGGCAGGTACTGAATTCCAATAGAAGTTGCACTTCAGGTACATTTATTTATTTTAGGTCTATTCTTAATTTTTTCCTATAAAGCAGACTTAATAACCTGTATTGCTGTAAAGTCCATTTTTTTTGAAGCAAGGAGGGCCTCAGCATCATCCCGGTGGCCCCACTGGGCCATCCCAGGGCTGGGGTTGACCTTGATTACTCTCTACTGATATTGCAGCTCCCTGATTGTTACCCTATCTCAGGCTTTTCCAAGGCGCAAAGAGATCACGCAACTGATTCTCCATAAACATATTAAAAAAAAATGCAGGCAATTCTTGATCAAACACACTATGACAAATTTAATTTTCTATTTATTTCCTTCCAACTTTACTACAAAAATCTACTTCTACCTAATGGAACTGGGGTTACTGGGTTTATGCCTCCCTTCACTCCTTTTAAGTATAGGTCTTATGTTTGTAATTCTCCCACGACACTTTGCCACTTCTGATTTGTTACCAATATTGTTTCAATATTTTGAAATTCAAATTATCCACGCAAAAGAAAAAAAGACAATTGGAAAGATATGAGACAAACTCAAGGGAGTAAAATCTCTTATTACATTACTTTAGTATCATTGAAGTAGGTAGAACATTCAGTTTCAACTTAATGTAGTTCTAAGTTGAAGTTCAAGTCTGATAAGGCTAATCAGTACATGCACTTTTATGTACGTACCATATGTTTGCATTCTTTTTAGCAGTTTTTCCATGTCAATATCCAAATTACTTTCTATGAAGTGCTTTATGAAATTGCTTTGCAATGCTTCCTAAAATAAAAAGCGATAGCTGTTACATCAGGTTTATCTGCTCTAAGGAAATACAAAGTATAAATATGCATTTATGTTCAATTCCATTACCAAGATTTCCTGCATAACACTGGAGAAGTCATTTAGCCTCTCCATGGCTTTAATCTTGCCCTCTTAACAGGTTAACTCCACACACAGTTCAAATAATTGGAGGAGTAGGGGAGGGGAGAAAAGGGGGAAGAGGAGGTGACAGGGGAAGACAAATACATAAAATGAAAAAATCCCAGTAACAAGAATGCTTTTTTTTTTAAGTCAATATTTCCCCCATCAGTTTTTTCATCAGTTCCACATTTTGCTGGGAAATGCAAGGAGGTTCAAAAAATATTTTATTTCCCTTATTGTTCAGTGATACCATAGTGATATTGGAAATAGTGAGGTAACATCGCTTTTAAGTATTTTCACCTCAGAAGTTTCTCAGCATCAGACTGTAGGCTCATAACCTAAAGCTAGTCTGCATCTTTCTCAGCTCTTTTTAAATCTGAAGTCATATATGGACAGTTTTACATGTTTAGAAATACTGTATAGATCACACCACAAAAAGTTGAAAAATAGAAACTTCTCCACAGTTCACCAACCTGCAGTCGTGAGACTGTGAGGACATTTCCACTGGTTTTAAAAATCTCAGACATCCTAAGCCATGTCTCAGAATAAGTCTTCAAGTGTTCCACAAAACCAAAAGTGAAATTAGCCTGGGAAAAAGAATACATGGAAATAAATGAAGCTAAAAATGTGCACAGTAAATCTTAAGAAACAGGAAAAACTGCCATGCTTCAGAGCCTCTGCAATTTCTTTTCATTTCACTTTGATAGTCAGCAGTAAGAACATCCATGTTTTCTTTTTTTCTACTTAAGAAATCGAAAGCATTTTTTCGCAATACCAAGCAAATCAAAGAAAGGTTTTCCTGCACTGTGTTTTCCTGTCTCCCACCTGACGTATCATAAAGACCTCTTTATTTTTATAATGTCTCTTTCATACAGAGTATCATGGAGGTGCTTCAGAAAGACAGAGAAAGAAATACAGTCAGGACATATTCGAAAGGAAGCCTTTGCAGTTGAAGGTCTTTTATTCAAACTATTCACCAGACTATATAATAAAAATGAAAGCTGGAAGCATGGTCTGGACCATAAATTCAACTAGAAACATAAAATCAGTCTATTTCAACATACTCCCGCAGAGAAAGTCTTGAGTAAAGCCAAATATTTTCTGTCCCAGTCAAACATAGGCTGCAATTTCTCTCTTAGCAAACAACCAGCAATTTTTTTCCACCCTGTTTTAAACAGATCCAAGTGTACTCAAGATCAGAAAATATTGCAGTGTCTGTTTGTTTAAATTGGTGTTATCAGTCACAGAAGTGCATTTAAGAACAATCCAGCACTGTTGTTATGGTAGAAATTGTGACATTTCCCAGCAAAGAGTGTCTGCAGTGAGTTGTAAACTCCAATTTGGGACCACACGTTTTACAATAATTCCTATTGAAAGTATACAATTTCTACATTGTATTTTAAGTGCCTTTTTCAAAATCCCACTCTTAGCACAACATGAGAAAACAATTTGTTGTGGCTCTTTCTTCTTCTTTTTAGCACAGAAGGCCTCAAAGAGACCCTTACATGTAATTTTGTTTTCCCAAAAAACATTATGCATCTAACTTCTGTGAGAATCCCTATTTCACTTGAAAGAGCCATCATTCATTAGGATTAAAGTGAAAGTGATCCTGAATGTTAAACTAAATCTGGTGTCAAATGAACTAAACAAGTTCTTCTGACCAGAAGCAACACAGAAACCTCATGGACTGAAATCCCAGACCAGGCACAACGGTGACAAGATGAAGACCAGCAAGGTTCCAAGGGTGAAAAACAGCCAATATGGGTGTCTACTATCTCCTCAGGACAGAACAAGCACAGATCACACCATAATACAAGGAGATCAAATTTTCAGACATCACTAGAGATTTTTATATCAAGCAACTTGTAAGATCTGGGCTCAGTTCTTCTTGACTTGATTCTGAATAGCACAAAGGATTAATTTTTGTGCTGAAATTGCTTTCAAAGGGCTACAGTAACTATAATGTGCTTGCATTCAACCTCCTTATACAAACAATAAAATGTCCCAAATTACTGCAGCAGCATGGATTTTTGGAAAAGATGACCTTTATATAATGCAGGCACTCATTTGAAAGAAATTAAAAGACCAAAGCGGTAAGTTGTGTGCAGGAGCTATGGAGACTAAGGCAGTATCCAAGAAACTGAACAAAAACCTATTGCCCATCAAAAAAAGATTTGAGAAAGACCTTATGTGTACATACACACACACTACAAAGCAGGAACCTATTAGAAAACTTCCTTTAAAAAGAAGGTTACATCCAAATAAGAAACAAACAAAAGAAGTCTAGAGAATAAAAAAAGAAGGTGTTAGTTTAACAATGTTTTTGCTTATTCATTCACCACAGTAGGCCTTTGGGAAGTGCCTTGTGTCAAAAGCCTTCTACATGTGGAACACTTTGGAGAATCTGTTTCAAATTAAAGCAGTAGTATAAAAAAAAATCATACAATTTAACAAAATGAACAATAGGTAGTTTCTGGAACAAGATAATGTCCAGCCAAGAATTCCAAAAGCACTCAAGGATTAAATAATTGAAGTACTCACTGTAGTGTAACCTCCTGATTAAAATTCCCTTGTTATCAGGGAAGTGGAAAATAACAATGCAAATGCATAAAGATGCTAAGAGAGGACTGCAAACTAATAATTCTGAAATCTAAATAAGTTTAAATGTTTTTATACTAGTAATAAATTACAATAAAGAGTAGTAGTATATAGATAATATAAATAAATACAACTGGGAGATAAAAACACAGAATTTTGAAATAGAAGTTGTCTGAGATTGAAGTGGAAGAACAAACAAGTGAGGAAGAGGCGGTTGATGCAGAACAACTGAACACAGGCACAATGAATACTAAGAGATTATATAACCCAGAAAGCAAGTATACATTTGTACATCTGTACAATTACAGCAGTAAAGTCCTGGCAAGGCTGACCCCAAAGTTTTGGGAAATAGCAGAGTTCTTCTAATGTGATTGCCTGAATATAAGATCACCTTTAAGAATATTCTGAAATAAGAAATACTTCCATAAGATCAGTTCATCAATGGCAAAAAGTTTAGTTGTGAAAGTAAAGATCAAAACATCACATGTAGCCTTTGAACTCCTGGATGCCAGCTGGCACAGAACTGTTTTGCCCTCAGTCAGCACCACATCCTGTGTCTGTGACAGTCGCTATTATTCTAAACAATAGAACTGTTGATTTCTCTGAAGATAAGCAATAACCCCACAATTTAAGGAAGACTGATCAATTACATGGTCTTGGAACTAAATAGTTCATGTGGAAAAATTACAGAATATATCCTGGTATATGAACATCAATGTTCTTTGAAGCTTTAATCCTCTACTTTTTTATTCTAGTAAATAGCTGTCATGTGGTCATGCACCCTAAAGGAAATTAAAGCTTCTATTCCAATTTCAGTAGGAGATGAGGCTGTGTAAGGTCTACAGGGTTGGTTTTTAGTAGCTATATTTGAGACACCTGAGACAATATTTTGCATTTAAATTTTCTTTCTGTTCAAGCAGTAGCTGATAGACTTCTGTAATAAAACCAAAGAAAAAGTTGTTGAAGAAACTTTCCCATTATATTCATATTTACAGATAAACAGGTACACATTCATAACTGCTTGTTAAAGGATTGGGGAGAGGGACAGGTGTGTATTTACACAGATATCTGAATAAGCTGATGGAACTTTTGTGAGCCTAAGAATATATAATCAGAAGGAGAGCTTGTGCTACAGGTGTCTACCAGAATCTTTGTATTGTTCCAGAGCACTAACCCCACACAAAAAAAACCCAACCAACCAACCCAAAAAACAAACCCACATACAAACTTCTTTCTGAACTGTATTACTCAGTCCAGATTTCACTCAAAGATATCTAGGGGAACATACTGTATGTCAAGATATTTATCTTTCTTACAGATGCTTTTAAGAATGGAGGTTTGGCATAATTATTGGCAAAATAATGTGGAAATATATTAAGTGCATTATTCTAAATGTCTTTGTAACATAGAATATAATTAAGTATTCAAAAAATTTTGTAATTTTATCACCTACAATTCATTCTTAATAGAATTTCCGTCTATGAACATCAAGAGCAACTTCATTTTTAACTGACTAAAATTTTTAAATTAATTATTCTGAGGTCCAAACCAATAGCCTGTTCCCCAAATAAAGTTATTTAACTACAAAATATGAAATGGCTAAATCTTTTTTTTCAATTCAGAACAGAAACTATAAAGTTACCTAGTATCTGCTATCTAGAATGGGCTTTTTGACTTAGATTTTTTATTATCTTTTTAAAGCACAACTCAGAATACCACAAAGTTGTCCATTTACGGAGAATATAGTTACCATCACATTTAAAGTCATCACTTAAAAACAGAAATTATTTTTTTCCAGATTTTAAATTAAGACAAATTGCTGTTTTTGAAAAACTAATATTGCAGGATAAAAAGCGTATCTTTGGAAGGTCAATGCAAAATTTGCGCAGAAATCTAATGCATACTTAAAAAAGTCAACCTTTCTTTTACAGAGATGCTTCTAAGCTAGTTATGAAGAAACATCTTATTGTCAATAATCACACTCCAGACAGAGCACCGACCATCCCAGAACTGCAGAGACAATAAAACCGTTGAATGATACCAACTCATCAACATCCACACATACAGCACCTCAGCTACAACTGGTCATTCATGCTACTGGTGTTAGAAATATAATCAGGAAGGATGCACTGTAGGTATCTTGGGGTTTTGTTTAGAAATGCAGCTCAGTGACTCCCTCAGAACAGGCTTTTGTTCCTGGGGCATCCATTCCCACAGCCCTCTGTGCTGCCTCATTGGAGTTCCCATCACAAGAAAATGTTGAAGGCAAAATCTGCTCTAGAATACATGAATCCTACACCTTGATTCAGCATGATTCACATGACAGTTCTCCTAATGTGTTCTTTTTAACCTTTCTATACAAGGTTTAAATGACTTGGAAAAAAATTCTACTTTTCACACTGAGGTGAAACCACTATAACAAGTAGAATAAAAGTTGAGGGAAGCATTAAGCTTAAAGTGGGAAACAGGTGAGACCTCAGGGGGCAAGGTGGATCTAATTTTCTGAAGGGCAATTATACGACTGCAACTACCTACCCTGAAAGAACCGGACCTTTAAAATGAATTACAAAGACAAAAATCAATAAACAGAAATGGTACGATTTTTTGATACTCACCTTCTCTATCACCAGGTCAATCATGTTGATATTTGAATTGTATAGTAACTTCCCATGTAACAAAGGTTTCAGGAAAGTCCATAGCAAAGCCCCATTAGGAGACTGCAAAATCTCTTGATAAAGCTTCAAGCAAAAAGGAGCTGTGAAAAGAAAGACAAACTTGCATTTAAGACAGACAACACAGGTGTCTGTGGGTTTTTTTTATTCAAACAAAAGCTAGAGTCATATTTTGAGTCTGCCACAGCACCATGCTAAACACTATTCAACTGCCACTAAGCAATCAGTATAGGTCTCTGAATAGAAATTGTTTAACCACAGTCTATGATAGTGTTGAGGATGCAGAATTCTGAATGCTAAATATGAAAAAAATAATCAGAATCCAAAGAGCTCCTCACGTTTGTGAAAAGCAGTCTGTGAACCCTATCTATACTACAAGTTACATTAGTGCATTTAGAGCAGAAGGACATATACAAAACCTCTTCCCACAAAATGGATGCAGAGGGAACCCCCCCTCCACACCCTTTGTTGTTCTGCAGCTCTGTATTCCTACATAAGAAAGAAGTAGGAATACACAAATTCCTTCACAAATACAGATTTTTCTATTTGTATAATATCAGAAGAACCTACCAAAAAGATCAGAAAAAAATTGTCATGACACTTAACTTCTTGATTTGAAAAATCTATCAATTCACTTTTCCATTCCTTAATTAAAAAGACATATTCCTACATCACATGGGGCTATCAATACCTCCTTCAAAACTAGGATGTAAGGAATAGTTTCCAAGACCCACCACTGCATTTGTACTCATGTAAAGGCAAGGCGTTTTCTATGAGAAGCATTTAGATTTTTATGCCCAGTTCATGTGTTTTGAAGGGCTTATTATTTATTATGAGTGGATTTAGAAATGTGTCTTTTCTAATACTATGAATAAATATTAAATAATGTCATTAACTCCTCAAGGAAGACAAATCATTCTACATAATAAAAAACTAGGCCAAAAACTTTTAAACTCCTGACAAAAGTTAAAGAAAGAAGTGTCAGAAATGTTAGATTAGGAACAGTCAGTTCTTTGCCCAAATTTTTACTTTCTTGAATGAAACAATCATTAGTAAACACAGTCATTGCTAAATAACAGCAAAGGATTAAGAGACTGCAAGTTGGCCAGTCAGAAACATCAATATGCTAAAGGCACAAAAGATTTGCCAATATGAGTTTGCTGTCATTTTCAGGAAGTCACTAGGAAGTGTTTGGTATACACGAAACACATACAAGTTAATCACTGTGGAGGAGTATGAATCAAATTTCTGTGGCCTCAATTTTTTTTTAATTTTCATTTTCCATTGCCTCATTTGCAAATTTGCAAAATATAGGCAACAGTATTAATTCACTTATAGGAAGCTGAAACTAACTGATGCTTTAAAGATATTTCAGGGTCCTATGATAAAAGGTCTCGCAACACTCCAGAGCTGTGACACCTTGCAAAAAAAATATCATCAAGAAACAGTGCTTCTGACCTATGGAGCTTTGAAAGAGACTAAGTTCTAAACAATCTGTCTAATCAGCCATCCTGCTAAATTCATTCTTCAGAGAGGAAAAAAAAGTAGAGCTGCTTGCTTACCACTATATCCCACACACATAAGTGAGAAGGCCAGGGCAGAGCTCTGACTCCCTCCCAAGGGTCCCAGCCCAGCCAGGGGCAATTTCTAGCTGTAGAAACCAACAGACAACAGAATCTTCCCTAGTGGCACTCTGTCACTGTATTCTTCTCTTGCACAGAGTCACTGAGGCACTAACAAGGTTATTAACAATATTAAAATTAATCAGAGTAAGTCAAATGTGTACTCAGGAAAGAGAGCAAAGGTGAAATTACATAAGAGCCAAGAGACTTTTCTGAGCACTTGACAAAGAGAATAGAAATATCAGCTACTAAAAAACTCATTTTATCCAGAAGGTTTGCATATTTTACTGCATAGAGAGTTTGCGTTCACAGAAGAGAAGCAATGAGTAATGCATTCTCAGTCTTGTATTTCAAAGATATATTTTTAATAACAAGTGCTTTAAAAATTGTAATAAATATGTCTCAAAGACAGGAATATTCCTATTTATTATTTGCAAAGATAGAAAACAACCAGAATCATTTTTGTCTCATCCACAATTATCTCATAGCTATAAAACTTTTATCGATCAATGCCTTGTGTTCAAGATGACAGTGTCAACTAAGATGTCAGCTGGTATATAAATATTTCTGTTTAAGAGGGAAAAACTTCTCTAAGCTCTGAGTGCATACTGCAACTTGTGATTGATATTTTTTCTTACTTGAATCTTCAGGAATGCCATATTTTGCCATATTGTCTTCCAAGAGTCCCATGTCTCTGGGCATGTCAATGAACAGGTTTGCATTGCTGAAAAATGAAGATTCTTCTTTACACACTGCCTTGATTACAGACTCCAGGGATCCAACAGCTGAACTTCTGAACTGCCCACCTTGCAAAAACTAGAACAAATGAACAGAAATACAAATGTATCAAACTAGCTTTTAGTAGCTTCAGGGAGTAGCTCTGGTGTTCTGTCAATATTGGCACCCAAGGAGATTGACAAAATTAGGCTGTTGAAACTGCTTTTAAGAATGAGGGCCTGCTGTGCTCTTCTGTTCTTCTGATCACCTTTATCATGGTGAAAGGTAATGCAGTTTTAATTATCAGGATACTCAATGAAAGACAGTAATACATTAAACTTTGAAAAATTCTGTATATCAGTTAGGCAGAAAAGGAATGAAAATATCAAGACAACTGGGCTACAGATACCCTGATTCCATTGTTAGTTTTCACAGAGTGTGCTCTTCTGGTAGATTACTCCTGTGTCGCTAAGGCAGCAGAAACAACCAAATCCATTTTGCAATGAATGTTTGCAGTGAAGGCAGTTGCTAAGAAGAAAAAAAAGTATTCAAGTGCACATGCCCTAAAAGCCTGTTTTTCAAGTACATCTTTTAACTTGTTAGATGTGCTTCTAGTTTTTGCACATCTTGAGTCATACCAGCATTTATTATTGCCATTTGCTCATAACTAGCATACATCTAATGAGGAAAGAGAGCAATCTGACTGCTCTTATGGCTTAAGCACCATCATTCACCACACTAAAAAAAAAAAAATATCAACAGCCTCATCCTCTGTGCAGCTTCACTTTTCAAGTAATGTGCTCAGTTTTAACTGGTATCTGTGGAAGGCTGTACAGGCACGCAGTTCTAAGAGGATACAACTGCAAGGCAGTGTGCTGCTAGAGTATAACTGAGGGGTGCACTGGCTCACCTCATACCCATCATTTTTGCAGATGCATGTCAGGAAAGACATAACTAGACTATCAGACATCATTTGAAGACTCCATAACTGGCAAACAGAAAAAACATTGTGTTATGTCAAACACACACATTCAACACTGAAATAAATTAGCATTTTATCATTGGATTTTTTTAAACAGAAGAGTCAATTTTCAAAGTAGTACAGCACTTTACATAAAGATTTAATCACAGACAGTTTAGAGATTGAGCCATTAGAAACAGTTTATCCTGATCAATGCATTTACTGAAGTGCCAGGTGCTTCTTTAGTAATCCTGGAGGAATATCAGTAAGTGTTGTTTGAAACTTAGTGTTAGCTGCTCCCAAAATCTTACTTTTAGCACACAGTTTCAGCACAGAGCATAGTAAATAAATGGTATCCAGATTTCATAAAACCATCATCTACAGCCCTTGAATGAATCTGCTGGCATGGATTTCACTGGAGAAATAAACTTTATGCACAATGCTGTATAAAAGTGCTTTTGAATCTTTATTAGTGATTATTTGAGCTAGAGGGATAAATGAGGCTTATTTCAGTCAAAGAGCACAAACTTGCTAATTAATTCCAGTTCCAATCAAAATAACTTGGAATTCAAATAATGAATATTTATGCAGTAAGCTGCCACTAACAGGCTGAATCTACTTACTGTCTTTCAGCTAAATATCCACTGACTCAGAAAGATATGTTTCCTAAAATTTGGCTTTGAAGAAATAGGAGAACTATATAGGATGGATGTTCACCAAAAAAAGTTATCTTTGATCCAGTCGTTCTACTTTAAACTACATAAAGTAGGACTGCAATCAAGACTGATGAATCCAAACAACCAGCTTCCTACTGGTTCCTACTGACAAGCAAGTCATTCTAACAAATTCATGGAAGAGGAAAGCTAGTATTGAAGATAAAAAGGTATCTGGAACTAGATTATCAAATGGAGGCAAAAACCTCATAGAACAGAGGCTTCTGAACTAACTGAACAGCCGTATACCTAAAAAAATATTATGAATAAAAACAAATTCATATGGAATACAAATATCAGCTATTCAACAAAAGAACCTGAAAGTCAAATTGGGCTACAGTTTGCACATAAAAATAAAATACATTCAGAAGCATTACATTAAAAAGGGAAAAACTAACACAATTTTCCTGGAAAACTACGAGGAGGTTGAAGATAATTCGAAATGTGATGAATCAGAAGGACTAAAGGAATCAAATGCAGACAAATAGATATGCTTAATTCTGGGAAAAAACATAAAGAGAACAAAGACTTTGTTGTCCTGAAATCGACAGAATCACAAGGAAAACAGCAAAATTGATGATTTGATTAAACAGTTTTTCAGAAGCCTATCAAATTTAGATGGTACTATTTGAAAAGTAGAAAAATCATTTATACTCAAGAATGAGTGGCATAATGCTCCAGGAAATAATGGATATCTGGTTCTGATGTTCAACAGGGCAAGATATGCACTAAGTTTTAAAGTGAAGATTATTAAAGACAAACAGTATTTAAGGAGTAGAATTTAACACATTCTCAAATTATCACTCCTGACCAACACTACATATTTATGTGGGAGGCCAAGTCCTTTTTCCCCCAAAAAGACATATACTATGTCTAATATCAATTAATATTCTTGTTCTAAAAAATATTAATCAGCATTAATACAACAGCTATATGGTGGGTAAAAAGTGGTGCTAAAAAGATATTGCAGAAAGCCTGGTAATAGGAAATAAAACACTGGATCACAGAGAAGTTATTAGTGTTATTCCTGTGAGACCCAAAATGGGTCCACTGTGATAAGTTATTTAGCCCCAAAAGAAAAAAATTACTGCCTATCATTTAATACCAGAAGGCATTTCAGGAGAGAAGATCGGATTGCAATCCAGCAAGAAACCAATTACTTAATTTAAGGTAAATTGCATACAAAGATTACCAGTGCAAAACATTATTTATCACCTGAAGTCATGAAAAAGTGGAATGCAAGATTAGGAAAGTCATTTTAGTAGGTATAGACATGAACGAGCAGAACTACAAGAGTCATCAGTCATAATTCCCCTCAAAGACTGTATACTTTACTTCTTCCAAAAAGTCAAGTTTAGCCTTAACCCAGCATGAAGAAATGATGCTAGTTTGTCTGAGACAACTGAGAGCCTGTAATAAAAGAAAAAAACTAAAGCAAACAAAACAAATACTAAAATAAGTCTATTTAACCTATCAAAACAGAAAAGTACTGTGACAGGCCTTCCACAAACATATAGGCAAGTCAGAGAAGTTAAAAATACTACAGAACATTTTTGACACAAGAATAAACACACTAGCCGTGAAAAAACTTAAGTCAGAATCTTATACATTTATAACCCCCACAGAATCATAGAATCATAGAATCAGCTGGGTTGGAAAAGACCTCTGAGATCATCAAGTCCAATCCTTGATCCACTACCACTGTAGTTACTAGACCATGGCACTAAGTGCCACATCCAGTCGCATCTTAAAAGCCTCCAGGGACAGAGAATCCACCACCTCCCTGGGCAGCCCATTCCACTGCCTAATTACCCTCTCTGTAAAGAATTTCTTCCTAATATCCAACCTAAACCTTCCCTGGCACAGATTAAGACCATGCCCTCTTGTCTTACTGATAGTTGCCTGGGAGAAGAGACCAACCCCCACCTGGTTACAACCTCCTTTCAGGTAGTTGTAGACAGACAGTGATGAGGTCTCCCCTGAACCTCCTCTTCTCCAGGCTGAACAACCCCAGCTCCCTCAGCCTCTCTTCACAGGACTTGTGCTCAAGTCCCTTGACCAACAACATTGCTCTTCTCTGGACCTGTTCCAGCATCTCAATATCCTTCCTGAACTGAGGGGTCCAGAACTGGACACAGTACTCGAGGTGTGGCCTCACCAGTGCTGAGTACAGGGGAAGAATCACTTCCCTGGTCCTGCTGGCCACACTGTTCCTGATCCAGGCCAGGATGCCATTGGCCTTCTTGGCCACCTGGGCACACTGCTGGCTCATGTTCAGCTTCCTGTCAATCCAAACTCCCAGATGCCTTTCTGCCTGGCTGCTCTCCAGCCACTCTGCCCCCAGCCTGTAGTGCTGCATGGGGTTGTTGTGGCCTTGTTGAACTTCATCCCATTGGAATCAGCCCACGTCTCCAGTTGTCCCTGTCCAGGTCCCTCTGCAGAGCCCTCCTGCCTTCTGGCTGATCGACACTGTCCCCCGACTTAGTGTCATCTGCAAATTTGCTAATGGTGGACTCAATCCCTTAATCTAAACCATCAATAAAGATTAAATAGAACTGGGCCCAACACTGATCCCTGGGGGACACCACTAGTGATCGGCCACTAACTGGATGCAGCACCGTTCCCCACCACTCTCTGGGCCCGGCCCTCCAGCCAGTTCCTAACCCATCACAGAGTGCCCCTGTCCAAGCTGTGGGCTGCCATCTTTTCCAGGAGAATGCTGTTGGAGGTGGTGTCAAAGGCTTTGCTGAAGTCCAGACTTCTCAGCAATGATAGGTTAAACAGGGAATATATTCGTGTTAGTGGAAGGATTACAGAGTGAGGCCACCTCTCACAACTGACAGCATTCAGCAACTCAAGAAGTCCCCTCCAGCTTCTTGACATGAGTGACAAGCACTACAAAAATTAGGTATGGAAATATAAGTGAATAATTTGAAACAGCAAATAAACAAGTAAAAATCATGATTGAAATCATCAGTGTTTTTCCTCAGGGAGTTATCCATTCACTCAAGGTTGTTAACAGTAGAATTTGGCTCCATATTCCAATTACTACTGACTGGCAGATAGAACGTTCTTACATCATTTTTTATTAGACCATGTGTAAAATATCAATTCAACTTCACATTTTACATATATATTAAAGTTATTTCTTCATTTTCGTTTTTTCTTTCAGACAGGAATCCACATGCATAACTGACAATCACTTTATTATATCTTTTACTACAGAAGTAACTAATTTTTTTAAACTAACTTCAAAATTGTCAGTCTGTCTTGCTCTGTGCTGAAGGTTGACATATTTTTACTTTAAAAACACATTCTTTATTTGGTAATCTTTCCAGGTCACTGAACTACTTTGGTCTTTGTTATCATGAAACAAAAATCTGGAAAGGTGGACTCTTTGGAAATAGAAGAAAACATTTAAGGAGGGAAGTGTATAAGCAATATCTGCGCTTTAGTAGAACACAGTGGCACAAGTTTGGCCACCATAGAAGAGGCAAAAAATAATTAATAGTATTACTGGAAAGTAGAAAAAAATCCAGTGAAATCTGAAAAAGAAAGGATACCTAAACAACTTTTACTAGTCCAAAAAAGGAAAAAAAAATTACAGAGACAGAAGAGCCCTTGAAACCAAACATCTAATTTATTAATAAAAGAAATAGACACTGATTATTTTAATCCTCAACAAATTATTAGGTAACCAAAAAAACCAGCAATTTCTCAAGACAAAGGGATTTAACAAGATGTTACAAAATAAAGATTTTGTCAAAAAGAGTGATCAAAAAAGGTAAGATCTAAAAACGGACAAAAATTCCAAGGTTAAATCTATGGTATATTACAGGATAGTGGGGATGGCCATGAAGCAAAGTTTACAACTGTGAGTAGATGGCCCTCTGCTGTTCCATTTGTTTCTCTGCAAATTTTTTAAAAACTTTTTGAGAACATTCTCCTATCAAATAAGCAACTTTGGAATTTCAGTCTGAAAGGAATATTTCCTTTGTTGGAAAGAAAGTCTGACATAAACAGAACTAGTTTCAGGAAAGCAGAAAAGATCTGATGAAAGTAGCCATTCAGTGTGACAGCCAAAGAGCTGCCCCAGAAAGAGAGGCTCAAAACTAAAACTAATATGCACTAGAAAAACATTTTTCAACATGTCTCTATCAAACAGATTAGAAGATCTTCAAAAAGATTCATATCACTAAGGAAAATAGTCCTTAAGGCAGTGTTTACTCTGTACTGTAGTAATAAACAAGATTGCTCGGTTTACCACTGAGGGATCTTTTAGAGGTTTGCAATTTTAGAACCAGATTCAATCCTCAAGTTTCCACACAGGATAGTAAACCCATAAGGTAATGTCATAGGGGTCAGCAGGTCTTCCTATGGAACCTACTTAGAAATAGAAATCCTTTTTCTGATTTATTTAATACTAGGCTTACCACTTTGCTAGCTGTGTAGATGTGCATACAGCAACTGCCCTTAAAAGCAGGGACAAAGAAAATATCCTCACTCACACCTCATGCCCCTTTTTTTTGAATGTTGAACCGAACCATCACACAAACCCCTCACATGACTCAAACAGAAACACATGGCAAATAAAAGAACTGCACGTGCTATCTTAAAATCTTATCCTTTAAAAAAGCAAAGTTATTTCTTATAAACTTATAATGGTCTCCTCATAAAAAAAAAATACAGCATTAGCAGAAAAGGCGTGGCAATCTCCAAATCACAGATAATACATAGTATTGTTAATCAGTAGACTAACACTGTAGTAACTTAGCCTATGATCTCATAAGTTAACAGAAAAAGAGACGACAGAAACAACACATCAACAGTCTCAGAATTACCAGAGTGCTTGAAAGAGACCAAGTGAATCTTCCTAGGGTCTGTGGACTCTCTTCTCTAAGTTCCCAACTTTCTAGGATACCATTTCTATTAGTGTGCCTCCTTACTAAGCATATATCCCTAAGTAAGCACCTCATAATGGGAATTAATTTGGCGTATTGAAATCATACACATACCTGCTGCAATGCAGAGATGTCAAGCACACCAATATTTTTAATTCCTTGGAGGAACACTGGAAGCTTTTCCATGACATGGTGGACTTTATCAAGAAGTGAGCTGATACTAGAAACCACATCCAGTAGCATATTTAGCACATTGCCTATCTCAGGTGGTATCTGGATCTTGGACAAGAAGGAAAAAAATCACAGCCATAAATTCCCATTAGAAACAAATTTTAATCTTTCAATGAAACATTCAAAATTATTTACCTTTTCTCTAAAACTGACTATATAATATTCCTAAAAACCATGTTTAACGAAACTCCTTTTATTATAACTCCCCAGTCACTCTCAAATTAAGCTGAAGAAAAGTTCCCTGGTAATGTTAGAAGTGGTCTATGAGAAATCATGAATTAAAATTCAGAGAACATGTTTACACTTGCCAGGCTGAAGAGAGCTCTCCAGCCCAAGATGCTAATGGGATCTGCAACATTCTGTCCCCTTGGAATTCAGTGTAAATGAGAACTTTTCTTTTACCAGGTTAAAGATGTTCAGTGCAGGAATTTAATGTTTCAAAAATAATTTGTAAGTTAAATTAAGTCTAGCAACCACTTTTATTGCGTAATATGACTGCTAAAGCAACTAACTTTCATTTCGCACTTCTCCTGCCTTTGCATTTTTCATACTCAAAATGATTGCATGTACTTCATTCCCTACTTGACCTAAGTTCAATTGGCTGTTTGCTGTTTCCACCATGCAAATTTTGGCATTATGGATTTTCTCTCTATTCCCTTTGCTTTTGTGGTTTATTTAGCTGATACAATAACACAAAACAATTCATTGTTACCTGTCTATGCAAAATACTAAAAATACTATCATCTCATCACATGCTTTCAGTTGCGTCTTCTGATTACTTTATGCACCTTTATTGGACTTGCTATTATAATGTCTGTGCTTAATTTTCATCTCAGCCTTCACCTGCTTTTACACAGTTTTCAAAAAAAGAAGGAGAAACTGTAGAAAAATCTTATTCAGCCAAAAAATTAGCAGCACTTCCATTATAATTTAGGATGAGTTGACAACATTGTTTATTCTTTGCTAGGAATTCCTTGTTTCAATAGGGTTTAGTACAAATACCCATCAGAATAAGCGCTGGTTTCTTTTCTTTTTTTTTTTTCCCTCTAGGTTTGCAGATAATTCAGGAAGTAGAAATCTTTTCTTTTATCTCTGGTGTCTTTACCTATTCTGGGAAGTGGTCTTGATTTTAAAAGTCTGTAGTTGACCTGTTTTACCGAGCATGCAGCATCCAGAATATAACCTGGCTTTAAAACAAAATATTCTTTCTCCTGATGTTATAATTTTATTTCAGCTATTCATACTTACAACACTTTATGTTCTATCAATCAATTACCCCATAATAACTGAAATTAATGTTTTTTAACTATCAGAAATCACACTCAATAATTTTGCTCTTATAAGTAAAAACATTATCTCACTGAATACCCACACCAGATTGCAGATTATCTACACTTCTACATATTATCTACATATAATACAGGCATGCTACAGAGTTTTGCATACTTAGTGCTGTGAATTCTTCCTAAAAAATAATTTTGTCATTCTTGTGATTTGAGCTTTTATGGTTGTTATAATTCCCATGAAGCTCAGTCTCCCACACTTACACATAAAGAAGTGACTAATTGCATGAAGTGCAAACTCTGCTAAAGAGTAATAAAACTATGTCTTTGACTTCCTGTATTTCCTGTAAAGCTTTCATAACTAACTGCCAAGCGATAATCTTTCTGAGGAAGCATGAAATGGAATGCAATAGCATCTATCAACCCCATTCTTCAACCGTGTTTGTTCTGTGGAGCTAAATGAAGACAAAAAACGCCATATGTCCACTGTTTAATTCCACAGAGAAAGAACATCTGAAGAAATAATAGAATTATCAATCTGTCTACCTGCGTTCTTTACACCACCTTCAGAAGAAAAACATAGGAATCAAATGGGTTTTTTCCATCTTACCTTGTAAATGATGTGACGTAAGTTTAAATTCTGTATAATCAGCACAAACATGGTATACAAGTCCAGTGCTGGTAAGGAACATAATTCTTCCACTACCAGGGAAGTTTTACTGTTTTCAGGCAGCTTTAGCAGCAGGCTAAGTACTTCTTCATCACATCTTCCAGTTAAAGCTACCACAAAGGCACTGTAAAAAACCTATCAGAATGTATGTGTATTAAATTTTTTTCTCCCTGAACTGCACCATCTTTTTTTTATAGTCAATAAGGTGAAAATTTTTGTCACAGTAACATGACTATTTGCAGTCACCAACAGACCTGAAATAATAAACTATACAGCTTTATATCAGATTGGTGTGTTCTTACTTTATACTCTACGTACATATAAAAAGATGAAATGTATTTCTTATAAAGATTTACTTTCATTTGTTCACAGATAGATCATTCATTCTATGAGCATTCATTCCATAAGCAGGCATATTTACAATGTTGAACACACTCCTTCTAGCAGATATACACCTTTGTTACAGCAACATCTAAAGATCAAAATCCAGGTGTTATGAATCACTAAAATCAAACAATGTGGTACTTCCTTATTTCAAAGGACACACAAAATTAACACTTGGTAATGCCTATATGGCACAACGTTCACTCTGAGTCAGCTCACATTTCTCACTTAAACAGTCCTTTAAAATGTCATTTCGTAGTGGGTGAAGGGACAAATAAATGAGTAAGAAGACCTCAGGTGAGACTAGAGTAAAACCTTGGATAATGATGGTTTGTTTCTTCCTACAAAAATGTCACATCAAAAGACAAGCGCTTGTAGTCCAGATATCTCAGGAGTTCTTAGCTACCCAATCTTGACAAGCCCAGAAAACTTACAAGTTTTTGTAGGAGACTATAAGAGTCAACATATAGGGCTCCATTGTCCTGCCTAGGACAGAACCCACCTCTACTGCCTCCACTGAATGCATCTGTTGCTGGTAACAGTACCCAGCAAGGGAGAGAATCTGCAAGAAAATCCAATTAGGAGCCAAGATTGGTCAGGATATGCGATTTAACTCTTTAATTCCTATAAATATTTTGTTTTCCAACTCATAATTTGACTTTTCAAATTTTGTTCCAGAACAGAATTTTGCCCTTGTGATTCTACAGGATTTCCTATATATTTAAATATTCACTTTTTGTGTGTGCATACAAGGAATGGTATATGAATATACTGATCTAGACTTCTTTCTGTGGAGGAAAATTGAGCATGATACAATTTGAAATTTATTTCCTCGTGCCCCACATGAATATCACCATTTCAGTGCAGCTGTAACCCATTCTGGGTTTTATCCACTAGGGTAAGTTTCTCCTTCCAGCTTTGTGAGTACCAGACCTAATCCAAACTCTTATAGTCAGTAAATGAATGCTTATAGTCTCCAGCTTATAGGTGTTGAGCTATTTCAAATCACTTAATCACATGTCAATGAGCATGGCCAGCATACAATATCGTGGCACAAATTATGGGCAAATGCAATAAGCACAAATAATTCTCAGGCTTACTCTTACCGTTACAGAGGCAAGCACAGTACAGTATACAATCACAGAAATACAGGACTACAATGGGCCTGCAGCTATCATTAGGGCTATCAGACAGTGGCTATATAGACCATAAACATAACAGGCATGCCTAAATTACGGCTTTAAAAAGTACTTGTGCAGCTTGCATAATCAGTAGGAAACACAGACATTTTAATACTCCAGTTGGATTGGGGGAGGATTTAAATACTTAAGCAAAAAAAAAATTCTATATAAATATGTGAATGTGAGACGTGTATATATCTAAGCTCTATATGACTGGCAAAAAGTAAGGATGGAAAGTAATTTGACATTTCAGTCAATTAGCATTATTGTTTCAAAGGATCAAAGTGCACCGAATCCCATTTAACTGAATTGCTTTCAGATGACTTCTCTCATTATCATTTACTGGTATCACAATAACAAGCTAACAATAAAGGCAGTCACAATGCCAGAGAAGCAGAAGAACAAATCATCTATAAGTAGTTATGATGGTCTGAACTGCCTTTAATAGCTGCACTTTTCATTAAAAGACTTGTGACTGTTTCTGCAAGTGGAGCATCACTGACACCCGGTGGCTGCTTGATTGACCTGAAGAGTTTACACCAAATGCACCCACAACTCTTACCAGTCATGCAAACACTAATCAGAGAGAGAATCTGTTAAGTAGGTGGCATTTTTCATGATTTCTACTGATCACAGGGATCGCAGAAAACAGCAATGATAACACAAAGTCTTACACTCAGAAAACTTACAATGCTCAAGAGACAGCAGATAAAGTGAAAGTAAAGTAAGATACTGGTAATATAGTGTAAGAAGAGTGAGGAACACACAAATAAATAAAAAAACATGCAGAAGACAACCCCCTACTGCAAGGAGTAGAGATGGTAAGATACCAAATGGTATCTTCAGAAATCCCCATCTTTTCTACAATACCAAGACAGCAAAGCTCAATTTCTGTATCAGTACAAGGGGGTAAAACACTGCTGAAAGTAATGAAGCACTGCCATTTGGACCAGAAGACAAGTGCTAATATAAATTGATCTCTTAATGCATCACATTATTATTTTTAAGTCCTAAAATTCACATAGATATTCCACATAGAAATGATAAGTGAAAATATAAGATTCCACACAAACAATATGGCTTGTTTTGTTTCAGCTGGCGCATCAGGCTATAGGTTGACCTATTAATCTGACACCTTTTTTTTATCTTTTACCTTTGAATGAGAGACACTGGCTTCCAAGATGGTATTGACAGTTTCTTCTGAAATATTGACAGAAGAACCAATGTCTAGCCTCAGCTGAGTAAGATTCTGCACATACTCTTTGACTTTCACATCTGGAAGAAAAGGGAAATAGTGCCAAAAGTACAAATCTGCTTAATTAGATTTCTCACAGATTGTATCCTTTTCCTTCAATTTACTGTGAACAGTGATAAAGGACAAAAACTTCATATCATGTAATTCACTTCAAATTTAAAGGTCACTCTTCTGTCAGACTTAAAGGGCTTCTGCATCTGTTTGCGTTATTCTACAAAAGCACTTGTTATCCCACATCCCTGTACTACAAAAATGTCTGAAATTAGTATAACAGCTTTTAGTGCACTCTGGTTTTCTCCTTACACTAATTTAAGCCCTCTCTTCTTTCTAATTAATCCCTACATCTTACTGGAAATGTTCTAGCTGAATGTACTATGCAGTCCTGTGCCAACTCAAGGTGGATGTATGGGCACATGTGTACAATGAAAATATATCGCATTAAGTCAGTGGTCTACATAGGCAGTGTACCTTTGAATTTTGAAGAATAAAGAAACAGTTATTGTCCTACAAAATTACATAACAGAAGTTTACAAAAAAGTGAAGAAAACTGGAACCCACCATTCAAGAGATTTAAATTGCTGAGAAGAGCACCTGCTGGATTTTCTGACAATCGTAGCTCCAAATTTTCAGCCAACCTGAAATGATAGGCTTAATTTCACAAGTTATCAGAACAAAGTCATTGGTATTTCTATGCATAAAGACTAACATGAATAGTGAAACAGCCACTAAATGAGGCAAAAACGTCACATTATTCTCTATGTGCACACGCTAGCACCTCTACAAACCTTCTCACACTGTATTTATATGGTGCAGGGATTATTTATATTCTGTGACTAGATGAGACTGCAAATGTAGGGTCTTCCCATAATGGTTAAGTGCTTTAGCAAACAGTAGTTTATGTAGAAGGACAGATTTATCAATGTCTCACCACCAGGTTTCTTACTGAACACACATTTTTAAAACCTAGAGATACAAATCACTGAAGTTCAGGATGAATAAAGTCTATCTAATTATAATTTAAGTAAGAAAGAGTATGCACACATCAGATATTATTTATTCTTCAAAAACTGTACATTAGTCCATGGCTTAGAGCAGCATCTAAGCTCAAGTTCTTTTGTATTATTACTGTAATTCACAGACACAATTCAAGCTCTTTATGAAAACAACCCAACAGCCAAACTAGTATAGCAACAATTATAACAATGACTGGTTCTAGGTGATAGCAAGTTTGAAATACTCTGTAGTAGCAGTTTTATTCATTTACTATTTTTCTTCAAGTGAATAGAAAATATCAGAAGTTATTTGGAGTATAATCCCATCAGTTTACAAACACCATCCCACGTTTCTGACTGTTTGAACTGCTGAACTGATGTGAATGCTTTCCGTTTTGCAAAAAGATATCCAGCTACTGAGAGGACAAGCCATATCAAAACAGCTTTAAACAAAAAATTTAGATATCAAAATTTTGACCGAACTCAAGTCATAGGAAACTGAAAACTTTCTTAGTTGCGATTCAAAGCATTTACCTGATGAAGCAGCAAGATTTTCTGCAAGTGCTCAGCAAAAATTTAAGGGCTTTTAGAAATATTCAGAATTTTTCTAATTTACTTAAATAATTTGTACATTTTATCCACTCAATTTTCAGTCAAATGAACAAAGCTTAAAATGACAATATTTCTCCTGCAATTATATAATTTAGAACACAGATGTGTACAGAATAACATTGCTAAAAATACAGAACTGTTTGGGGTACCAAAATGTAAAAAGTTTTACATTTGCAGTTGTCTCTGTATGTTCCCCAACATTAGCTGACATTCACAGCTGTCATTTCTGGTATTCTGCAAGGGTTCCTGGAAGGTCTCCAAAGTATGGGAAAGGTTTTGGTTTATATATGCCATACTCTTGCAATCCCCCTTGTTGAAAGTAGGCCACAATCTTTCAACATCCTGCAAAACGCAGTGGTCATACAGTTAGTAAATTCATGAGATTGTGTTATTGCTTGAAATAGCAGCTCTTGGCAACTAGATGATACAGATTTTCAAGTGAGAATACGGGTAAAGTAATACTCTCTTACTGATTGTATGAGTAATTGAAAGTGGGTGAGAAATTTTCAAGAACCAAGGAATTTTCAAATATTTGAGTTTTGGAAACAGCCAAATTGGGAATTGGAACTAGCCTGTCAAGGAGATTCATCCACTACTATAAATGCAAACATTTTAATTTCAAATTTATTTCAAAATGAAATAAGCTTTTCTTTCTTTTTTCTTTTTTTATTTATTTATTTTAGGTTGACAATTTTTATCTTTTTCCCAAAAAACTGTTTTGAACATCAGTTTCCATTCAACAAACCAAAATATCCTGATACTAATATCCAAAATTTTTCATGCATTATGCTCTGTCTAATATGCACTTTTATATTTTCACTGGAATATGCATGTTTTTCATTTTGCAAGGCTGTTTTAATATTTGCAGGAGTAGGTCATAGAATGGTAGTGACTACAGAAATGCATTTGGTCCTCAAAATTCTACTTTGACATATTAATGATACCTCTTGTCATCTGTTTGTTTTAAAACGTTGGTGTTCATATCAGCAAAGTGTCCAGGTGAATAAAGTAGCAGAGCTATTTCATAAAAAGGAGGCAAATTCTATACTAAAAAGCATGACTTCAGTATTGGGTATGTGTGTGCTATCACAAGGCCTGCTTCCAGCTTTGGATGAGTTTCTATATGTCAAATATTACTTTCTCCAGCTGGTAATTTCATGTACTGTTAAAGAAAAACAGACTGACCCCAACTGGTAATCACAACTACTATTTTATCTGGAATTAATCTGCCTAAGAAGTGTATTCGTATCTAGTTTGATTTCACAACTGTTCCTGTGAAGATTTAAAAGTATAAATGTACTCTAATTCATTAAATCATCAGTATGACATAATTTAAAGAAATTAAAAATGAGCTGCTGTTTGATATTGATTGACAATCCAGTTATTCTAGTTGTAGGAATTCTAATAATTTTAGTCATACTTACAGCTTGCAAAGTTCACCATTGTTTACTTAAGGAATTTCTCCTGAATATCACTATCAAAATCATCAGAGCTATACCCATACAAACCTCAGCTTTCTATAGTCACCAAGGGGACTCGTCATTCAGAGTGTGGGAAAAAAGGAAACTCCCATTAGTTTCCAGAGTTTAATGCATGTTGTAAAGCACACTGGTAGGTGTGGGAACCACTCAAACCTGATAATGATCTTGAACCACAGTGATCCCTTCAATGATAGCAGGGAGCAAGTGACTTGTTAATCCATCTTTACACTTTGTAATGACACAGAAAATGTTGCCAAAGACAACTGGTTCTTCTGTAAGAGAAAATGTCCAGGTTTAATCAGTTAAAAACCTCATAAAAATGCTGGACTCAAAAGTTAGCCAACTAATAAAGGACAACAAAGTTTTTAAAAGCAAAGAAAATCTGATGAGTTAAAGGCATAAAGAAATATGTCTAGCTAAATTTAGGTATCATTGCAGAGGGCAAGAAAGGCTGATTTGATTCAATTTCAATTACTCTTCTCCATTACACTTTCCTGGTCAATAATAAGAACATCAATACTTGCTACAGAACTAGAGAAGAAAAATTTCATATTTGGTCTTCGTGAGCATAACTGTGAGAAACTGAGTATATCAAACGCATCCACCTTCTCCTCAGTCAGGCTCCCCTGATCCTGTTTCCCCATAGAGACATCAGGATGTTACTAACCCTTCAGTGCACAGTTACTTTCAAACCCTAACTGCAAGGAGAGGGAAACAGCATTACATGGACATTTTCCATATCTAGGGATAATGAATCCCTATAGGGAAATTTATCACCTGATCATCCATGGAGGCAGTTTCTACCCAATGTTGCAGCCCCCACGTCCTTGGAAAAAAGCTCCATTCCCCTGTCTGTAATGGGTTTGTAAATGGGATAGCAGTGAAGGAATTTGGCTTGACTGCTGAATTCTGATTTATAACCAGGATTGAGTTAGTTTTTTCAACCATGTGGGTTGGGGTCTTTTCCCTTATGTTTGGTTCATAAGTCAAGTAGGAAGAATAATAAACATTCCCCACTGCTTCCAAAACAAGGAAATCTTGATCTTGCTCATAGAAGTAATACAGTATAACTCAGCAAATCAAACCAAGTCAAGCAGTTTTCATCTTTTCTCATTAGGTTTCAATGTTTTCTGTAACAAATGAAACATTATGAAACACTCTAACGACCAGAGTATTGAAATAAAAATTACAAGAATGTAGTTGCTGAATCTCGGTTCTCTCAATAGGCTGCTCTTCAGAGGTCAGATACAGAACCCAAGTACTTTCAGTATCACCTATTCACAACACACAGCATCACAGTTTTTGAAACTACATCGGTCACAAGAGAGTGGAGAAGACAGTCAGAACTGGGTGACAATCACATAATCACATTTTATGGGGTTTTTTGGAAATTAATTGGGCATAAAACATTACAAGCAATTCTGGGCATGGCTAGTTAAAATGTGATGTTTGAAAAGCACAGGCTTTTGTTTTCCAAAGAAAACATGATATGAAACAATTCTCAGGTCAATATAGAACCTTTCTTAAAGTGCACGATTTGGGGGTCTATACATAAGGAATAAAACGTTAAAATTGAACAATATGTTGAAGAGAAAGTCATTCAGCTACAGGTAGCCAATTCACTGGTTCAACATGGCCAGAAGTGGGAGGTGTTACTTCTTTTAAATACTTGCCCCATTTTTCCTTACTGTCAGCTACATGCTGCCTTGCAGCAACTCTGGCTCATTAGAAAAAAACCCTGTGACTTGACTCTGCTCACTAGTTGAAGAGGAGCAGCAAGACCTGCTTCCACAGAGATTTGAATCAGCATAAACACTCCAGAACGAAATCATCCCTTTGTTTGATCTGCATCAATTTTTTTCATGTGCCTTTGTTGATTTAATTTCCAGGCATCAATATGCTTACCTTTCTTGGCATCACCCAAATTAACTTATTTGTACACAAGTTTGCTTAAAGTAAAACCTTGACTTTACAGCACTAACACATATGGTGACCTACGGAGTCACTACTGGGTAACCAACCTGAAAAGATTTTGAGAATACTCAAAATGGTAAACTGCAATTTCTGCAATAGTAGAACACTATCAGGGTACAAATGTTCCTGAAGAATCTTGCAGATTTTAGATGCTCTGTAGAAACATTAATAAGAAAATATTATTTTCACAACAAGAGTACCACAGAAAATTTTCAACAGGTGACTGTGCACAATTGCACAGTTCAATGAACCACTTAAGGGTTTCAATACTATCACATTTGTCCAAATTATTTCAAAAACAGAACCTAATATTTCCACATTAAAAAAATACCTTAGGAGTGCTAGAAAGTACCTTTGCAAAGTAAGCAAAATTGTAATACCTTCAGAAATACTGAGAACTCACAGAATACGCTGACTTAAAGGCAAAGAGCAGAATATACAAAACTCTGATAATCATCATGTGGGGAAAATAAACCACTTTTCTAGTATTCGCTTTTGATTTTTCAACAGATTTGGCTAATACCTGGCCCTGCTGACCACTGGTTTCACATATTTGCATAAAATCAACCATAAAGGTCCCAATACCGCATTAGAGCCATGCATCAACTTCTGTATGCCATTTCTCAGCTGGTCTATGTCAGTAGACCAGTAGCTCCACCAGCAAGACACCCTAGAGTTGTGTGGAGCAATCATCTTGTGGGCTCATTCAGTATTGCTCAAATGCAGCAACTCCAATCAAAGAGCACTTTCATATAAGTGTCAGTAAACATTTTCCTGAAGAAGAGTTTCCTCTGCTGCTGGATTGCATTTGATCTGAGTAATCAGACAAAAAATGATTTGGGCTCAAGATTTTTTCAGAAACTGCATTTGTTAAACTGAACAACTTACACTATAACCATAGCATAAGACACCAACAAATTTAAGCTGAAGAAATTTCACATACATACATTTGGATATAGGAAAAAAAAAAAAAGAACTCACACACCACAAAGCATTAGTTCCAAGCATTCCTTAATATTTAGTACCATAGCCAAAAATGGCTGTTGCCCACCAATAACTGTGGGTTCAATATTCAGATCTGTAAGAATTTTAAAATACAAGTATCTTCAAATATTTGCTTTCATAATAATTCTAAAGAAACCAATTTAAGTTACAATATAGATGACTAGCCACATCAATAATATGGTCCACACAATATAATTTGATACTCAGTACCACTGGCCTCAACAATATAAGTTGGCAAAAATCTGAAATGAAACAGTAGTTAACTTAATAAAAGTTTTGACTGATCTGTTCATAAACAGAGAGCCCTTCTGTCATCAGTGCACCTGTGAAAATGAGTACGTAGAAAACTCTCACCTCATTTCTGCCATTACATCCTTATGCAAATCCTTTAGTAATAGTCTTATTTTGTTCCTGTCATGCTCTGCAGTAGACTGAAATATCACTTGCAAAATCTCTTGCATGATCTCCAGAGTTCTGTTTTGGGACTGAGTAGAAGCTTCTCCATATTGTGCGTTATAAAAAAATGAGTCAATGAAGTCAACTATCTGAAGCTCAGTACTGTTTGTATGCGAGGCTTCTTCTTTTATAACAGCAAGATCAGCAATCATATGAAGGAGACCGTTTAACAAAACTGAAGTAGCAGAGTGACTATGATTCAGTTTTTCTCCACTGAGATGACCGTCACCAAACAACATACCAGTGTAGTCTTCCTTAGACTTATTTTGGAAAAGTTCCAGAAACTGAATAATGTCTTTGACAGCCAGCAGTAGGTCATTTGATGAACTTTCATTAGTCATAAGGAGAATTAGAGCATGTATTATTTTAGTATAATTTTTATTGTTACACTCGCATAGAAAGCTCTTCACAATGCCTTGCATATCTTCAAAATTTCTTAATATAGCATCTACAGATGATGTCTTAAACCACTGTATTAAAACATCAGGAGCCACTGAAGAGGACTGTCCAGTCACTAACTTTAGTAATTGAAACCCTTGGTCTACCACCACAAGTAACTGTTTAACGCTAAAATTCACCAATAAATTTTCTATGCTTGTAACTATAGGAAACCAGAAGTTCTCAAAGTTATCAGATATATTGCTATTTTCATTTAAAGCAGATATTATCATGAGCATTGAGTATGTCTGGTTTCCAACAGATGACAGTGTCATTAGAGGCTGAATTACAGAAAGAAAAGAAATGACAGCATCTGAATTCAGGAGTCGAGAAACTTCACTGGTCATATTCTTAACATTAGTAAGAACACCCTTAAGTGATGTTCTTGAATGTCTGTTCCAACTTAGGCCACCATAAAGATGTTCCAGAAGACCTTTGGCCATCTCCATTTCTACCACTGAAACACTGCCCAGTATTTCAATGATTTGTAAAGCTACTTGGCTCTTTGGTGTGGAGGAACAATTGATTGTATATGTATTATTCACATGCAGTGGCACAGCATAAAGGGATAGCTCATTCCAAAAATCTAGCAGCTCTTTGAGAACTGAGCCATTTACATGATAGAGCTCAGAAAACTTCAAAAGAATAGAGTTCCATTCCTTGATCTGATGAAAAAAGCAAGTCAGATTGAGAGAAATATCCATCAGAAAGTCTTCCTTAGAGCAAGAGAAACTGTCCTCCAGAGTGATGAGTTTAAGCTCCTTAATGACTTCAATGACTGCATTATAACTAAGAGTAGAATTGCTATGCACAAAGTCACAAGGTTTGACAGTGGGATCATTCTGAGGTGCTGCTGTTGTCAGAGTCCAGCAGAATGCTGTAGAAAAACAATCAGAGACCTCTGCAGGTTTATCAGATATGTCTGTCAGTGTCTCCAATAACATTAGAAGACCTTCTACTTGATTAGAGAACTCCTCATCAGTAAACATTGGCATTTTTTCTTCCTGAGTCAGTATGAAAGCATATATTTCAGGTAGTGCTTCTGTAGTGTTTTCATGGGCTAATCTTTCCATAAGGCTGATGACATCAAAGAAGAGGTTGAACACATCTTCTACATCATAGAGCTCATCCTGTTCAAAAAATTGTGTTATTTGCCATAAGCCAGTCAGGTTCAAATGACAGGAAATGTTCTCAAATGCATCCCACCAGTCTGTTAAAGTTCCTAACTCAGAGTTCTCAATATAAAAAGGTTTGATATTTTTAAAGAAACTATCTATATTCCTCTGGACTTGTTTGAATGTACTTGTCAGGAACTCAACATCCATGTTTCTCATGTTTTGCACCAAGGCTACCATATGCTTTAGAAAGTCCTTTTCATCTCTTAATGGAAAGTCAGTAAAAGTGAGAGACTTGAAAATTTTAAGTGCCTTTCTTACCAGTTCAATATTTAGAGCTGCCGTTTCTATCAGTTTCTGTGGAAATGTTTTGTGTTCACTCTGCAAGTTTGAGTCAAGTTTTCTAATCACATTTTGAAAGAACTCCATCACCAAATTGATATTTTTCTCATGTAAGAAAGGTTCAATCTCAATGTCTGAATGAGAGGAGCTGTTTTCTTGAACTTCAGAAGTTCTGTTTTTCAGAAGAGTTTGAATTTCTGACAAAAGTTCCACTGATAAATGCTGAATGCGATGAAAAGGATTAAGGAGCATTCTCGAAGTACTGTTAAATCCATGGATTGACTGACTAAAATCGGTCTTATTTGACATATACAATGAGCGCCCCACGAAATCCCTGATAACCATTTGCATTTCCCCCCCAGATTTATTTAAAAGTCTAAAAATAAATTCAAGTCTACTAATTTCATCTTTTACATAAAAATCAGGGAGAATAAATTTTAAAGGTTGTGCTATGACATTGAAATAAACATTTAGACAAATAACATCAGAACCGGATAAGGAACATTCAGGAAGTATCAAATTAAAAATGAAATTAACAAAGTCCATCACATTCATTAGCTTAGCATCTGTCTCAGTGTTTCCCAGAGATTGCAGAAGAAATAAAATATGTTTTGCACTTTCAAGGTGGGAAGAAGACTTGTATTTTTCACTGAGATTACTTAATCCATGTATCCATCTGTTACAATCCTCTGCTTCATCCACTGCACTATAGAAGTTTAGAAAGGAATTAAGATGAGGTGAAAAATTTGTTTGCAAATAGCTTAGGTTTTTCAGACTACTGTTTAAAATTAGTTTGGTAATATTCTGGAAAATGCTGATACAAACTATATATTTGTCTTGAGGTACACTTTTTATAAAAGCAGTTGTGTCATTTATCTCAGTAAGAATAATTTCAAGTTCCTTTTGTGAGAGCTTGAGAATAGTAGAAAGGGAATTTCCAATGGAAAATACACCAACACCCTTATCTTCACCCTCAGATTCTCCTGAGATGAAAATATCAAGCCAAGAATTCAAAAACTCCCCATTAACAACCTTCAGTATAGATTTCTGCAATTCAGTTATCACGACTCCCATCATTTCTAAAACACTTTCTAAACTGTTGCCTTTAAGCAAGCTTGTGACATCAAATGCATTGTTAAATACATTTTGAAGACTAGCAAGGAAAGCCTCAAAATCTTTCCAGTCATTTAAATTGCCACCTTCTTGAAATACAACTTTTAATACCTTCATTGCTTCTCTTGTAGACTCAAGAATATCCATAGCTGTATTATTGCATAGCCGGTCATGAGTTGCATTTAGAAGACTTTGGGAGAGATTTGCCAAATCATTTCTTAGACACACAAAAAACGTTGAATTCAAATTTAAGATTTTAGATGCTTCTTCAAAAATCTCTGTCCACATTTGAAGCCATGTAAAAGTGCAGTGCAAAGCAGAAGGCACACTTATGTTATCTCCCAAGTTTGTTAGATTAGACAGGACACTGTCCAATGGAAGCAGAAGTAAGTCATAAACCTCTGCTGAATGATCTGCAGAAGTAATATTTGCTAGATAAAAATCAGTGCACCCATTATTGACCAGGCATTCTTGAGAGATATCAAGAAACTCAGCCAAATAACAAAAGGCCGCTGTTTGGAGCTCTTCATCTATAAATAAAATTTTAAGGCTGCTCAGAGTGCCATAGACCACTTGCATCTCTTTTTTTCCATTCTGTGCAACAAACTGGGCCTGAAACTCTGTGTAGTTGTAAAATAATAGTAACTTTTCACACAGAGACTTACTGGTGAGGTTCCAGAGAAGGTCAAAAGTTTCAGACAAAAAATCAAAAACTAGATCCTTATTTTGGAAATCATGCCATACTTGAAAAGATAACATATTTTTTGAAGTCTCATAAAGAAATGTTAACAGAATGCTATTGTTATGAATATTTAAGACCAGCTCATCATTCTGATACAGAGAGAAAATTATTGGAACAAGTGAGGCCACACTAGTATTGTTTAACTTTTGGATGTTTTTGAGGAAATCATGCACAATATCTCCTAATTCTTGTATCTTAGACATAAAAGTTGCATTTGAGAGAAATAAAGAGGAGGTATTACTCAATCCAGGAATTGTGATGAAAGACACATTGACATGATCACTAGACAATGATCCAACTTCATAGAGATTTCTTAGGAAGTTTTCGCTTAAATGTTTTAAATGGTTCAAAGCAGTAACATTTAACTCCGACCAGTCAGTCAGGATATTTTGTAGCGACACCATACTTCTACTATGGATTTTATTTTCTACAATGGAAGATATAATTCTAGATAAGTTCTCAATTACCTCTTCCACTTGACTCATATGAGAAAGCCTAGAACCAAGTTCAGAGAAGAAAATTTCAACTATATGCCACAAAACTTCTGTCTTCTTTTTTGACCAGAACCTCAGAAGAGGCTGGAATTCTTTTTGTAGCTCATTATGGAGTTCAGCAACTGCAAGTGAGAAATTGGTGACAGATTCCTCCCCCTGAGCAAAATTTTTCATCCATATAACTATATTATTCAAGGCGTTTTCAATTAGAGACTGGTTTGAAGAAGCTGAGAAATCAAACATTATAATTTCTTCTATGACTTCTACAAGATGAAAAAGATGATCTGTTTCCTTTTCACCAGAAATCCTTAAGTTTTCTTCTCTCTTCAAAAACTCTTTGAAAGATGTCAAAGTCCTGAAAAATTAATCATAAGTTTTTTTCTTGTTAGTTACCTAATAGACAGATAGGAATTGGTTATATATATAATTTATAATTTTTGAATCTAGGTCTCTTTATTTAACTTGAAGAAATTCCAAATATAATTTAAATAGCAGTCACAAATTAACCACCACAAAATCTGAAATAGCACAAATTGACAATTGCTTTGGTTTTCAAAAACGTGAAAAAAACTCACTGAAAACTCACAACTTCATTCAAATCAAAACCTGAATATAGGCAGCTAGGTTAAGGAAATGTGCATTTACCAGTAATTATAATCAAGCTTGTGAGCCACAAAGAGTCAAACACCTTTGAGTATGTCACATTTTCAGCTGCTGAAAAGAGCAAAGCTTTTATGTTCCACAGACTAATTATTTTACAGAAAGGAATATATCAATGTAATTGATCAAACCCTCTGATTTTCTATGAATTCTGAAGAATTTTTTGTTTTCCCATAATTATTGAATGCTAAAATATTCCTACTGACTGGCTGATACCTGAAGAATGTTATTTTAATACCTACCAAAAAACCCCCCAAACACGAAATCATAGTGAAAATTAGAATACTCCAACAGACATTTCCATTATGTCTGTGTATTTATCAAAAGAAAAACCATTTACTAGCTCTATAAGATTGGTCAAGAGGAGGTGCACAGCGAAAAACAGCCTTCCAATGCAAGGGTCTCAAAGTTAAAGATACCTTATCCTTAAATATATTTTCTTTCTCTCCAGATTCAGGACTCTGCAGTCAAAGAGGTAAAGCACAAAAACATTGTGCAGTGCAAACAAAAAGGTAAAACTGCTGAAAAAATATGTTTTTTTTTCTTGTGCAGTCACTATATCATCTACTTTGTAGTTTCATTACAACAACAGTTTCCTTCTATAAATAAGAACCGAATTCCAAAATGCACTACTAAATTATTGAATAACTTGACTGCAATCTCTCTCTTATCAGTATATAATGGATTGTACCTTTCAGATTTATCCTCAGATGTTGATTTGTATAGCATAAATCATATGTCCTCCAGTGGTAGTGCTTTATATGAACAAGTAGAGTTATTACAAGCAATGGCAAATTGAGGCCAACATTATAGCTCCCAGAAGCAATGCAAGTCATCCAGCATGCACTTAGAAAGAGGAAAGTATCAGATCCTGTGCTGTGCTGTATACCTTTCTTGAGGCTTACCAATTCTGACAAACGTTAACTCCTTCCATCTACAACTCAAGTCTTCTGTAGAACCTTCCGCATCAGGAATATTTTAATAGCTTGACAAAACATATCATTCTAAGTATAGAACTTACAGGCATATCTTCACATAAACTGCTTACATTTGCCTTGTGTGATAAACCAAATGGAGAACTTGGAATAGTAAGAAAAGTTTTAAAACTTCAAAAGAAACCATAGCCTCGGGGTGCCCTAGATGAGATTGGAAACTACATACATACAATTAATGCTAAGTGTTTAAAATTCTGTAGCAGGCTTCTGCTACAAGATCTTCTGCACAATTAACATGAGTTTGACTTCTACAATAGAAATCCAAAATGTTTCAGATGCACTGGACTTGCTGTACATAAGAAGCATTACTGAGTCACAGCAACTCTTTATGGGAATTAAACTTTGTTTGCAGAACGAGGTAAAGAATTCAGGTCCTAATTCAAAATGCCCAAATGCTGATTCCTGTGAGTCCTGATCGTGTAGTAGCCAGGTCCTCTGCTGAACCTGTAAGTAGCTATACTCTGAAGCACAGACTTAATTTCTTTTTTCAGAATGTGTAAGCATCAGCACAATTATTTGACTGTATATGAGGTTTTGAATTACAGAATAAAAAATAACACCACAAAACAGAAATTAATTAAATGCAATGTGAAAATGAATATTCAGGTTGATCTGAACTTCATAAAACAAGTTGCAGAAAGATAAGTATAACTTACCAATCATGAGATGCAGTATATCCTTCTGAAAAGTAGGCATCTGATTTCTCATTCCATTGCTGGATCAGGGTATTTATGACTGAAAAAAGTTTCCTGGCTTCCCTTTCATCTAGAAACTGAGATACTAAATCAGCTATGAGTCTTCTAAGTTCCAAAAGGAGATTCTGAGGGAGACTGCTGCTGCTAAGCCATTGCTCAATTATCTGGCAGATTGAATGCAAAATAGAACACCTAGTTACAGAATGAAAGCTTTCCTATTCATACAGTACACAGAATTTGCATGTCTTTTAAAAAAATCACACAATTAACAGTGACAGTAAAATTTCTCCCTAACAACCCTCTAGACTGAAATGACTGACCTTATGAAGGTTGATTTTCAGTACAGTTTTGACTGACCTGCAAATTGGCAATGCTTGTTCATACAGAGAACTAACCTCCTATGTATTGGTGTCCCTGTCCAAAGACCCAAGAACTGTAAAAAGATGGCCTGAGACTGAAACCAATCAAAAGCTGACCCCCACAGTCTCAGGCTTCCTATACCAGAATTCTGCCTATACTGCCAACACAATGGAAGCCAGCAACCCTAACATTTTTTGGGGTCCATCTCACAAAGAGATGGAAAAAAGCCCCATATTTTACTACAAAAACAAACATCAATGTTAAGGCAACTAGGTGTTTTCCTTAGGAAACATCTGGGTGTTTTATCTTTTCCTCCATGCAACTACACGCATGTCATTATAGAGACTGTATGCCAAGCTGTTCTGCTAGATCAGAATGCTGTAGTGGAGGTTTGCTTTCATCTCTTTCAACCTTCTTTTGCCGCTATTGCCAGAGCTAGTGAAGGGGAATTAAAAATAAATTAATTATTCATTAATTATAAGTGGAGGCCTCCAGTCATCTTTTAGTTTTGCCCAACATTCAGTCTCAGGTGGGACAGATCTTCCCTCTGACAGGTCTCTGCAGTGCAGTATATTTCACTATATTCCCTGTAAGATTGCAAATCTGAATCTCAGTTAATGAGAAAATTTGATTAAGTGGACACACGGTGATAGATTATACTTCCACTGTAATGATTCTTTATAAGGATTACTTCATCATATTAGCAAGATGATAAGAATTCATGAAAATAACAGATCTTTTAACTAAGTTACTGCTGACAGCCTACATGCAAAAATTACAGATTCAATCTATTATCTTATTAAAATGTACCTGTGTATAAAGTCTGAGCTTGCTGACAGCATGAACAAGGTACAGTTTGGCCTCATGCCGTGCAGAAATGCAGCCCTGTCCATTATTCTCTTTGTTTGCTTCATCTTCTGGCACACTGGACAGAGCAGAGCACACAAACTGCTCCAGTGTCTCTCCTGTGGGAATCTGGCAGGGACATATGAAATTAATGAGTATCTCAAGAGAGCTGCTGAGTGTTATCTCTGCTATCAATTTACTTATCTAGCAAAAATAAGAATATCACATAGCCTTCTTCAGTGAGAACAAAGCCCCCTCATATTCTGGGGACATATACTTCACAGTACTCCACATGCAGCAAACTGTTGTACAAAATACCAGTGGCCCCATAAAATAGGAAGAATGAGGGGACTTTTATATGCAAGGAATTTTCACCGTGTAGCTACACCAGTGTTGCTACTTCTACAGTAATTTGCAGACTGATGCTGAACTAACTTAACCATGATACAGTACACCTACAGTAGAATAACTATATTGGAACAACTTTACAAATATAAAAATTATGGATATAAAAAGCATTTAGTACAATGATACATCTCAACCAAAGACTACATGCAGCAGAGTAGTTTTAAATTGAAGTTGGTGTGTTTCAACAGAGTGGCCAAGAGAACAGAATTTTTTCCCCATGGACTGATTTTAAATTCTGTGATATTTATTATTCCCAATCATATAAATATTATTAAAGCATATAAAAATAGTTCCATACATTTTAATTATTATTATCATTGTCATTCTGAGGTACTTCATCCTAACTCCTTTCAATTTTGACCAGAGAATTTATAAAAATTTTCACGGATGTTTTGACACCAAAAAAAATGGGGCATTAGATGCAGAATTGAAGTGCTCAAAACAGACATTATCCAGACTTCCACCTTTCCCTTCATACTTTTTGATGGTCTTCAATGCTCTACCACAAGGACAAAATATTAAGATATTAGCTTAAATAGCTAGTAAGTGAGTAGCCTGGAATTTCACAGTCAATCATGGCTACCAAGCTGCAGTTGAATTCAGTTCAGTTGATCAAATAAACCATCACTGATATTTCATTTAAAGGCCATTCAAAAGTCAAGGAATTTTTATAATTTATTCTTTTGTTTAAATCTACTATTTTTACAATAAGCTCTTTTGGAATATAACTCTAAGCTCTATCTTGCAAAGAACAAACAGATTTCACATAAATATGAACATGTTTTACTAGAAAAAACTGCGGACTTAAGTAGAATTGCAAAAGAAGTTTCAAGATTTCTGCAGTTCAAAAAACAGACTACCACAACAGTTCACTTTAGTCTAGAAGATAGATTAGAAACTCCTCTCTGAGGAAAGAGATTTTCTTCTAAGTTTGATACATAACCAGTATATTTGATTAAGGCCTACTGAGCAATAAGCAGATAAAGCTTCTTGATTAAGCCCCACTGAGACAATTCAGTCAAGTATATTCATATCAAGACTGCACAACTGAGAAGGAAAGATTTTTGATATGCTTTAATTTACACACAGAAGACACAGGTATTCTTTGTTCAGCAAAGCAGACGAAAAATGCAACTAGCCAAGGTAATCCTGGTAGATTCAAATCTAGAATTTGGTTTGAAAGCTTAGTGGAGCAACCCTCAGAATTCTCCACAGGATTGGGTAATAAACCTAGGACTCTGCCATACTCAGCTGTGACTTTAGAGAAGTATAAATTAATTAATGTAAACAACTAGACCTATCAGCATCTTCATGTGCAGAAATTTCAGCTGAAGCTAAATACATTTCTTTTGATGGGAATGAAGCCAGAATACTTAACAGTATTGTAGCTGCTTCACAAATCTAAGACATGACCACAGCTTCTGAAAGGCATGTAAAACCCCTTTAGGGTACAAATAAAACAAAATATTAAAGAGAAGGACACCAAAATTTTCAACCAATTTACCTTTGTTAATTGTGCTGTATAACTTAGCAGCTTCTCAACATGAGGACCGTCAAAACCAAACCTGGATTCAAGTTCTGCTTTCACAGCAAGTGGATTCCACAAAACATCTCCAAAAGAAAGATTGTATTGAAAACCTGAAAGAAAGGAAACCTTCTATTTACATAATTCCTTCTTTTTGTTCATGTTGTTTCTTGATGATTCATACTTGATGAGATTCGAGTACCACGTTCCCAGCTTTTCAGTGGCTTGGGGGCAGAAAGCATGTATCTGAACACCAATTTCACTAGGATAAAATCCGTGATTGCACTAGTGGTAAGGTCACTTAATCTGATGGTATTTCAATAGTTGATGTGATGATGGTGAGATGTCCTTGCACAGTGACTGCCAGCAGACCCGGCAGGGTGCCATTCTAAACTGCACATAGTCATGCAAATGTGTATGTATGGACTGGATATGAATCTTTGCCAAGAAGGAGAGCACCAGGGCAATACCAGAAGTCCCAGAGAATTCAAGTTCATCCTCTATGCAAGGGCTCCAGCACATCACCCCTATACCACTTCAGCCTTTGTTTTGGCAGGTGAAGTGGGATTTAGACAGCATATTACTCTTAGCCTGACCTTCAATGCTGAGAACACAGCTGCACCTAGAATCTAATTGTGTGCTCCAGTTTGCCAGTGAAACTTGTTCCTGACCTTTTCTTGAGGAGTTGTCCTGGGGCCAGCCTACCTTCTCCAATTAAACTCATCTCCCATAGTGAAGCAGCAGATGGAGATATGTAGCCCTTCAGCTGAGAGCAGAAGTTATGAGAACAGAAGAATGAAGTTTAAAGTAAGCCAGTCATAATGCTTAACATGCATGTCCAAAACAAGATGCTATCTCTCTATCGAATGGAAGAAATTGTCCTTTGTATTGATTTATTTTTTCTCTGAAATTCACCACTGAAAGACCATTCTAAACATGATGTATTAGACTAATGTGCTTTGTTTATCAAATAGTTGCCAGAGTCTGATAAAATTTAGTTATTAGCACTTTAAAAGCAGATCAATAAAGAAATGAGCTAGTTCAGTTCTTAGACACCAGAAACTGAGCAGAGGATCTGACAGTTACTAATTTTGCATATTCCCAGCATGCTAACTAGATACTTCAAAGAAAATCTTCAGCAAATGTCTTACCTTCTAAGCTCCTATCTTGTACTGATGCAACAGTTAAATTCAGTGCTATTTTCACCACTTCATAGAAATTTTGGCCTAACGGCATCACAGCTAAATCCTTAAATGATGCTAAGGTACTGAAAGAGAAAAATAAAACAAAAATCAATCTCTCTATACAACCAAAAAACCTGAAAGGACTTGCAAGAAAGAGATGGCCTTCAAGCCAGTGAAAAATAAAACACTTTTTTACTGTTGAAAAAACACTTTTGTTTTATCGAATTAGACTTTTCATGAACAAAACACAAGTTGAGATTTTACAGTTAGAGTTTCACTCAACTTTCATTAAGGAAATGTCTCATAGGAGTCTAATGTCCTCTAAAAAAAGAGAGAGAGAGAGAAAACGTGAGCATGTCAGCAAAAATAGGAGGAAAACCACCACAGTCTCCCAGTTATCCCTACAAAAAGGCAGGATCAGCACAGAATACTTAGATTTTACTTCCGGTCAATCTGCAAGGAAACAAAAAAGTATTTTTAAAGCAACAGAACATTTATACTCACAAGAAGTTAAACAAAGCACAATAACAGAATGCATTGATAAAAGTATATCTATTGAATTTCTTACAAGTTCCAGTCTCAGTCAACTTATTTGTGAAACACATTCTTTGTTAATGTAGCTGTAGCTGTAATTTACTGCTTAAAGTTTATGTCAAATTTACCAGTTATTTCCTACAGACTTATCCTTTCTCATTATGCAAATAAGAATCCAGTTTTCCAGAGTGGATCAGCAGTTTCCAACATATTCAAGAGAGGAAAAAAAAAAAAAAAGAAAAAAAATAACCTGGTCACATAGGTGTGGAAAGTCTCTTTTATGTACCTCTGAGAGACACAGCAAGCATGGTACAGCTCAGAACATGGGAGATATAAATTTAGGAACCTTTCTGCTGGCTAAATCCTGCCTTAGATAAGAATGTAAGATAGCAATACAAAACTAGTCACAAAGTAAGCATTGGGGTTTGTGGCTTGCTTTCCAAATTTCATTAGTGATGGAAAATTTAGTCATTGAAGGGCACCAGAGTCTTAAAAAAAACCCAAATGAACAAGGCACAAAGACTCATATGTAAACATCTGAGTTGCCTTGTATTAATCACTCACGTAGCCAAGCACCTACACAGCTGTTCATTTACTCCCTTCTCCCACAGGACAGGAAGAAAATAAAAGGAAGGCATAAAGACTCGTGGGTCAACCTAGAAATAGTTTAATAAGTGATGCAAAAGCTGTGCATGCAAGTGACACAAAACCAAAAATTCATTCTCCACTTTTCATCAACAGCCAGATGCTTTCCGGGAACCAGGGTCTCCATATGCTTAGCAGTTACATGGGAAGACAAACACCATAACCATGAACACCCTTCACTTTTGTCCTCTTGTCACTCTCACCGTGCTAGACGCTCAGGGTAGAGAATTTTCTACCAAGATTGTTTTTACAGATTCATAACTTCACTCAGCACAGCAGCCAGTGGTTACTGTAGTCTGTGCATACTGTTGCTGAAGAAGAAAAGTAACCATAAACTTACAATCAAGTTCCTGTTTTATCTCATGAATACTCGGATGCTGGAAGTTGTTTATTTTATTAAGTAGCCAGTGAGAAGAACAAGAATTGCCAATAAAATTTTAAAACGGAGGACTTTCAAGAACGTAAAAGTACTTACTTTTGAATAATCTTTAGAAACTCTGCTATGGAAGCTAACTCATCTTCTGTAAAAAAGCTGTTCAGTTCAAGACGAGGGAGTGAATGCAGAAAGTTCCAGAAATATGGTTGCTTGTACAGATTTTCTGCTCTAGAAATCATTTTCTCTGCTTCATTCAAATCCATCTTAAGGTGAAAAAAAAAAAAAAAAAAACAATTACGCGCAACACTTCCATTAACAGGAAAAAAAAATTAAAAAACCGAGTGCCTGTTATTTCCCCAACCCTCTTGAATTTTAAACCATTCGAATATTTTTCCTGAGTGGAAACATACCTCTAGCTTTGGTAATATATCACATCATTTTGGTCATACTTTGAACTTATGGCAGCTATGTTTCAGATGTGTTTCCTTGCTCTGATGGAAAAATGGACCTGGGAGAACAGCTAAGGAATCTCTTTCTTTTCAGAAGTAACTCTTCCCCAATGAGGATTGTCTTTTAGATCTCAAGCACAAGGAACTGTTTAGCCCTGCAATGAATTTCTAAGTCTAGGGTATAAAGACCAGGGGACTGCCCAGGACAAGCCATCCTTGCAGGGTTTGCAGGGGTCTCAAATAGTGATTTATAAAAATTAAAGATTAACTGAGATAAAAATCCTTCTTTTATAGGACTACACAATAAGATGGCTCTGCAAAACAGGGTTTATCACACTTGTTTACTATGATATCTTTGCTTATCTAAATTAATATTTCAATAGGGCTTTTTTGGATAATGGTGGCATGAACATAGTTTATACAAAAAAGAAGCTTGTGCATACAAACTCTGTTACTAGTAGTGATTGGCTACTGTTAACTAAATATTTTCTTAATGTTGAGGAATACATTCTCTCTGTTTTATATTCCCAAAATGAAATTTGATATTGATATGTCTCCTTTCAGTCAAGTATCTTATGAGCAATTAAAAATGTTACTATAAAAATGCCATCTAATTTCAAGTTACAAACTGGAAATCCAGGTTTCATGAAGTAGCTGTTACAGTCAACCAAATATGGGAAAAAAATTTTAAATATTTTTAAAGGAAACCAGTGATCTACAAAAAGGTAGAAAATTGACAGTAATGGAGATCTATTACAGTGTCCATTCAGCCTTCCTCTAGTTGTTGAGAATGCAAGGGTGAAGGCCTAATGCATTAGGGACAGCACAAAGACCAAATTCATTTCACATTAACTGCCAAAGAGATTCTGGAAGGAATTATGCTACATCTTGCACATCTCTCCTTCTTCATCCCCGGCTTGAGTCTGCTTGCCCTATTTATTGAATCACAAACCTGAATTCAAAGTAATCCCATCCAAGTAAGAGCCTCATCTCTTCAATCTCACTCAGTCCTTTTTTACATTTTGGGTTGGATTTTTATTGTTGTGCTTTTTTTGGTTGGTTTTGCTTGTTTGTTTCTTAAATAATAATGTTTCTTATTTAGGATAAGAGTTCCTTGCAAGACATTTTGTGAAATTACTTTATACAGCTGCACATGGTCTGGCAGATGCACTTTTAAATTGCTCCTAATGAATGGTTAGTCTTCAAATAGTTGTGGATTTTAGCTACTAACAACCTAGACTGGCTTAAACCAGTAATTTAGAATCCACCAAACCTCTATCAAATTTCAAGATGTTATTGTTTCCTTCAACCATATGTCCATTTCTTTTAAGGATAGTTTACTTAAATTTGACAGGACACAAATTTCTAACTATTATAATAAAGATACCTCAAAACCCAGCACTGTAATTTAGAAATAGATTGTAAAAATACTTACAGAAAGAAAAGTGGTGATGTTATGGAGCCCTGTAAAATCAAATATTTTCCTTTACAGAGAGGCATTATTAACTTCAGAAGAATCAATATTATAAGCAACAGCAAGCAGTGCAAAAAGGGTATTTCTACAGAAGTAAAGGCATGTGAAGCAACTAATATCCCAGAAAGGTAGTGATCCATTGGATTTTCTGTGCTTCCCAATACTTATACTATTATCACAAAAACAATTTAAAAGACATTGCTTACCATTCACTTTTCAGTGAGACGAAATAGTCACATCAGCTCTAGATGGATGTACTAGCTGCCAGACAGCCAGGCATGAAAATTACCATTTCACCTAAATCTAACTGCTTGAAAACCAGCCAGAAAGGCAAGATAGTGTTAGGTCTTAAATGCCCGCCTGCTACAGCAGGGATGCTGCACAGTATGGGTGGGAATAGAACAGGAGCATCATACCCAGTTTCATATTTCCAGTTTCACTGTTTCAATACAAGACTGAAGGTCACTGAGGATCACCAGGTGTGAGCTACTGAGGTTCTCCATCCCTATACTATTTAGTATAATAGAAATATAGCCTAATAAACTACTTTTCAATACAGTTAGACCAAGTAACCTTGTACTCGGATTATTAATCCTTATCTTTAAGCCTTTCCCCTCACACTATTTTCTTAACTTTCAAGTAGTACAAGGGCATAATTTTACAAAGTTAACTTTTATTTTCTGATAATTTTGATGGCCACAATTGTATCAATGATAAAAGTGTGGGGGGGTTTCAGACCAGCTAATTAGTTTGCTAATTTTATTTTTAATATAACAGTATTCTTTTTTTTTTTTTGACAGTTTACCTGATAGGAAAAGAAATTAATTTTTAGAAGGATTACACCTTACCTGAAAACTTTGAGTTTTCTTCCCACAGTTTTTCTAAAGCCATGGCTTTCTCTGTAGTATCAATAAATTCCTTCGCAAGTTCTTCTATCTCTCTCATGAAGTCTAGATCAGGTCCAGTGACTTTCTCTGGACCACTTTGAGCGCTTGTAGTAGTTTTTGACAGAAAGAAGAGGGATAGGTGAGATAATCACAAACTGAAAGCAAATAGCTGATAAATGTGTATACAATCACAGCAGTATTCTGATTTTTTAAACTCATGCATTTATACAACTTCTATTTAGTTTGATTCATTAGCATGCAAGTTGCTGTAGTGAGTCGCAAAACCTCAGGAAAGAGGGCAATGAAAAATTGCTGAGCTCACTTATGCCAGTAATCCAATTCTGACAGCAGCCAAGGACAGGCATATACAAAGAAGTCTTTAATGTTTCTGAACACATTCAACTTTTCTTCTCTAGTTTGTCACGCTTCCAGGTGATGGTTCTCTGTTGAGAAAGTTCAAGCTTTCCTATTGCATCTAAGACAACAATTTGTTTTTTTCAAATATATACAGCAAGCTATAAAAACAGCATCTTATTCTCACTGTTGGCTTTTCCCTGATTTTAGCTTACAGCCATAGTCCTGGTAAATGTTATCTCTGCCACACTACTATCTGGTGGCTAACTTCATAGCACAACAAGTTTCTAACAATACTTTCAAATGAAATCAGACGTCAGAGTCATTTAAACACCTCTTTATGGGACAAAATTACTTAGACTGTCCTAAGACACCATAAAGAATGGAATAATTATATTTAGCCACTTACTAGGGAGTTGAATTCTGTATTCTCTTATAGGAAATTCAAATAATTTCAAGAGTTAAATCCTGTCTAGCAAAAATATTGCTATTTTTCATTAGAAGTACTATCACACAGAATGGGTAAGGTTGGAAAGGACCACAGTGGGTCATCTGGTCCAACCTCCCTGCTCATGCACATGGCACAGGATTGTGTCCAGTCAGTTCGTGAATATCTCCAGTGAGGGAGACTCCACAGCATCTCTGGGCAATCTGCTCCAGCACTTGATCACCCACACAGTAAAGGAGTTCTTCCTCATATTCAGGTGGAACTTCTTGTGCCTCAGTTTCTGCCTGTTGCCTCTTGTCCTACTCCACTTACAAAAATATAATAAAGACTTACATTCCTTTCTTGTAAAGCTTGTATATCAACATTTGCTTTCAGCACAACTTTTACTTACTGAAAGAAAAACCTAATGAGATAGATTCACAAACCAAAGCAAACTATCAGCAACAACTTTCTGATTCTCTCATTTCTCTTTCTTTCTTTTCTTGATCTTCATTTGATCAGACACCCACAGAAGTGTCTGCAACTTTAGACTAAGGAATACAAAGAAAATTTAATCTTAAAACAATCAAGTTCTTGATTGTTTCAGTACAGCTTATTTTTATCCCAACTTGTCTGACAGCCAGTAGGGTTTTGGAAAATAGTTTCAGCATCCTCAAATTTCAGTGGATTAAAGGCAGAACAATTCTTTACTACATTTTTTTCCCTTTTAAATTGAGTTTTAAAAAGCAGGTTTCTTCAGTCCAGAAGGTGGCTGTTATGGTGATTAAAAGCAGCACTTTAGCTATTGCTTTCAAAAACTACCATATAAATTCCAATATTACTAACAATCCCACTGCCTGAAATTTTAGACAGTTAAGAACACTGAAGTTCAGCAAAGAGCTGGAACATTAACTGTATACTGAAAATTTCCTAGCACTCTACTTTTTGAGCATGAACAGGTGGCCAGCACTTGATCAGAATAACAACCAGTCAGAACTTTAAAAAACCAGAACTCTAGCTCAGTTTCCACAGAATTTTCCACAAGTTTTGGTTGAGGGTTTTTTGTGGGGTTTGGGGCAGTAGGAGGTGTGTTGCAGTTTGTTTATGGGTTTTTTTTATACTTGCTGAACTTAAAATTGACAACTAAACTCTCTTAACAAGGTCATCTAAAATAAAATATTCAGAGAAGTGAAGCGTAACAGCAGTATTTCAAACCACATTGTTCTCCCTCCAAGCTAGACACAAGCCTTGTATCCCTATCTACAAATCTCCCTGTTTTAGAAGCATTGCAAACAGCAATGCTCCGGGGGAAAAAGGCTACCTTACATAGGAACACACAGCTGAACTAGTGCTGTCTCCGGGGTTGCTGGTGCTGCCGGCCTCCCTGTCAGCAGCAGGGGGCACAGATAGCAGTGTTAGGGGAGTTAAAAACTCCCTTCCCCCACCTCCCTTCTTCGATCACTGACTCTGCTGCACATTGGATCTGCAATTCTTGGTTTGATAAAGATCAGGGAAACAAAAAAACCCATCCTCTTGGCATCTAATTTTATGTGCTTTAGCCACCTGTTTGAGACATAGCAGAACACAACAGACACACCGGCTGAACCAACAGTCAGCTGGGCTGTCCTTTCAGTGTTCCCAGGCTTGAGGACTAGGAAAACAAGCTACTGCCCTGTGAGAGGTCCCATGGAGTACACGGGGCAGGGGAAATCGGACTGAGGAAGATACACAGTCTAGGAACATGAAAGAAAACAGGTGGCAGCACTTGGTGGCTCTGAAGAGTTACAGGGTGAAATGCAGGGAAAAGCAAGTTGATGGTGAAACTGGAGAGGGATCTAGGAAACAGTAGGGGGCTGTAGATATCTAGGGTATGGCAGAAGGACCAAATCCCAGGCATAAGAACCGGCTATTACAGAAGAGGATGTGCAGGCTAAAAGACCCATAGAAACACCACACTCCCATGCACAAGCCTCTCAGCAGGACAAGGGCAGCTGTTAGTGAGCTATTAGCTTCATGGGGATTTACAGGGCAGCAGCGATGTCAGCAGCTGCCATGCCCCTCTTTTGCAGTCATTGCCACAGCTCTTCCTCTGGTTACCCTTGGAGATGACCACAACTCCTTTGGAAGGGGAATTGGCAAAGGGCATGATATCGGTTATCAGGCTCAGTCTTATGAAACAGATGAAAATATTACAGAGATTTTTATTTCACCATCTTGCCAGAAAGATAAGAAATTAGACTTCAAGACCAGATGCAGGGGCTGTCAAGGCAAACAATTTTCAGAGACTGTGTCAACAAAAATACTTAATTGTTGTACTGCTGCTCTCCCAAAGAGTCTTCAATGTGTGCTTTCTGGAGCAGAAGGCGACATTTACTCCCTTGTGTGTCCATGGGTAAAGGAAGTCAAGCAGCAGTTCCCAGGAAGTTCCTAGCAACAGTTGCTAGGAATGATAAAGAGGAGAAGCAAGGGATGACAAAAAGAACAAAAGGAGGAAGCCCATAATTTGTATAAGAGGACATACATAGTTAGAAGTGAGATGTTAGGAGAAAATGTGTGTGTATATATATAATTTCGTTATCATCCATTCTAACTCTTCCCTTAATTGTGCATTTCCACAAATTTCATGAGTACAGAAATCAAACTAAAGACATACATTGGTACAAGTTTTGAACATGACAAAATTCTGCAAAAGAGCAAAAAGACTCTTCAATCTCTTTGAGCATGTAAGAGCAACTGTCATTTCCAAAAGCCATGACTCAGAAATGCTAATTCTGTCCAAATTACTAAGTTACTCAGGATGACAATAAGAACTTTTCAGAGATTATCTGAAATCTCAGCTATGATATGAAATGCCATTTAGACTGATGATTTTCATAAGCCTCTCAGCAAACTCTTGTCTCAACCTCATCCCTGTCACCACATTAAAAATTCCTCTCAAATTGCAAAGCCCCAGCTGTACCATTCTGCACCATCTCGGAACAGCCTGGAGACATGACATCTCCATCAACACCAATACACACGCTGGACAATGACAAACTGCATGTCTGTCACAGAAAGATCTTTCCCCTCCATGTTGCGTACAGTTACAACCTTTGTAAAATGCAGTGGACCAAAATATATAAAGAAACAAAAAAAAAGTGTTCTTCTTAATTCGCTATAAAACAGAGAAAATTCATGTTTAAGTTTCCTTTTCTCCCCAACTCTCTGACAGTCTTTAAGAAAGATCACAACATTTTCTTCTGTTTCTGTTTTCCATTACACAGCCCAAGACTACAAAAGCTGGCCCAGACCACACAGAGCTACTATTCTAATAAGTTGCGGCAGACATACAGCTATCTTGCAGAATTATTTATTTTCTCATTGGAAGATACACATCATTAAGTAAAAATCTGACCCTTTAAGCAAGTCTTACGTGAATACTATCACTGATGCTTAGACTTTCCTTGATTTTGTTTTCCCACACTGGTTCTCGTACATGAGGTCTTCTAATGCTACTCCACTGAAGAACCACGGAAGACTGGGTATTGATCAAATTAAAGTTTTAGACCAGTAAGAAGAAAGGGACTGGTGTAAGCAGGGCTGCTTCAGGATGGGGGGCCAAGCTGAGGCAACTCTGGAAAAGTCCATGTCCTCACCAACAGGGCACCCTTCCCCAGGACCGCAGCCAGCAGGCAGACCTGGGAGTGTGTTACAGACTCCAAAGACAGCCCCAACACAGCAGGATGAGCCCAGGAGCCCAGTCTGGTGCAAAAAGAGATAGAGCTACCATGTAGTTATGAGTGGCCCATCCAGCAGAAGAGCCAGAGAGACCCAGGGCTCCACCACACCTACTGGGTGAGCCTGCTCAGGCTGCTGCTATTTGTAGCTAAATAAAGAGAAATAAAATTAATTCTAGGTTGCTTAGAAATAATATTTTAGAGTCTTATTTTCATGATATTTGTAGTTCTAAGTCTGAGAAAGCATGAGCTTAATCTTCTTTTGGGTATTGAGAAGTCTAACAAACATAGATCTAGGAGTTCTAGATGCAGGGACAAAGCCCCGCCATGTTCTTCAAGATTTGCAGTGGAATTCAGAGTACTAGGAAGACATTATGTTTCCATGCACACACACAGAAACATGTGGGTGTACAGCCATAGGATTCTGTGCTGCATGGCTTTTATCTTATTTGCATTTTCTCAGTTTTATGCTGTGCTCCACTAAGATGAGGTGGGGAGTCGAACATTCTGGAAAGAGCAGGGGAAAAAAGTCCTTTGCCATGACAGCTCCTAATAGCTCCTTACTCCTCTGCTCTGAGGTACCGCTGGATGTATCAGGCTAGGGAATCACATCAGTGAGCTGCCAGTCAGCAGCCTTTTCAATGGCTCAAGAGAGGAGCAAAGAGCAAAGCCACGGAACTGTTGAAAAATGGATGCCTTCTGAGGTATCAGAGGAGGTGGCAGAACTTTCTGCAAATCAGAGTTAATGAGGTAGTTGTAGCCTTCACCTGGCTCATCTTTTCACCACATCACAGGCTGTTTCTTGAAGGGACAATGAGGGCATGGCCTGCACCACGATGACTTTACCCCTGGCCTCAGCCACCCTCTTGGAGCAGCCCTGTTCAGGTTTCTCACTGACAAATAGTTATTTTGGTGATTTATGGCTTCCTTGGAGGTTCCAACAGTAGTCACAGAACTACTTTCTCCCAAAGACAACTACTGCATTTCAAATTGATAGCACCAATGTGGTACACATTGTGAAAACAAATGGGTTAAGTGTCTATGCAAACTATGCACAGTCTTTGATTTACCCTTAATAAACACAACATTGTTGACACAAAAAAGGCTCTATATAAAATTTATTGTTTGATATAAATCCTCAAAGGGAAGATAATTTATATTACTGTTCCTATGCCACCCCATCTTTCCAGTCAAGACGTTGTAGGATTCGGTTGATCAAGCTGACAGTCTGTTTTCCTAAGGCTGTCGGCAGCCAGCATAAGTCAGAGCAGCCCTGAGGTTGATTTAATTTATACTGATGGACCTGGTGGAACAGACTGACCTCAGAATGAACTTCATCCTACCTTTTTAGCCTTTTTCCTTACCTAGGCTATATGCTACTCGGTGTAGCCTATTGAGTGTATAAATATGGATACACGCATGCATTTTATTTTTCAGTTGAAAATTTGAAAGCCACTGAATAATTTCCCCAATTCTTAAGTAGGTCTAAGACTGCCCCCAGGAAATTCTTTCCTGCTTTTCTTTTGAGCTGAAATATAATTTGGGCAGTTCAGTCAAAGCAGTGTAAATAATCATGCAGAGCAGTCAATATAGTTCATAGTTTCCAGAGGTTTAACACACTTAGATGGCATCTGGACCACTGATATAAATAAAAAGTATCCTTTCAAGAAACTATTTTTTAAAAGGCCAACAATTTTTGTAACTCCATAACCCAGTAATATAGTGCTGCCACTACAAGTAACAGGCTCTAGGCTTAGTACTGAGTTTGCAAGACCATGGCACAGAGTTTTGCCACCTTTGCTTTGTCTAAACTTGTCTTAATAAGCCTTCAGTTTTGTTTTTGACTTGGATTAGTTTTACCTTTTCTTTTTGTTTTTTTTTCTTTTTTTTCTGGCCATATGACTACGGCTATTTGCTTTACTTTCATTTGTCATTGTATAGTGCCACTGTAGTTTTACACAGATAGAAGTAACAAGTGACCATTTAGTTCAGAATGAGATATTTATGATTAACAAAACAGTGCAGAAGAACACAGGCTCAGTATAATAGCAAACGCCTTGAGAAGCGGGGACATGGGATGCACTGTACTGGAATACAAGTCTGGGATGATAAGAAAAGGGGCACAGGCTGGTTCTGAGAACCCCATGACTGTAAACAATTCACCAGTGCTCATTTAAAATGCAGAACTGTAACTGGACAACACAAATTTACACTTAACAAGTAAAAAAAGCCAAGGTAGCTAACAAATGTAAAAGATACCATACACATTCAGGTGTACCACATAAATTTAGATGTATCATAGAGATGAAAACAAATGGAGAACAAGCAAGGTATAAAAGCACATCAGCAAACATAAGTGACCCCAAATACACCCTAGAGGGAAACAGAAACCATTAACACCACATTCCTCCAAGCAAAGGACTACAGACTTGCCGTAACAACCACATCACCACCCAGCTGCGGCCACTGACATTATGACCCAGAGCTGCAGTGGAAGGGTAAGCATAACCCCAGGGAAAGAACTAGAAACTAAGTGGTCGTGTAACAATTTTAACTGTATTACTATTATTATTAGGAAAATTTTTAGCAAGGGGTATTACCATAATACTGGTATTTCTGTCCGAAAGTATTTTGTGTAATAACACATCTTGACTAATGGTGATTTGTGGCTTAAACTGTTAAGATTTCAATTCTACTAACAAATTATTGCTTTACGCAAAAGGTGTTTGCCCATAAGCAGGATTTATTTTGCCCAGTCTTATGCTAAATCAACAGTTCTCTACATAAACAAATAACTAGAACACATCATTGAGATCAACCTATAAGTATTATGGCCTATTACTGTGATACTGAAGCTTTCCAACTTGCTGCATGCTGAATTTATTGCTACCTATAAACCTCTACAATAATAAACCATAAATATTTAATGGTCTCACATGCTTACCTGGCTCAGACCTCCAAGATCTTTTGGCAGATATTCTCAATTTTCTAAGAATAATATACATATAAAAATGCACATATTCTGATTAGCTCACCCTAAATTAACTTTATTGTTATATATTTTGAAAGGTTGCTTGTGACTACATCCTTCAGAAAATTTGCCTAAATGTCTTTGTATTTTAATATTTTTCGACATTTCTGAAGTGAATAAAATCACTGAATAAAATTTTTCTTAAAGAAAAATTCCAAATTCAAATTAATTTCTTTTCTTTCTGCATTCTGGGATCCTCGTTCAAGGATATGGATAACTTTTTTCAAGTTCTTTTTTATTACAGAGCTTCTGCTGTTCCTTTTTGGTTCTTTGTGAGTATTGCTTGAAAGTTGTCCTTGTTTTGCTTTTCTGTGTTCAATTCTCCCACCATGTATGCTCCCAAAACTATCCAAAGTTTAAATCCACATATGATATACTTTTGGTGGTCATGTAATAAAGGACTTTCTAAGGAAGGATGAAAGTACGCTTTCCTACGGCAGCAGTGAAGGGCAAGAATATGACAAGGTACCGCTACAGTTTTATCCCAAAACAGTGTTCATTATTCAGTAAGACCATCTAATGCCTCACATCTTTTGCATTAAGACACTGAAGGAAATTTTTAGCACAGAGTAACAATGTTCCTATTTTCCCTGTCTATGAGGCGGGAACAACCTTTGCTGCAGAAAAAGACGCACTGTGATACCTACAGCTCTGTCGAATTCATGTAACTTACCGAAAGTGGTTGTTTTCCTGTGCTGTGTAACTAGTATTCTTGCATCTTGAACCAACATTACAGAAAAGGGTTCGCATGAAAGGATAAAGGCCCCGACCTGGTAAATCACGAGCTTCTAAGTAACCTAAAACCAAGCAGAGCCAGAATCAAGGCCAGTGACATGGCAGTTGCAGACTGTACCAACACACTGTGTTCTCTTCTCCTAAATAGCATCTTTGTCACCTGAAAGTGATGAAGTTGTATCAATGGTAGGTGTCCCATTTAAGAAAAACTCTGTCACCACAGAAACCACAGAGTAACCTCTATGTCAGACTGTGACAACAGGGTATATATGACATTTAAGAGCGATCTTTGAAAAGCTGAATTTCCTGGTAGTAACACTATTGCAATATCATATACTTACTAGCCCAAAATCATGTGTGACTTGGAAAAGAATATAGACTTCTTCACAAAACAGTATCTTCTCACAGGCTTTCATAAGATGAAGGAACTGGTATTCAGCAATGTCTGAACATATATGCATCGAGACGGTCTAAACAGCAGCTTTTCCACATCTCTGGAATTATCCACATCTCTCCATAAAGAACATACAGGCTATGTTCTCTCCAGCTATTTCACTGTACAGATCTAGAATTGTTTTACCAAATTGATTTTTAATGTAGCTAAAGATGGTTTATCCCCATTTTACTGACAATGGTGAAGAATAGAATAATAAACTGAATAGATTATAATATCATAAGTAACTCTTTTCTAAATGAAGTTAATGTTTTACAAGATAAAAGCAAAAAGAACTTTATAAAGTGGAATTACTCATAAGAAGTTTTGAAGTGTTAAAGGAAATGGAAGAATTTATTATTTACAAAATATTAATTCTAAATCCCAGGAAGTATGTAGAGGTAAGGTTCATCTTGTCTAATTGTTAATATCTACTGGAAAATTATCTACCTCTGAACCAGTCATCTAAAATCCATTACTCAATTGAAAGAAATAAATACAACTAAAACCCAAGTAATCCACCTTATATCCAAAACTGATCTCTAAAACTGTTCTGAAAAATCAGAGCTTAAACTTTGTATCTCTCCCACCTAAAAACAGCTTGCTCAGGTCCACAGCTAGACAAGATTGAACCCCACTTTAGGACTCTTTCCAGTGACTCCACTACATTTAAGTCCCCTGTTTTAGGATATCATTAGTATTTGCTAAATCTTTTTACAAGCAGAGGCAACTAAAATAGAACACAAGTGAAACAAAACATACAGTTTTCCTTGTATTTTGGGGGTTCCTGGAAGCGGATTGCAGCTAGAATCAAGAACAGCACACATGGCCACAGTATTTCAGCAAGAGATAGGACCTGAAAAGGCAAATCAAAACATCATAAGTCTATAGAAAGCAGGATTTGGGAACAAATCACTAAAAATTATATATCTTTTAATAATAAAAAAGTTAAATTTCTCTTTTACAACTACTTAAGGGAAAGTAAGATCATTGAAGTAAATTAATAATAGATCCTTCTATTTAAAATCCTTATAACTTTGTGAAATACACTGGTCACAGAATGAAAAAGTAGTTTTCTCTTCTATTTATAGTGTTAGTAGGACACAAACGCCCAAATAGACTGAACAGAAATAAAAAGCACAGAGACCAATTGTCTCTATTTTCAGCAACAGAAACGAAGAAACTGCCATTTAGCCGAGTTTTAAAAGACTTCTAGACTCACTGATAACAGTGTTAGGAAAGTGCAAACAGCAAACTCAGTTAACAGAAACACAGTCGAAATGACAGCCAGGCTGAAGATCTCCCATTAGAGGCTGTTAACTTCCTTGAAGCATACTGAGGATTTTATTTCTAAACTGTCAGAGTTGAACCAAATCCCATGGAGGAAGTGATTCCTGAACTTGGGTATGTTGGAAAAATGCCTTAGAACAGTAACATAATGCTTAAGAACAAAATCCAGTGCCAGAGTCTTCCTTGTGGAGAAAGACTTCTCTGCTGAACATGGGGCAAGGAATTAAAGGTTTCCTGAAATTTAGAGAAATCACCATTTATGTAAACTGATCACAGAAGACAACAAAAGAAAAGCAAGGCTGGCGCTTAAAAATTTTTAGGGATCAGCAAAAGCTGACTGCTCCCCAAGGGGCAGCGATCCGTGCATGGCAACAACAGCCAGTGGGGCAAGGGACCCACCCCAGGAACTCCCAAGGGGAGCAGGGCAGGCCCCGCCATTGCAGCCAGCCTCCACCAGAGTCCAGATCCTCAGTCAATGTCATGGCAGAGCCATGGTCAAGCCAGAAAGACAGTGGCCAAGCGCAAGGGCTGAGCTGGAAAGCACTGTTCCTCCGACTTCACCCAGGTGGGAGCAGAGGGCACAGAAACCTCACTTTGTCTGGATCCTGGGCCCTGGTGAGGCTGCTTACAGCCACTAAAGCTTAGCAGAGCTGCAGGGCCCCAGTGGCATCCTCCCCTCCTTGGCATGTTCATCCCGTGCTGTGGAACAGAGCCATGGCTGTAGGGTATCCATGGGCTGTCTGTGGGGAATGAAGCCAGGTGCAGCAGCTGAGGAAAGGGGTACTGCAGAAGAGATTTGGAGGGAATGTCACCAGGCTGCCCAGGAGGGGCTGAAAAGGGAGCAGGCTGCCCCTGGGGGCACACACCACCACAGCCAGTGCTGCGGGAAGGTCCCATGAGAAGTTCAGGTGGGGGATCAGGGCAGTGGGAGACCAGAGCTTGGGGGAGCTTATAGGGGGAGGCCCCGGACAGCCACAGGCTGGGCTCCCTCAGGAAGCGCACCTCAGGGCTCAGGGCAATCCCAGATGGCAGCCAGGACAGAGCACCAGGCAGCTGCTCCCTGAAGGGCAGGGAGCCAGAGGGGATGCTGGGACAGCAGGGTCCTTGTCAGGGAGGGCCTGCCCTGCTGTGCCCGGGCAGGGCAACAAGCTCTGCTGGGAGCCTGGATCGCCAGGTCAGCCAGGGCTATGGCTGAGCCAGGAAGCCAGCCTGTAGAGACAGCATTCAGCATCAAACACAGCCTTGCCATCTCTGGCAGAGTCAATGCAAGGATGGGACAGCTAGGACAGAGACTGCTGCGTCTGCTGACAGGAATTTGGGATAAATATAAGAACAAAGAAGGCAGCTGCAGAGGCAACAACAACAGGTTGGAGGACTCAATGAATCATCAGCACGCTGCAGACATTAAGCATGCAAAATTGATCTCAATGAGTAAGTTATTTGTGGCATACGTGGGAAAGTAATGCCACTGTATAAGATATATTTGTGCTTGAATGAGAAAAGCATCCACAGAAGGTCCAAAGAAAGGCATTTGTGAGATTGCAGGATTGCAGTCCTTGCACAGCTGCTTTGCCCAGGCACTGGGAGGAACTGGAGTCTGAGAGCTCATGTTATTCTGAGGAGCTGTACCTGGGAGGAATAGTGAGTTTTGGTAATGGAGCCTTAGGGCCTAGCTGATAAAAGCAGACAACTTTGTAATTGTTCACTCAGGGTTTTGGAGGTTTGTGTGTGTATGTGGTTTTTTGTTTTGTTTTAGGTTTTTTTGCAGGGATGCAAAAACATACATGTACAAAACAGAAGACACTCATCGGTAAGCAACTCTCAGGGGATGTTTATAACTCTTAAAGTGTGGAAGAAATAAAGGAGTGTAAACTATAAAAGACAGAAGGAGGGCAAAGATGATTCTCAGTGTAGGGGCAGATAAAGAACAAGAATTATACCTGCATTTTCTGCCATGCTAAAAATTAATCCAAAATGAAAACTACTACTAATAACAACTTTTTTAGAAAGGCACAGTTTTAGAGTAGGCTATGTTTCTGTTTTGTTCTAATAACCATATCAGTGACTACACACGCCAAGGATTTCACAGCCTGATTTTAAATTCCAAGGGTCCTCTAAATTAGGGTATCAGAACAAGAGAATTTAGGAACCACCTTTCATCCCTTACCTAGATATAAATTTGGATGGTAATAGATTATTTATTATTTATTATAGCTATTTAAACAATAGTTAAGAAATGCATAGATAGAAAACTAAAGTAGTACATTTGCCTGGTACCGTGTATCTCCTGAGCTTCTAAAATCTGTAATTCTGAAGCAAAAGTTTCTGAAACAGAAATGAGAACGTGTCTTCAGCACAACTGCAATTTCAAGCTCCAGCTGATGCCCAAATATACATAATAACTTGTGCTGTCTTTGAACCATGTTAATAGGAGGTGCTGATGCCAATCTGAATTTCATTCAAAACACCTGTTCCTTATAGAACACATATCTGTCACACACCCTTCATCTTTCACTGTGTAATATCAACTAATGCCACATGATATTCATGACACATTGTTAATTCAACAGAGCTCACTTGTCTTCTAGCCCTAACTATTGATAAATAACCATGAGGAGACTATTGCTTTATACAGACAGTTCTACATGATATGAAACAGAGCTGAAGCACAACAGATCTTTCTCTACTTTTCAGATTCACAAGGGTCTGACCTGCCCTTTGCACAGGTGGATGATCCACCTGGATTTCTCCTCAGGTAACTGCAGATGGAACACCTTCACAGCTCAGTGGTTGCACAACAGGCACATAAGGAGAGTTTGCAAGTTCCCCCAGGGCAGGTCTTGGCTCTCAACAGGTAGAATTAAGTTTGCTTTGGGTTTGCAATTCTTGGTTTGGAGAAGTCTGCATCTCAGTGAGCTCTCTATTCAGAAAAGCTACCAATTAGGCAAACTTAAAACTTACATGAGAGAAAACTACACAGAAGAAGACAAATAGATCCACATGGAGGAGAGCAGGAGATACTGAGGAGCCAATTGATGCACACTGATTGAACATACAGAAGTGTTTAGAAATGAAGAAGAATATGATCAACAGCATCCTTCCCCCAGAAAACGTCTTTTATATTAAAAGACATCACTTGTAATAATTTGGTGAAGAAATTTTCTCTAAATCACAATTTTATTTAACATAAATATTTCTGGAACTAAAAACTGTGTGTTTATTTAATTGAGATAATCTTATCCAAACAGCCATCATGCTTCATTGTAAAGCCCCAGATCATCACAGACAAGTGAAATCAATGTCAAACTATTAATTGAAGTGACTCTTTTTTTTCCCCAAAAAATGTTGTTTCACTTGAGAAAATTCCCTTCCTTCTATCTTAATTTAAAAAAATCATTTCAATCACAGTAAAGGTGAATGACATCTAATATTTAGGTATCATTTTAACTTTGATTGCTGTAGAAGTGGCTGTCATATTCTTCAGCATATTGGAATTTAAAAGGTTCAATTAAGCTTTGTAGAGTGGACAAAAAAGGAAATTTAGAAGTATATGCAATTTTAATGCACATTCCCTGCATTCCCTGTATCTAGATTTTGATCACAGTCATGCAAGCTTTCTTATATTACCAATGAGTACCTGTTAGGTGAAGAAAATTGATTTTCACCCTTGCCACTACTACCAGCACTGCTAGTATCTAATGTTAATTAAAAGATAAGCTGTGGCTCTTAGAAACTTCTATGAGATTTTCTATCGCATTTGCAAAGTGGAGTGCATTGCTGTATTCAGCCATTTTAGAACTAAAACAACCCATTGTTGTTCTCTACTTGTATTTTCAACAATTAGATGACCAAAGGCAAAACAAGAACCACTTGCAGCCACCCTGTCCATAGCAATCTGCAGTAAAAAGGGAAAATTGAAAGATACGCTTTTTCCAACAGATACTAAAAGATTTAAAATATTCCTTTTTTAATCATTTTCAAGCACTCACCGGTTGCCTCACACGGCAGAGCCAATTTTTCCAAAACAGAGCCTTGAATTGGTGTACAATGTGCCCCATATTCTCTTTTCTTTCCTTCATCCACTTGCTGAGTGGCTTCTTAGGGACTTTCTAACTCAGAATCATCTCTCAAAGCAGTCCAAACGTATTATTCAGAAGCTGATTAATTCCAGCACTAGAGAATAGCGCAAGAGATTTGCCTGCTTCCCGAGAAAAGATGAGATTATGTTTCTGCCTCTTGTTTTTCATTCGTTGAGGAATCTCATCTTTCCGTTTGCTTCTCAGTGCAATGAACAGCAAGGGGACGGGTTTGTATAAATGCCCTCGGGGTGCTTTACTCCAGCATACATTCGGCACTTGTTTCGACTTTTCTGGAATAAAATAAATGCAAATGACAGGGGGAAAAAAAGAATATGTAACATACATTTGTCTTTTTCTAAAGTTGGGTGACTTTCTGTCACTTCAGTGTTTATGTCACTTTGTTTGCATATGCTTAGATTTGGGGAAAAAAAAGAACAGTAGAAAAATAAGTACACTGTTTAACCACATAGCCCTAAAAATGTCAGTATGCTTCTTGAACACCCTTATGAGTACACATCTAGCACTGTAGTGGACCCATTGCATCATCATATAACTGTTGAATTTTTTCTTGTAAAGGATGTATGTTTGACATTCTCTTTCTCCACTATACAAAACCTACATAGAGGCAGAATATTCTGACAAGTCAGAAAACTATGTTAATTAACTGCCAGATGCCACCCAGGACGAAAATCAGTTTTATAGCAGCAGTTCCTTTAGCAAAGAGGATGGTGGGCTATTCCTGGAGCTGTGTGAGGGGATCTTCAGGAGGGGAGCCTACGCAGATCTGTGGTAGCAGGGCCACTGGGAGACACAGCAGGAGTTTGATGGTGCAGAGGATTGCTACTTTACCCATCAGGAGTGCCACTGTGAACAGAGCAGTAAACTCTCTGTATGTTTTGCTCTACCCAAACAAATTGCCTAAGGTAGAATCTGATGCCCAAAAGTTCTCTCTGTGGTCAATAGAGACACCTAACACAGCCATTATAGAAGGTAATTCAGACTGCCTAGAATCTGAATCATGAATCACACAGACATAGGACAGCATGATGCCTGAACAAATATTTTTTATTTGTCATTATTGACAAGTAAATTGCATCATTACACTTTTTGCAAAATGTATTACTATTGAATGAAAGACACATCTTACATTCACAGCTGTTTTTCCACATTAAGAGTAAAATCCCCCCAAAATGCAAAAAGTTTTTGGATACAGAGACACCACAGAGTAATTCAACTTCCATAAGCCAAGGCAGCAATTTAAAAAGTTAATAAGCCTGATATTTCTGCAATGAACAACTGCACATCTGCAGGTCTATTGAGTTATGGCAGTTTCCATATAGTATGAGGATCAGCTAGTGTCCGGTGCCTTAGCTTGCCTTTCCCAAGCTCTGGGTTTGGGTCACCCAGCAGCAGGTTTTGGCCCTCCAGAGCACATTGAGAAGTTTTGTTACTCCACTTCATGGTAAACTGACTGATTAGTCTGTTAATATCTTTGTATTTGAAATGGTGCAAGCTACTGTTTTAATTTTTAGCTTTGCGATGGGTTCAAGGAGTAGAGAAAAAACAGACTAAGTAGGTGTCATGAATTCATAAATTTTTACATATTGGTCAAAATCATTTCCTAGCAAAGCAGAAATCGCAGATGCAGCCATGGCAGAACACAACTAGTAAAACACCTTTATTCCTCAAATATGGTGGGATTTCCTTTTATTCTCTTTACTCTGAGACTGAAAAAATACTGAAGTAATCATTTAGCTTTAAACAGAAATGTGAAAGTCCTCAGGACATACTAAAAAACTAAGTAGTTTAGTGTTTACCTGACTGTTGTTAAGCATATCTGTACCTCTGAGGCAGGATTAATTAATACCTCACCAAGGTATTAATTCCACTTCCACTTCACACCTGGAAGGCACTTCTGCTTTTAGTCAAGTAATACTAAAATCTCTGCTCTATTTCAGAGTATGGACAGTAATTTTTCTCACTAGGACCAAAGGCAAAATTCTGAGATAGCTCAGATGAAAATTCTGCACACAGCTGAAGTATGCATTTTTAAACAAATATTTTTCAATAACTGAAATTGAAATGTGTGTTTTAATTTGTGTGGTTTCACACAGCCATTATGGAAAGCCAGGAAGAAGAATCTATAGCATGTGATTTGAAGAAAATTATAAACTACTCAACATAATGAATTACAAAAAGTGACTTAACAAAGCAAGTGATATGGAAGAGAGTTCCTGACTGTGTGAGCCAAAACAGCTCACATGAACTGTTTGCCAAATGGTTTTGAACAAGTCATTCTGCAAAATCTCTGCTCATCTGACTGTGTGATCTGTAAAATTTATTACGCTCTATATAATTACATATTCATAAATGTGGCATTCTATTTTTAAATGCTAAACAGCTTTTCATGGATACAGGAAACAATTATTTTATATGGAATTAGTGTCCAGTACTAATGAACTACTGACTCCTCATTTTACTATATAAAGCACCCAACAAACACCATTCAGTTCTGTTGACTTCATTTGTCCTCCTATCTCATAGTCTTTTCCTATAGAAATTCCTTCTTGCCTAGTATGGTGTCCTCCAGTAGCAGACTCGTTTTTTCTAGAACAAAATTTAGGAAAGTAAAAGGTACCCCATGAACATTCCACCAAGAACAATCCCTGCACTGACATTCTGAGACATTACTTCTAAAAGTTGTATGAGCTTGATTGTATTATTTTCAATGTCATAGAAATATGACAATTATTGAATCAAATGATCACTACCTGCCTCACTTCCCCCCCCAAACCAAACTCTTGGCACAAAAAACATGTTAATAATAAAAATAATGCTCATAGGCAGGAAAAGTAAATTGGTTCTGAATATTTTTGGAGAGATGTGTCACCTATATTGCTGCCATCCTGGAAGCTCATTTGAATGCCCTAGGTTTCATCAGTACAGCATCAAGCAGTATCCTGTGCAAGTACCAGCCTTAAATAGCTATATTAACTATATAATTATTTCATTATAAGGAACAGCTAATAGCTATATTAACTGTATGTTTTCAGAGCTTATTAACAGAGTGTCTGTAATCAACAGCAGCATCTTGAATATTGCAGGGCAAATTAGAAAGGGAGTTCGTCATGTGCTCCACTCCTTATGGAATGAAAAACACCAAACAGGGTCAGAATTGGATCCTACAGTAAGGAAAAGACAGAGTGACCTGCCCTTTTCTGCTTTTGCTTAGCTTTGGCAGGCTTTGTCTCAGTTTTAACTTAAAACTTTACTCTTATAATATGCAAGTTATTCAAAACCACTGGTGCAGAAAAGGCAGAAAACCTCCTGCAAGCATTCAGCTCTGGTTTTAAAACTTGACTGCATCGTAATAGCATACCATCAACACTCCCCGTCTAGCCTACAGTTTTAATACAATGTAATTAGAGTAGGCTGGCAAGCGCATTCAAAGAAACATAATTTCATGTGTTAAATAGGTTAAAGCCCAGGAGCCAAAAATACTGTTTGGTAGACAGGAATGCAGTCAAATCATGTGAGAATATGGATGGAAATCTGGCAAACTAGCCTATTTTCCTATCACCACCCACCATTTCTTTAACAAGGCTTATTGAGTGATCACAAGGCTTTTACTCTAACATTAATAGGAGTACTACTTGTAGTACTCCCAGACCTGTGTCCCAGACAAAGTGCCTGCAGGTTGACATCAATAGTAGCATCTTTCCTTTGAGACACTTCCTGGGTGCAAAGTTAGGGCATGATGAAAAATGTTAGTTGTGGGCAAGGTTAAATATTAGGGCTGATTAAAATGGAGCTACACGTTAACCGACTAAACAGACCCAATCTCTCAAGGAGGATGGTGGTTTGTTTGAGCTTCTGGGAAGCACTAGGAATTTTACTCTTGTAAAATGACATACAAATACTATGCCATTAAATTGAAAATTTTTCTCATACTTAAAGCTCAGCACCAACAAGAAGCATCTAGAATCAGTTTTCTGTGTTGTAAAAACAGACTCTGTCTTTTGCTGCTGCTTCACTTTGTTTGTAGCCTGAGCAAAAGCACTGTCCCTGTCAGCATTACGCTTTCTTCCATTATTGTACCATGGAGTTTCAGATTTAACGTTGCTCTGTTCAGTGATCTCCTTTCTCTTCAAGCAGAAGATTTTTTTGAACTGTAATTTAATCCATACTCTGAAGTATAATATTTAATGGCAATTATTTTAAAGATAAAATATGCATTTTAGTCACTCAAAGACTGATAAACTTTCAGGGAAACCAAACCTCAGCATCTTGTATCAAACTGTAACAGTGTCATCAAATCACACTGCTGTGCTTTTTTCTACTCAGTTGTTGCATGCAGATTCAGTTCCCAAAGCCCAGCTTGCTGCTTGCACTACTGTGCACTTCAGTCAGAATATAGCTGGCTGCTGATGGGCAGGTCTGAAAGTATTCACCTGTCACTTGTCAATGGAAATGAAAAACATCCCTAATTCAACCATATAAGCATTTTATTTAGGAATATACATTGAGATCCAGACTTGAGATGAAAACCCAGTTCTGTAACACAATTCACTGAAATTTCTTTTCAAGGAATAATGTTAAAAAAAAAAAAAATATATATTTTCAAGAAATACTGAAATTACTGAATTATTTTGCTTGGGCTTTTAAAGGACAGATAAGAAAATTTGTAGTCTAACCATTCTGGACATAGGTCATTCCAAAATGTTCCTTTTCAGGATTTCTCATACCTTCCATTAACGAAAAATGCAAAAGTAAAATGCCAGAATTAAAAATCTACTCCTTCAAGTCATTAACTGAATTACTGCACTTTCTCAGTCTCTTGCAAATGTGAAACCACTGCATTATAGCATGTCTTCATTATAGTCTCAGGCATTTCTTTAACAAAATGGTAGGAATGGGGCAGAACACCATGAATCACAGAACAAACCATTGGTAGAAACCACTGTTTCCTCCCTTCACTCTTCCACCTTATTTGTACCTTCTACCTTTCTTTGCTTTTATTCCTTCTGATCCCTGGATTAAATTGATTCTGTAGTGTATTGGTAGGGGCAGGGTGGCACATAGAACTATAGCAGGCTCTTGATTTGAAACAGAGGTTTCTGGTGCTTGAAAGATTTTTAAACCTACCACAAGACACTGCACTATGTAATATTGAACATATATGTAATATCACATATGTTTTTTTAAAATATCACCACTTTAAATCCTGATTTATGTTCTACAGAAAGAATGTGAAGGGCTAATATTAAATAACTGAATTGCTTATAAAACCTGTAAATATTATGTAACTCTCTATGGATGTCTCTGTAAAACCTACAGGAATGTAACTTCACAGCCGGATGCACACAGCTGACTCATTTCTTTATCTCCCTGTCCAGTTGCAGTCACAAGGGGAAATACAATTGTTCTTATCAGGGTAATATTCTGGCAAGTTTCCTCTGAAGCTAGGAGAGGTATTTTATTGCATGTCAGATGTGTTTGTAGAGTCCCTTCTCGCATTAGGATAACAGCATCAGAGGACGGTGATCACAGGAAGCAGGAGGATACTTGGTCTCTTTTGAATTCTAATTTTAAGCTGTCATAAACCCCTTTATTCCACTTGGTAGGAAACACAGAAGAAAAATATTTTAGCAGACAAAAATGTACAGTGTCCTCAGGAACAGTGAGAAGGAGAAAGGACATATTGGCAAAAGGTGAATGGATCATCTTCAAGGGACTTCTGCCAGGGTCTTGGGCATTGATTTAATACAGTAGTTGCATCACCCCACGAATGCCTGACCCTTAGCTCCAGCTCAGCCAGGCCATAAGACTATCAGCATGCAGCACATAAGAGTTTTCATATTAGTCCTCAAGATAGAAGTGCTTACTTTATATGACTGTAAATACAAAAGCTTTGTAGTTTCAATTGACAGCACATGCTGTTAAAATGACTCAAGAACCTCTTTTTAACCTGTTTCTAGATTCTTGTTGTCCTTCTTTTAAAAAGACAATCACACCATTTCAGATTCATACTCCCAGGACAACTGCAGTAATATGCTTCCCCAGCCAAAGAGCCACATTAGGTGTTTGTTTGTTTTCTAGGTAAAGCATTTTTACTTCTCTTTAGGTGCTTCTTAGTATTTCTTGTACAACAGCAAACTGTCTCCTCCAAACCCATACTGGTCAATTTGGTATAAGCTTTTCTTCACACTAGAGTGCAGCACGCTGTTTCCAGTGATGTCCTTTTTATCTCGTTACTGTTTTGAGAACAGGACGTTGCAGAGAAAAGATGTGCTTCATTGCAGATTTCCCAAAGGACCTCACAAGCTTTGTCAATGACTAGGTAAGCACTAGGCATGGTTAAACACAGATTTTTTTTTTTGTTAATTATTATAATTTTTTTAAAACAAGGCATAAACAGTTTAAACAAAATGTGGAGCCATTTCCACCTATCTCCTTCCTTTAAGCTTAGGGAAAAAAGGTTTTCTGTGAAAACTTACATGCAGTGTACATACTCATCCTAAATGAGAAAGTGTGGTTTTAAAATTAAAAGAAGATTAAATCAGTAACATTTAAAAAGTTACTAATCGGTTCTCCAGCTGAAAATTCATCAAATTTAAGGAGGTTGATTCTCACTGGAAGTTTTCTGTTCATGAGAGTTACCCTTCCTTTTTGAATGTTTCCATCACATTGCTTCCAGTCTCTGTCACTTGCTGAACGTGCCGACTACTAACATCACACCCTCATAGTTCTAACTCTTGTGCTTGTTAATAGTGTGCAGACTACAATCCTCAAAAAGCAAATCTCATTTTGCTGGATCAGCAACAGTTGTTCTGAGAGCTTATTCAGACCCTTTTGACCTGTGACCTCTTCTAGGACTGAACACCGCACGCCAGTAGAAAGAAGAAAATAAAAAACTCCAATGCATTTTCTTTAGCTGACCACATATTTATATTCTAATCAGAGCAGCAAAGTAGCAATGAGTATGATTTCTAAAAAAAATTCCAAACGCTTAGGCCAATAATAATGGAAAAAACTGCAACTGCAGAAGGGGTTTTGATGGTATGTGCAGTCAATAGATATTCTCCAGTTCTTCAGAAGAACTAGAAATCATTGCAACAGTGAATGTTTTGTCCTGAAAACATGGAGATGAAAACCAATTAAAAAGGAAAAAAAAAAAGCTACCATAATACAGGCCTGTGAACATGCTGTACATCTGAATGTTGATTCCTCTTCATAAGCAGAAGGAGCCTTGCTTCAGCAAAAGACTGCAAGTTCTTCAATGCATAAATGTTTCCTGGATATTGATTTAATTGTATAGTTAAAGTATGGTTGGAAGAACATCTAAGAAGTACAGATATTCAACAGCTCGGTGTCAAGTCCTTCAGGCTTAGAAAATTCAGTCCCAACACTTTGCAATTTCATTTAATTTTAATATAGGAAAATAGTATTGTTTATTTGTCAGAGTTTGCAAAAAAAATAAACTGCATTCACTTTAAGTTTTCTTTACAAGTGAAGCAACAAAGACAATTATAACTTACATAATTTTTATAACAATGAGGAAGGGATTAATATTTTTAAGTTAATTTGGTGATCTGCAAGTATTTGGCACTAAAGTTTGATTTCTTTCCTAGTTTTTTCTTTTACAGCAGGGATAAATAAAGCTTTTTTATATATTATAGCAGGCTTGTCCTTCACAACAGATCCACTTTTCAATTCATGGAAAAGTGAGTTTTATATCCAGCAACACATAACTAAGCAAAACTTAACTGAAGTCCATTCAGCACATTCAGTTCCCAAAGAACAGTGACATAAATGATTAACTTCCACAGACACACGGAATGCTGTAAGTCATCCTGAGGCAAAAGACTTGTAATGCACAGAAGTTGTAACCGTGAGTTCATCTGTACAAAAGCCTTCTCCTTCTTGAAAACAAAGATGGATATTTCATGCTTTCCCAAGACATTTCTTAATGAAATATCCCACTAACTTCTGCGGCCTCTGCTGATACTCCACAAGGACATCATGTGAGCTGCTGATTTGATCTCCTTCGAGCCGATTCAGAAGAGTGACACACACTACAGCAGCTAGAAGTTAAAAAACAGGATTAGTTAGGAATAATATTCTGGCACTCGTACAGTCCAAGAGCATAAGCATTTGAATGAACAGCTAGAAGACAAGAATTACAAGAGAAAACAAACCCCAAAAAAGGGTGTGCAGTACCATAAGATGCTAGTGTACTAGCATGCTGTGAAGGATATAAGTCAGAAATAGCTTAAGAGATTGCTACATTAATGAAGCCAGAGCTCTCAGGCAGCTGTAGACACTTATTGTTATATCATGATTCTTATGTTTTTCTGGATAGGAAGGATATTTCACAAGTACCCAGGACTTGACTGCTAGGAAGTGACTAGACACACTATTCTAGCAGATGTAGTTACAGCCATCTCCCTTAACCCCAGCCCAAGTGCCTGTGCTGTAGGTGCCATCCCTCAGGAAGCAGCAGATAAGCCCCTTCCACATTCATAGACAGGGAGCACTGCAAGCACATGAGGACCCCATAGACCATCTCAGGTTCATCTGCTGCCTTTCAGCCCCAAAGGCAAAATCCCTCCTTTCACTCCAGCTGAGCTCTATCACTCAACCCTATCACTGTGCTCTGTTTGGGGTTTCTGACAGTGGGAATTTGCAGAGCACGAGCAGTAAATACACATTACAGACCTACAAGGCAGAGACAGCAAAAAGGACCAGGCTCCCTAATGGCTCAGGGATACCACTGGTTGGGTTTTTAATCACTCAAATCAGTAAGAACTAAGAACGTTTAATATAATTGGTCTTTTTGTTTATACTTCCTCCTTAAGAACTTTGAGAAACACTAGTGTTTTAAATTGGCAAATCCCTTGCTAAGGAAACTGAGAGAAGACAGTTTAGACAGTAGGAAGAAAGACACTGTATGATATTATTTGTAATTGCTTTTTTTTCCCCTGATCTTTGCTGAAAATTAGTTAGCTTGTGTAAAATATTTGAAAATTCATTTTATGATTGGGAATGGTTTATTCATGATGCTACTAAAACTCTTGAACTGTTTAAGAATCAAACTCTTACATCTACACAGAATACTTATATTTTCAACTTGATATGAAAGTATAGAAAGTTAGTATAGTTTTATATATATGAGAATCACCTGATTGCTTAAACTAACCAGTTGTTCTCTGTAAACTTCAAAAGCTAACTGAAGATAACAAATGAATGATAGGGGTAATTAGGCATTTAAATGATTTACATGGTTGCCAGGGGCTGGAATAGCGAATGTCAGTAGCAAACTCTGTAAAAACTATGTGAAGAAGTTTGATAAGTTGTGACACATCTGATACAAATCAAGCAATCGCAGCAACAAAATTATAAGCAGAACCGTTGGGGGTTTTTTTATATGCAGAAGGTACCTTAACACTTCATTTGCACTTTTTAACCACAAACTCCCTGCAGAAAAATTCCTGTAGGTTGGATAAAGTGACTAAGTTGGTTTACCTTTGACACCGCTGAGATTACACATCGCAGCAAATACGGAAGACTCCATCTCAATGTTTCTGACACCAGAATCATAAGCTTTCTTCAAATATTGGAGTTTTTCTTCTTCATCATATAAGCAGATTGCACCATCCAACCTGCCCTGTCCTAGAAAGTAATTTTGTGGAAAATTTCAGAGTGATGAAGTCACAGAGCAAATTCAGTTTCGAAAACACCCAGTTATTACAGTTTCCCCTATGCAGTGTT